TGGTATCTAGTGAAGTAGAATCATTTTCATAATGTATATGGACTTAGCCATCCATCTGACATGGTGGTCAGCTCCAGGTCTTTGTATCTGGAAGACGCATCCTTTCTTCATCTCTATGCTTTCTCCATGGATAAGTTTAGCTCTAGTAATTCCTTTTATTCTCCTGGGCTGGTTGTTGAGTTGACGGATTTGAGTAATGAAGGATAGAAGATCTTCCGTTCCTGTAGCAAGTAGGGATATCGGGAAAGACGATGTTCTGCAGATTGAGATCTTCCCAGGAGGTCTTCATGATCTTAAAAAGGGTTACTTCAAGTGATGTTGTGTCACCGAACAGTTGCTTAGAGGCAGATCCTCTTACAAGATCCGCCTCAAGGACGTGATGTCTGCAAGCCATCAAGAGGATCTGTCGATTGAGGAGCGGCTGAAAAGTAGGACATGCTCCTTTGTGGACTCCAGTATTTTATGATGTCGTATCAAATTCATCGGCTATTATTTTATCTGCTAGGCTTCGGTCGTCGAATCTTCTTCACTTTCTCTGCCTCTTGCTAGTTCCTGTAGAGTCACTTGTCTTACAGATTGCAAGTATGTTTACTTTCCTAAATCATCCGAGGTCTGCTAGAAGTTTTCTGTCGAAATTTATCTGTTTGACATTGGAGGAAAAGTCTCCTTGGGGGGGGTGTAACCCAAAAAAACCCAATCCCAGTATTACCTTTTTCAGGGTAGGAGTTGGGTTTTTTTGGGTTTTTTACAAATTTTTCATTTGAAGGAAATAAAATCATGTAGGCACCTAGCAAAACAATTATCAGTACAACATCACTGTTGTGGTTCATCACTACAACATCACAATAGATATTATCGCATAAATATCACCCAAAAGCAGTATTTTATTCACTGATGTGCTCAGAAGAAGTTGGCCATCCAGATATGATATCAGCCAAATGTAATGCTCACTTCGATGGCCATGGAAAATTGAGTTAGTAGGGACGCAACTCACTGATGACCCCAACCCTGACCGCAACCGGTACGAGAGGAATAAAGCCTTTCTTCTCACCTTCACGATCTCTGTTTCCGTTTTCCTGATCATCCGCTTAACGAGAAACCATGCTCTATCTCCAACTGAAAGAATCTCGCAGTTACCATCAGCTGCGTGATCACATGTGATATTAAGTGATATCTTCGCTTGTTTATGGCCCTGGAGTCGCTAAAATCTTGACTGGGATGGCATTCGATCTCGCCCTCCATTGAGGCAAACCTCAACAGCCGTATCATGATGCAGAGCATCACCATACACAGTTACTATTTTCGCCCATTCCTCTGATGAGTCAATATCCTCCACTTCCTCTTCTTCATCATCTGTTTCCGCTTCGTCACTCTCTGTTCCGTCAGAAGATGGTTGGAAAGCCCTCCTTCAAAGCTATAGTGTTCTTGAAGGAGTTATCTACCCCTTGAGACTCCCTTCTTCATAGCTTGTAACAATCTTGGGATTGAAGTATCTTTACCTCTAAATGGTTTCTGCTTTCGGATGCGGTATAACAAGCTTGTTGCGAGGGTGGGCAACTATTACAGGGATCAAACTTTTGCCGAGTGCATCAAGCTCGAGGGAACGCGAACGGTTTGATTTGCCCATGCCAACCAACATATCCTTAGAACACAGATTAGTTCTAATGCCTGCATGGAGGCCTATGCGCAGGAAAGCATAAAGTTTGCTCGCAGGCATCGGATGTAAACAGCCAGGGCATAAAGTGTTGATAACTGTTGTCAGCTGTTACACTGAGAATGTACAGCATCAGACCCTCGACTGTAATAATCACATCGTCAAAATTTTTACAAGTAGGCAGGTGGTCTTTCAATGGTTGTGTGAAGCTTAGGTGGCCCAAGGCGTCACCGCTGGATAGAAGCTGGGTGGAAGCCCTGGTCTGATGTGAGGCTCCCAGAACTTTGAAAAGGGGTATCCTGCTGGTGCCCTCTTCCAGACACTTATCGGACAGCATGATGAAAGCCACTACCTCCGCGTGCTGAAGACTGGATACTGGACAGGGGGTCCAGGCTAAAGGCAGGACGATCGACGGGAGACATTGAGCCCCGGAAGTTAAATAATTTGATCTATTGACTCCTTAACTCTTGGTCTACAAGAGGCTTTGAGACTCGTAAATCTTTACTGTGGATTGCACAGTAGCTAAAGAGGTGTTGGCTGTTACCCTGTTCAACCTAGTCTACTATGACCCAGCTAGACTGGACCACACTCTGGTAGTCAGGATACGGCTCCCTATGCCCGGGGTACCGGGTAACGAGGTAGTCAGGGGAAGGGTTAGTCCCCGCTAAAGTGTAGCACTGTTCTCACTCTAACCTCCTTATGCTTTGGGATAAAATCGGAAAGTCCCACACTGGAGCAGGTGACGATTGGGTAAGGATTACAACTGATGCTGTTGGGTAGAAAAAGGAAGTGTCACATTTGTCTTGTATAGCATATGTTCGTGCAATTACATGCTCAAGATACCCAAGATATTATGGTGAGAGTTAAAGATGGCTATTGTTCAAGCGGATGCCCTTAACCTTTTAGTGGCGCAAGAGTTAAGAACACAATCCACTGCCAATATGCAGGGGACTGCACAGGATTGTGAGCCAACTGAAAAGTCAAGATGAAGTTTATCAACAGCTTAAGGGTTAAAGCCCCTTATTTTTCTAGTGGAAGTGGTTGCCGGGGTAATTACGCTGCTATTACAGAAGCTGATGACTCGGTCTCCACATCACGACAACCTATTTTTACAGAAAGTCAAACAAGAAAACATTAAAAACATATGAACATCAATTGTATTGTATCATGTAAAAGGACTGCTAAGGTTAGCACATTTAACATAAGAACAGCCAGAGAACAGCACAAACGCATCGAACTTGCAGAACTATTTTCTCGAAGCAAGCTGCACATCCTTGGCCTGCAAGAATCGAACATCGGGTAGTGCATGCTGATTGCTGAGAATACCAGAATAGAAAAGATGAACAAAGGGATTCATCCAGTGATATCATCTGCGTGGAGAAACGCAGCTGGCGCTTCTAATGGGAGAGTAGGAATCATCTTGACGAGGACAGCATATGAGGCTATAAGTCTTATAAAGTTATAAAATCTTACAGCGCAAGGATCCTCACCATGTCTCTTAATGGAAAGCCCAGGCTCACTGTCATCACATGCTACAGTCCTACAGAAGCCTCATCTGATGAGGAGGCATGAAATCTTTTTTTGTCTAAAACCAAGCATCTTACAGTTAATTTAGTAGGAGAGGAGCCACACACAATAATTTCTAAGGACGGACATGCCTTAAAAGAAGTTGAGGATTTTAGTACAACGGAGCACGACTTTAGGTTACGCAAGGCCAAGGCATGGGCTGCCTACCACAAAATGTAGGCTATATGGTGGTCCAATTTGCGCCGAGATTGAAAGATCCGTCTGTTCAAGCTACGGTTGAATCAATCTTCCTGTATGGAACGAAAACGTGGACAATAACAGAATCTTTGAAGAAAAGAATAGACGGATGTTACAGTAGAATGCTTCGGATGGCCCTAAACGTGGACTGGAGAGGACATCGCACCAACAAGGAGGTCTTTGGATCACTCCCAAGAGTTATTTCGAAGATACAGGCCAGAAGAATGAGGTTGGCTGGGCACATCCAGCGACATGATGACCTGGCAGCATGAGCACACCAACTTCTCCTTTGGGAACCTAGGGAGGGGTAGACCACCGCTCACCTTCGTCGATAACCTAATAAGTGACACTGGACTCAAGAACACTGGGGAGATTAAGGAGCTTATGGCGGACAGAAAGCTTTGGAGACACATCATCGAGACTCGGACTCTGAAGCCGCCTTAAGTCAAGTAATTTAAGTCATGTGCTTTGACTTGCCCTTGACCTTCGTCATAGCCTCCTTTCATGACAGGAGAACACATTTGCCACGTTTGGCACATTTCCACTTTGTGCATTCATATGGATTATATCTCGATGAACGAGACATCCTGTTTGCTATCGTGATAACATACTATCAATATAAACACACTTATATACTATGTAAACTATCTATTAAGTTAAGACATGAGAACAACACGTAGGTAAGACTCAGTGGGAAATAATTCACATTCAATACAATTAATGAAATGGCTAGAATTTTGTTTAAATTTTGTTTAAAAAACCCAAAAAAACCCAAAAAAACCCAATCCCAGTATTACCTTTTCTTGGGTAGGAGTTGGGTTTTTTTGGGTTACACCCCCCCCCCTCCTTTGATCTTTGCTGCTTGCTCTGATCGGACTGAGGCTCTGTGACAACGTGCAGTGGACTTTAAGAGGGATTAACAGCTTCATATCCCCGTGTCTCCACCGAGCAGTGAGATGCAGTGTCTCCTCAAACCGTCACTGAGGGAAAAAAATAAGATTCTACGTGTGAAAATGAGAGAAAATGTCCAACTTCTATCATGAAATACCGGCTGCCAGACTTTGGGGCCGGAGTGATATGATCCACCATATACGTCATCAAGTAATTAACATGCAAGCTTGAAGCTTGTGGCGTATAATTAGTGATGTGATCCATGGATTGAACCCCCCCCCCCCCCCCCCCCCCCCCTTTAGCAAGAGCTTCCGTCCTTTATGTGATCTACGAGTCGAGAAGTCAGATCATGTTGACTTCATAATGTACAGCTATGATTTATAGAATTGACATGTGAACTCTACCCCAGATCTAGCCCATTTCTATGTCAATTAAATTCAATCCATGGATCACATCACTAATTATACGTCACTAATTGGTGACGTGATCTGACCCCTCTTTGGGGGCCGGATCAGTTTCCGGTCCCAAAATCTCCCGTGGAAATACCAAGGAGACGACAGTAAATTATTAACAAAGCTGATTTATTTTTAATTAAAGATGACCATGCAAAAAGGCTTTTAATTTTAACAACCAGGATTTAAGCCAGGCAGGATAGCTTTTAATAGTGAATACCTGATTTCGAGAGAAACAACTGCAGCCAAGACCGATATCAAGACGAAGGAACTCCGCAAATTTCTGGCCAAAAATATATCGTCTTTGTTTATTGCAGATCCCCTCCTGAAAGAATAAGTGTTCGTTTAGAATCTATATAAAAACCCATTCATTTGGGCTAATAGCATCGATCGGAACTTTAATAACTGTAATGATATCCCAGTTATTTTTTACTGATCTTCTTTGTAGACTTATCAGAACTTGGGGATAGGGCAAATGAGATTAATAATTCATTGTTTGTGACAGAATAAGCCTATATAATATTTATACTCAGAACTTCTCTGACATACGCTGCGACAATCTGGCTCAATGGTGTGTCCAAAATAAAAAGCATAATTGAACAATCCTAACAGCGGAGAAATGATAATCTTAACAGGAGATAAAAAAGTGGAGACATTAGTCAGTCTGAGAGCAGAATGAGGAAACCGTTACAAGTACCGTGCTATCAACTCAGGTCTGCCTTTTCTGATTTGATGACCATCCTACTACTCACTAAATCGGTATCTCAGCAACGCACCGAAGATACTACCTGCCATGATTATTGAGTCTAGAAAACTCTATTCACAGGTTAGTCAGGTAGTGGCTTACATTCTGATGACATCTCTTTTTGGAGGTTTTCCGACTCTCAGACCACCTAGTTGAGTGTGTACCACAACCTGCACCATGCCCAAAAGTCCGGAAGCCCTGGACCTATGTGACAAGCCTGCCCCTGAACAAAAACAAATCCTAAGCAGCGTACAGCAGCTAGAGAATATTCTCATAGGGGGGGGGGGGGGGGGTGAACGTAGAATAAAGTAGAATAAAGTAGAATAAAGTAGAGTAGAATTCTACGTTGCCCCCCCCCCCCCCCTCTCATAACAGGAGGGTTACCATCGACTTCTGAGTTCTGGAATCTGGACCAGCTCTGGTCAGTGGGCATAAGTTGGGTCTTATACCAACGTCGTGTCTTATTTTAGAGGGTTGTTGCTTTGCAGATGGCATACTGTGGCGAAGATATTATAGTATTATATCTCGGTCATATGAGAAACCAGAATTCTCATTTTTTTCAGGACAAATGTAATGCGATTGAATTATTTCGATTGGGCACTCAGTGACTGAGCTATTAGGACTTTTGCCCCCCTCCCCCCTGTATATTTATCCTTGCTTGGCGACACAAAATTACACCGAGACTGAAATATCAGACTGACTTATAAGTTGTTACCAGCAACTTTCGATTGAGGCGATATTAATTTGGGCCGGGGTTCAAAGCTTTACTGTACATACATCTTCAAGGGGAACAACTAGTCTTTCAGTTTTCGAATAGTTATTTAATTGCGTAACTGAAGGAAAGATCACTTTACCGTATGCACTTGAAAATTCACGTAACTTATAACTTAGGAACATATCGAAGTTCCGGTGTCGTGTAGAGTGATTTATATCTATTGTGTCAGAATAAAGCTGGCAGACGTGCCAGTACATTATACAAATTCTAAACACTATAATTACAGTTGAATAGAATGTATGATGTTCAGAGCTGCGTATAAGTGTCATCTTAGAATATATGCTATAATTCTGGTTTATTACAGTAGCTGGCATTTGCCGAAAAGATTACAGATTTCAGTAACACACTAACATGTAAATATGCCTGTTTAGAGAGATTTTCTCAAAACCCGTCTCAAATACCAAAGGCAAAACTATTAGTAGCACCATTAGCTTTAAACCCATCTGGGGATAGCACTAATTTATATAATATTATAATATCGAGCAGGAAGGCTCAAGGCGGGAGGGTTATGTTGTTTTTGCTCACAACATCAGTTATCAGTATGATACGATTCTACGCCTATCGAGAACTGAGATATGGACAGTATGGCGGAGATTCTTGAAAAACCGCCAACTTTAACAAACTAAGGTTTAACTTATAATAGCTTTGCTCGGACATCAAAGCCGCACTAAGTCAAGTATCATTATGGAACCGGATTTAAAGCGAATAGAATCCCACATTTCGCCTTTTAAACAAACAAATAGCATTAATAAGAGCTATTGGTCGATGTTTGCTTCTTCTTAGTAAAATCCCTCACTTTCAAATAGTCCTTAAACCTTGGTGAGCTAAACAAAACACTAGGGACATTATGATGTACGCCTAATCTTCAACTCAAAAGTCACAGTAAACTATTGGGACCAGAATACAGTAGTTTATTTATCTGACCGTAAGGCGTAACACCAAAAGCGGTTCATCCCAGTTTATTGACTAAACCAATTTGTCCGTTTCGCAGTATAGTATAGTACTTTTACTTTCACACTCTCTCACACTCTTTGTTCACTAAATAAGTAAGATTATACGTCACGTACAGTACGTGATCACGTTATGATTGTTAAACCGAGACGATACGTCATAATCATATTAAAAGGAACTGCGGTGCGCGCGCTTAACGTACCTCGAAAAATGTTTGAGCGTGGGTCCTTTTTTTATCTAAAGGTGACATATTTGCTAGTTTTTTAGAAAATTAACCATAATTTGTCCCGTTAATCGTCACTACTTATTACTAAGAGGTGTCACGTCACTAAAAAATTTATTACAAATACACTGCTTGCTTGATTCAGGGGATACTGTTATTATACAGTCTGCGGACAACTGTCCGCGGACAGTGGTCGGGCTATCTCGATACTGCCCATTCTCGGAAGTTTTAAACATTTGTGGTTAGGTACTATAATGTTCAAAACGCCCAGTTTGAAAACTTAATTACTTAGCTGCCCTATCGGTATTCCTTGGTCTACATTATTGTACTAGATTGGATAAATATTACAATTAAAATGACCTTCGGGACGTTATAATATCTCGTAATACCCCTGGTTTCTCACCATGATAACGCCAACCAACAAAATATCAATTTTTCTATTGTTCACCAACCTTCGTTTTGGAGAGTTAAGAACACGCTCCTTGCATCTTCTGAAGTTGTGGTGTTGTGCCCTGCGGAATGGGATTATGATAACAACACAAAATTAGGAATATTTTGGAGTGTATCGTATCAGCACATTAATGTAAACTTAAATTTTTAGAATTGCAGTAATTGTATACATCTGTTGTTATTACACATTTATTTGATAAATATATTATATAGCCAGATTTCTCTGCTTTAACATTTAGAAAGAACTAGAGCATATGTGACACTTTCTGTAATGTTGCATCAGTTGATGAGAATCTCGCAAAATCCTGTTAATAGCAGGATTTCTTTAATTAATATCCCGGGAAAGCTAGACATAGTACCACTGGTGTCCTTACTTGAGAATGAAGCAGAAGAGTGTCCCAGGGTGATAATCTTCGAAAACTCGTTGGTTGACTGCGGATATAGATATTTAGAATTCATGCAGGTAAAAATGGTTATTTGCCAGCATATATACAATTAATATGATTGATTGTGCACATACTTAAATAATTCATTTTATGGCCACATGTTTAGCTTATATGGGATATAAAATATTGAAGACTGACATAACCATTTAACTTGTTCATACTTAAACTTGTTAAACTGTTGTTTAAAAATTTCTTTTTGTGCCGGGTTATCAGCATTTAAACCATCTACCGACTTAACTAAAGTTAACTGTGTACGGAACTCATTATTTACCAATTACCAGTGACATTTTCTTAATTTCAGGCACTCAAAAAGGATCCGAGGAAAATTAGTCTTGTTGAAGTATTTCACTCCCAGATACCAGACAGTAAACAGGAAGAAATAGCGGCTGATCTAATGAATATCAATGGGCGTATCAAATTCGTCATAGCTACAAGTGCCTTATCTATGGGATTTGATGCAGCAGGTATGTACTATGTTTGGCACCAAGTATATCGAAGACTATTTTAAACACCTTTAAACAGTCTATTTCAAACATATGGATTCGCTGTGTTAAACACGGTTAATAGTAAATTTGATAAAAATGTATATTCTTTAGGGATCCAATACGTCATCCATTCGAAAATGGCTCGTACGGCAGAGGATTTCATCCAGATGATTGGTGGGTAATGTGAAACAATTAAGTTATTTGTAATAATTTTATAGAGCGCTCTGCACATATACCTCTATTAAAGGTTTAACGAGCTTAATTGTCTTAAACGTTGCTTTTTAATCTCAGGTCGGGCTGGGAGAAGTGCAAATTTAAAGGCGATATGTATTGTATTTACGCACAACAAGACCAGGGATATGGACGGAGTGTGTCTCATGTACCGCGACCAGAATGGAACTTGCCGTAGGATAATACTTTCTGGTACCTTTAAAGGTAAAACAGCTCCACGTAGTCCTACAATTGAAAAAGTAATTCAATATCCTTTATTAGTTGGCAAATACTTTAAGTTCTCCAACGGCATTTGAAATCACAAATTTTAGCCATTTCAATGCGATGACATAAATGTCATCAGGAGTACTCAAGCTGCATGACAACGTTTATAACGATACTTGCTGCGATGTTTGCAGACCTTCCCAAGACCCACTCATTCAAAGACTCCGGGAACGGAATAACAAGCAGAGGAGGTCGGATGTAGACATGCGTGAGTACTGAGTACTTAGTACCGAATGTTTTAAATCACATGTAATATTTGTAACGTTCATGCCTAAACTGTGCTTTTTTGCTTTTATCGAAAAGTAATGATAACAACAACAACAATTTAACTTTGTGCTCCTGCGAGTGGTGAAGAATCAGCAATATCAGTCATAATATTTCCAGAACCTAGACGCACAGTGACGAAAGAAGATAGGGAGTTCTTTGCAAAAGCGTTAGCATGCCAGCTGACGTCCTATAGTGACAACAGACCCTTTCTGGACTGTGAACTCACGGAAGGAGTCATTAAACTTCTCACAAATGAATGCGGACATATTTTTAATTTGGAAGATATTGAAGGAATCGTGCCAGGACTGAGTGACAGGGTGAAGAGGGACATACTAGTTATAACTAACGATATATTTAAGTAACCTCGTCTCAATTTTCGTTTATCGCAAAATAGCGGAGACCTAATCATGAGTCAACCGGTGAATTACACATTTGTTTGGATAAATTATAAATCATATGTTCAAATTGAATGTATACTTACTTAATGGTAATTAATTAAATAAGACATTTTGGAGAAACTATTTAGATTGAGGATTTTAGATTAAGTTCAAATAATATATTAAATCTTGTATGCTCAAATACGTTGAGCCCAAATTCTGCACAGTACGTTTTTTACAGTTTTATTAAAGTCTATTTCTGGCAACAGGGGTATGGATCCTTTGTTTACCTTTGATACATTTTCAGTTCGGTCCATAAATTAAAACTTGATTACTACCTTGAGTTAACATATTTGTGTAATGTATAGTGTATACTGCACTGTATATTATATAAATATAATACAATTGATTAATATAGAAGATTTCAATAGAAAAAGGTTCAGGTATTTAAATAAGAAAGAAATGTGTTATAATTCTTAAATTCGTAAAATTATGAACTTACATAGTGTTGTGACAGTAAGCGGAGTAGTCTAGAAGCTTTCTTGAGGTTGTCTTGTGTCTACTGTACTCGTTGAACAGAATTCAGCTGAAATAGAAAGAGGGTTAAACTGAGTAGAATAATAATGCGTTGATAAAGACGTTGATAGTTGATAAACCTGATTGTTCCACTGTACAAATATGCAAAAACATACATTTTGACGACGGAATCTCGTCGAACCATAGTAAATACAGTTATATGCCATCTGCAAAGCTACAGTAAAATGTAAAACACGGCGGAGCTATTGAGGCCAACGTATACCAACTGATGTTTGGCCCGCCCTTATTATATACATTCATCAAGTACCAACTCACGATAAACAACGCGACTAAATGATCACAATATTTAACTATGAAGTGGACACCTTATTCGCCCGGAATATAGTTGTTGAATGTACGGGGCAGATTTAAGCGCCAAATATTGCGTGTAAATAATTGTATGTACATTATATGACACACCTTGGTAAAGCGGATTAGTTAGTATGCTTGCTTATAGCCTTTTATGAACGATATTCCACTCATGTCCTGTTTACGTCTGTAACTATGGCGACGGGGACGGGTTACTAAGGAGAATTATGCAATTATATCATATATGAAGGAGAAGGTTGGACAGTGTTGCCAAGTTGGGCTGGGTTTAGATGTTAGAGTGATTACAACGATTTTAGGATCAAGTTCATTTTTATTCATTTCGTTCATTTCATGAACCAAGGGATTATTTGGCACTTCTGAGAGACTGAACATGTTAGTTCACATGCCCATTGCCCCTCTACCATAACAGATCAATTTTAAGTCAGTCCAGGCATAACTACTGCCCAAAAGCCTGTTCCAAATTTGTCTCAATCCAGTTCCAAAATCTCAACTACTCTGAAACCAAAATGGGACATTGCCCTTAGAGCCCTTTCTGAGCATGCTAGAGCCTCCAAACTTTTCAGGAATACTCCTAGTATCAATACCAATCGATTCTGATTGATTTCAACTCATTTCAGGCGATTTTATGGAAAGTTCATTTTTGTTCATTTCGTTCATTTCATGAACCAGGGGATCATTTGGCACTTCTGATCAGTGACTGAACATGTTAGTTCCCATGCCCCTTATACCAGATCAATTTTAAGTCAGTCCAGGCATAACTACTGCCCCAAAAGCCTGTTCCAAATTTGTCTCAATTCTGTCTTACTGTTCCAAAATATCGGATTCATGAACTCTTAGGTTTACTATTCTGTGTGTGTGTGTGTGACTGTGAGTGTAACCACTATAATTAGCATTGCTTCGATTGAAGCACGGTTAGAGCCGCGCGCACGTGTAGACGGTGGAGTTACTGGGCACAGTAACCCTCAGACTGGGTGGCGCCCAGCCTTTCATTTCACCGAATGTCTATGTTAATGATAATTATAGCCTGGGGTCGCCAGTAACAGGAAAGTGTGGAGTATTGGTTATATGTGTGAGTAAGGGCCAATTGTAAACATGTAGGTGGAGAAATATTTGTTATGACTAACGATATAATCTGCCGTACACATTAAGAGATTGTAACAATTACCCTCAATTTAACATGTTACCTGATTAAGAGATAATCTATGCTATGTATAGGTCACGTTCCCTGATTTCTAAAGCCGCTCTCAATTACTATCTGTAATTTGACCCTGGAAATGTAACTAATTGAACAAATGGCAGATAATATTAATGATAAAATACAATATCGAGCTTGGAGGGGTTAATCAAAAGAAGCTATCAAATAAAGTGAATTGTTAAATGAATGTACTTAATTTAAAAAATAAAATAACAACCTTTATCCTATAAGTATAATATATATGAAGATCGTCGAGCTTTGAGAACTGAGAAGTGAAGAAGTCTACCATCTTGCAGATGAAACTATATGAAACACAATCGAGTTTATGAATTAATTCTTCGATTTATCGATCCGCTCGTCTTAATATTATCTCTCTATCTAAAATTATCGAGTTAAGGTTTAAAAAGCAACTGTCGAAATTGTAAGTATTTCATGATAAATCATAGCTCAAGATGACTAATCTAGTTATTCTAGCCGCCACATTAACAAATACTTAATACTTATTCATGGCAAACTCTAAACAAATAAATTGAATATTCGCATAAAATCGGAACTTTTGTCTTAGTATTATATTATATCGCTAAAACGATTAATCTGAACTTATAAAAATACGTGAGAGTCAATTTCTTACCTTGAGCGAGTCCTTCGCAATTGACGGAAGCAATCATCTCGAAGAGGGAGGGAATGGAATTCAGCTAAAATAGAAAGAGAGTTAAACTAAGTAGAATAATTATGCGCAGCTGCGTTGATAAAGACGTTGATACTTAATAAACCTGATAGTTCCACTGTGCAAATATGCAAAACCATAAATTTCGACGACGGAATCTCGTCGAACCATTTACCATGGTAAAAACAGTTATATGGCATTACATCTGCAAAGCTACAGTTCTCAAATGTAAAACACGGCGGAGCAATTGAGGCCAACATATACCCACTGACTTTTGGACCACTACACCCTATACATGTATAAAGTACCAACTCACGATAAATTATATCATATAGCAAGGAAGGCTATGTAATTTACCTAGAAAAATTTCTCAGTGAGACAGAGGAAACTATATCATGTTGTTGAGGACAGCTTCGCAGTTATATATTAATATGAAGGAGAAGGTTAGACAGTATAGCCAAGTTGGGCTGGGTTTAGAGTGATTATAACGATTTTACCGTCGAAGCTTGTTACATCTTTATACTCTCACCAGCATGGCAGCATGTGCAGTTACATCTAAAATGATTGCGTATATCGTTAAATTTATAGTTAAAGACAAGTTAAGGCCGGTACGCGTACGGTACCTTTGAAATAAATGAGACAACTGAAAACAATAAAGCTAGCAGTAAAAACATCGCTGCTGATATAAGCTACGTCATAAACCGCTAATGATAATGGTACTGAATTATTATGGTTAATTTGACACGGCAACTCGTGTATGTTCTACTTGAGACTGTCTCCGTGGTAACCAGAGTTTGAAATATTCAGATTCATCTTATATTATGCGGAAGGAGCTATCACACTCACCAGTCACCATTCTATAAGTATTAACCATGTACACGCTATTACATTTTAATTGAGCTCAAATAGTTTACACAGGGCGGTTGCCTTTTTTCCATTCAATCCTTATATAGCGAATCCGGAATCAGGGTAGAATAATAATGAACAGTGCGTTGATAAAGACGCTGATAAACCTGATTGGCCCACTACTATACATTCATCAAGTGCCAACTCACGATAAACAACGCGATCATTGATCACAACATAATATTATGTAACTATATAGTGGACACCTTATTCGGGATATATTTGTTGAATGTACAGGGGAAGATTTAAGGGCCAAACATTGAGAATGAGTGTAAACAAATGTGTACCTGAGAAAAATGTTCTGAGTGAGACTGACGAAAACTATATTATGTTATTGAGGACAGCTTTGTAGTAATATGAAGAAGAAGGTTGGACAGTGTTACCAAGTAAGGCTTGGAGTGATAATAACGATTTTACCGTAGAAGATTGTCATAAATAGCATACGTAAGGGTAACAAAGTAACAAGATTTACAACAGTTTCAAGAATTAAAATAGCAAATTATATAAAAGTGTCAAACAGTATAATTATATAAAATAAATTTAGTCAAGTGTTGCAATTGGCAGAGTACATTACAGACTACAGAGCTGAGGTAACGGAAATCGTCCACTGCTACTTATATTATATCTAACATGAAATGGCAAATAAGAATGTGAAATTAAAATTTCGATTTCGATTGAACAGTAGTTTGAATTAAACAGTTGTTCGCCTAGAATTTGAGAAAAAGAACAGATGTGAGGATTAACGAGAATTTTTAAGTGTGTACGCAATTGCATGTTAAACTCCATGATTTTATATTTGGCAGTTTAAGATGGATAGATGAAGCCAAAATGAGGACGACAATGCGAGACTTTCAATAAAGAAATTACCAATATCCTATGACACCATGACATGACACCATATAAATTGTGTCAAAGAGCATTGAGCACGACTAAGGTCCCGGGTGAATGTCAACCTAATCAGGTATGAGGTAATGAGAAATAATGCTAGCTCTATGCCTTATTCTTTCTCAGAATCAGTAACACTATCTATATATATAGTGCAACTTAATGATCAGGCTTTCCGATAAAAGATATTTACCGGCAACTTTCTTAAACAATAATCACACATTGATTTATTAAGTCTATCGGTCAGATAACAGAAAACAGGGATGTGCTACTTAAAACACACGAAATAACTGGGACCAGTGCAAATACGTAAAGTCATATTTTACCTGATTGTTAGTAGAGTCAGTTTAATTTACTCCATGTCTAATGTCTATGATAACTAGGATGAAGGATGCTTCGTTATAAAGTAAATCGTAGACGTGATTGCATTGACACTGACAGATGTACCAATAACCAAAGGTTCAAATAATCAAAAGTGAGCTAATATGTTCTTCGCAGATGGATGAATAGAGAACTAAGTGCTGCAGATTGATCATTAAATATCACAAAAGAGCGACACTAATGACTAAAAGCATTGTAAACTAACATGGTACGATAGCATGATACGATAGCACACTAGTTAGACCAAGACAAAATAGATGAAATTGCAAAAGTGAAACGGAAAATAAAAGCCAACACCACGTATAGCAAGATAATAATGTTAATTATAACGAGGATCGAGAGGTACTGAGGTAGTCATGACAATCGCAGTTTGCTAAAAACGTCGGTGAATAGTATTCTATGTCATAAACAGCCAATGATCAGCTATAATAGTACGGTTTATTTTACACGGTGACTCGTTCTACTTGAAACTGTCTCAATGGTAACAGAGTTTAAAATGTTCTTACTCTTAGTCTTAGTCTTACAGGAGATCTACACGGTGAATGTAAGTGGGTCTGGGAATCTATGGCGTAAGACTCTACGGTGGAAAACTTTACGGTGGCGCCGTACAAAAACAACAGGTGTAAAAAACAGGACTATTAGGTGGCAAAGTCTATAATCAGGCATGAGATAGTAAGATAAAGAACTTAAGAAATAATGCGAGCAAACAAATGTTATATTTTTTTATCGATATTGATAAATTGGCAGGTGTCCCTCATTAAATTTATGAGTTACAGGAGTTGCAAGAGTGGCAAATTCGAATTCGAAACAATAAATTTGGATTAAACAGTTGTTTGCCTAAAATTTGTGACAAAGAACAGGCAAGGGGATATACAAGGATTTCTAAAGTTATGATATTACACGATATAAATTGTGTCAGTGGTCACATAAGCCTGTCCTATCCCAGGTAAATATCAATATATAATCAGGTACTAGATAGTAAGAAATAATGCGAGCTCTCAGCATATATCTCAGAGTCAGTATCACTATCGAAATATATTGTGGATTGTACGACTGAAAGATGAAGTTTATTAAATTCCGAGACAAAATATTTAACGGCAGCTTCCTGAGAACAGAACACGGGGATTTGAAACTTAAAACACACGAGATAGCCGGAACCAGTACAAATAAGTGAAGCTATATTTTAACTAATTATTCTTAGAAGACTGTTTATGGTTTAGTTGACTCTGAGATCAAACCTTCACTACAAGAGGCTTCGTCATAAAAGTAAAAGTTGAAAGTATACGTGATCCGGATGCAATAACAGATATATTAAACGTTCAAATCATTTTACACCTACGCTAAAAACTTGTCCACCAACACTGTACAAACTACAAAAACATTTGATTGGCAGACGGATAGATAAAGAACGAATTATGAACTATAGACCACAGAATGATCGTTGAATATCATAAAAGAACGGCACATGTGCACAACACACAAAGGCGATATGAACTGATATGGAAGTTAGACCTAGGCAAAATTGAAAGAATCGCACTAACTGGGCCGCGCTCAGCCTGTCATTCCGCCTAATCTCTATTAATGAACATAATAGCCTGGGGTCCTCAGGTAAAAGCAAGCACTGATAACAGAAACAAAGAATCATATTTCACTTGTGTTGTTCCGTTGACCAAAACAAGTGCTAACAGACTAGATGGTTGATGAAATAAGCCTCTTGACTCCCATTGTGTGAAATTACTAACACTAGCAGTAACCGGTGTTTCTTTAAGGTGGGGTCAAGAGAGACAGACAATAACACACGGAATTAAAGAGGAATTAAAGAGGAATTAAAGAGGAATTAAAGAGGAATTAAAGAGGAATTAAAGAGGAATTAAAGAGGAATTAAACATGAAATTACCAAGGAGAACACTAACGAACTCGTCTTGGCTATACATCAATTAGAAAATGTTATTTATTAAATTTGAGATTTTTACACAACTTGGCCCATTTAGATGAGCTATACAATACTCTGTAAAAGATAACATAATATAGAATATAATTGTCTGGGAGGATGACTGTAAAATTTGGGGAAAAAAGTATCCTGTGGTTAAACAAAGCACAGATACTAACAGAAACAAATCAAACGTTTGGTTCGATCCACACTACTGATATGTAAGATCAGACACAGCAAATTATGACGCTCTCAAAGCATTTCACAATAAAGGATAATTTATATAGATAAATTATTAACAGGAAAATTGTTTTAATTTTGGTTCATCGAATGTTTTATATCAGATGTTGATTTCTTAAAGATAGGTGTATATTTTTGCTATTATTTCTATGAAAGGGGAGGTACGGATAAAGTACCAAACCTTATTGTGTATATTTGGTTGCAACTCCGGTAAATGATGAAACATGTCTCTTATGAGAGTGATACCGTGAGTTGCTTCCTTTTTTTTTAAATTAATTTATATAGATTAACTCCCGATTTCAATTCAGGGAGACTAATCTATTCTTGCAAAAATGTTAAAACAAACTAAATATTTTACAACATCTAGGATTAAGGACAAAGTGACTAATATAGAGTACGAGAACACATGATTTCCATCACAATGCGATCTATTAAATAAGTAATAACTAGGATTAAATATCTTAATCCATCATCAAAGATTGTACAGTATGAATATCAGACCATTAAAGCGTTTTTCTACGATCCAATTCAGAATTTTGACACTAACTGTAAAGGAAAAAGGTGCAGGGCAGAACTAATCTATAGATCACATCTAAGAGATTTCTTTCGATCACAGGCCTTCTTTGAAAACGACAAAAAGTAGCCGGGCCCGAACAGGCAGTCCGAAAGAAATAAAAACTACAAACAGACAGTATAGTATAATGGTCAACATCAATCTGACATATTTTGTTCCTTCTGAACCCTGAACCTCTTGATTTGGATTTAAGTAACACGATCTTAGTTCGGAAATTTAATTCAAATGCATAGCATGAGTATATAAAAGAAAATCTTCAGATAACTGCAAACTGATTGACAAACTAAACCATCCCTCATCAGAGTGGTAGTCATGACAGGACCATGTTACTTTGATATTAAGTAAAGCTAACATCTTTCGCTAGGGTCTTTAAACGAAGTAAATGTCGGGCAGCTAAATATAAACAAGTGTAGACAACTGGACGATTTTTTAAAAATGTCGTACGAGCAATCGAAAAGGTCATCAAAATTATATATCTTAACTACAGGAACAACATAAACATGAAGGAGGTACCGAAGTTACTGTGCAGTGTGATAACAGTAACACGAGGTGCAGTGAGCAGCACATCACTGATGACACTCATATCGCTCGATTTTACAATCCAATAATCAAATTTTACAATCTAACTCAGCGCGCGGCTCCTCTAGCTAATACGTTACTTTTCTCCAATTGGCAGTTTGCGTGCACGTGTCTTTTCTGAGGCCCCAATTGGTTCTAAATGATCACGTGAATGCTGGTCACGCGCACATCAACTTCCAATGAGCGTACTGCCATTTTTTCTGAGGCGATGGAGGTCGTAAATCACTCAGCCCGAATAAAGATTTGGCGGAATGACAGGCTGAGCGCGGCCCAGTAAAAATTTCCCAATTAAGGCAAAAAAGAGTAAACCAGGCCGCCGTAAAAACACAAAGCCGTGGATCCAAGAATGGTTACGGTGCGCATGTGATCGCAAAAATAAATTTTATGAAGATTTTGTCACAAACCCGACCACTAAAAATGATATTAGGTACAAGAAAATGAAGAAATTTGTGAATAAACACGTGGATAAGGCCAAAAACAAATATTACAACGCGTACTTTACAAAATATTCTAGCGACAGCAGAAAACAATGGCAAATGGTTAATAACTTGTTAAACAGAAAGAAAAAAGGCAAAATTAAGATAAACAAAATTAACTATAATGGGAGCGAGATAACAGATTCTCAGCAAATTGCGAATAGCTTCAATGACTATTTCTGCAATATAGCTGAGACTCTTAAGAGAGAAAATGGTCTCGTATGCTCTGAGGGCAGGACTATCGTAACAGAAACTCAAGATAGCAAATGCCAGCGGAGCATGAATCTAGAAGATTCGTCCGCATCAGAAATAATTGAAATAGTTAAGGGTTTGAAGATTAAGTCGACTTCTGATATGAGTATACTTCCCCTGAAAAAAGTGAGCAATATACTTGCACCAGTGCTTAGCTGCCTAGTCTCTGCGTCTCTACATCAGGGGAAGTTTCCGCATAAATTGAAAATCGCGAAAGTAGTTCCACTTCACAAAGGTGGGTCACGTGCTGAAGTTTCAAACTATCGACCTATCTCACTACTCTCATGTTTCTCAAAAATCTTTGAAAAAATTATGCAAGCGCGACTATTAGATCACTTAAAGACAGAAAAAATCCTATTTGACTCTCAATACGGATTTCGGGCTGGGCACAGCTGCGAACATGCTTTACTAGAAGCCCAAAACCATATTCACAGGGCACTAGAAAAAAAGCAGGTCACAGCACTGCTTCTATTGGACTACAGCAAGGCCTTTGACATGGTTGACAGCAGTATTCTTCTGAGAAAACTTGAGCACTATGGAGTTCGGGGGTTGGCTTTATCTTGGTTTCACTCATATCTAACCGATAGAGAGCAATACGTGAGCGTCAACAACTGCAAGTCCTCTCACCTCAAACTTAACTACGGAGCCCGGTGCGAAATTTGAAGGAATATGGGAATAATATTCCTACTGGTTTCAGGCAGGAATTCCATGTAATGTTGAAAAGAAGCAGATTCATCCCCTAATAATGAAATAGTAAGTCAGTAAACGGAAGTTTTATACCTCGCCAAATGATGCGCGTGTTATTCCAATGAAATGCTGGTTATACCTTTGAAATTTGCTTTTTCGTGCACTCAGGCCTCTGATTGGAGGAATCTGAGGGAATAATGGGAATAACGGTTCTGATTGGTCGATTCAGACCAGCCAAGGAATAATTTGCGCGCATTATGCGCAATGTAAATGCTGGCATTGAAATTTCATTACAAAATAAGCTTGGCGTGTTACTGTCCGTAATATGATCCAGCGTGCTAAGCTAACAAGACTCTAGTAAATTGTGCGTGATTTTCAATTAAATGATAAGCTATTTTGATAACAGATACTTCATAGATCAAATTGGTGATTTAACTGTCAATATTCTGCTTTAGTTTATTGCTGCTATCTCAAACGATCTATATTTTGTAGCCGAAACCCCATAATAGATTTATGATATCATCAACCAGATAAAAATCATGTTGTTATATGTTAATTGTTATGCATTATAAATCATATTGTTTAATTTTGTGGAACTATCAAAATTCACACCTCTGAAGCCAAGAATTATGAACAAATTGGCTTTAATTCATATGAGCTGAAATAGAGATTATGGAACAGACATTAACAGTAAACTGCGGTTTGACTGTGCTGTTTTGTGGGACTAACTAAATAATACAAGCATTTCTTCTTATAAAAATAATTAAAGTTTGATATTTACATTTTCACTTTCGTAATCAACAAAGATAGGTAATGCGGATACACTTTTTTCGTATTAAAAATAGGATTTAGACTCCGCAAATTTTATATCTAGAATGATTTCATTTTCGAATTAAAGCACTATCCATTATCAAACGCCAAACTAGCCGTGATTTTCATGTCGGAAAGAAATTACAAATAGGTTTATAGCTTGGACGTTGCATTGCGCTACCTGGCGTTCTAGCACTGCGCTACCTGGCCATTTTTAACGGCCAGGTAGCGCAGTTGGTTAGAACGCCTGTCTTACAATCGTTAGGTTGCGAGTTCGAAACCCACTGACTGCCTGGTCGTGGGGTGAGCGTCGTCGACGTTCAGCTAAGGATCATGAGTGGTCTATGCAGCCCCCCGGTCTACTCAGCCGAATACTCGAGAAATCGGGTGTGAGGGTTAAATGAGGAGCTGCACATTGCAGCAAAGTCTCGGACGAAGAAAGTATGGTACACACTACCTTAACCGTCACTGGCCAAAAAGATCCTTCGGCTTCCTGTAATTGGCTGGTTGCACTTGTGTAACATTGTGGCTGTTGGAATACACCGAAGTAAAATAAGTGTCTAGATAAAAAAATTATGATTAACAATTGCAAAATAAATGTTAATAATAACTTGCACATAATATCCCGATATCTTAATTGCTTGTCTTTTCTAAAAACCAGGGGTGGCAAAAATTAACGTTGGCCGGGAGAGTTTTAATTTCTACTCCTCCTCCATCAGCATGATTGTTTCGTTGTGTGAATGAACGGTAGAGACAACCAAATCCAAGAGGGTGAAGGGCAAAAGGAACTGTCCCAGGTTTTCGTGCCAGGAACTCTGAAATGACAATCTTTAGTATTGACTAAAAACACGTATAGTAGTTTCTCGTTGCAGACTGCAGTAATTTAAATATTTTTATTTCAATTTCAGAATTTAATAATTTCTAATTTGTTAGAACATGTTTATGAAGAAAAGGGAGAGGGGCCGGGAGTACAAAAATTTGAACGTGTTTTTGAAGGAGAGGGAGAGGGAGAGGGAGAGGGAGAGGGAGAGGAAGAGGGAGAGGGAGAGGGAGAGGGGGAGAGGGAGAGGGAGAGGGAGAGGGAGAGGGAGAGGGAGAGGGAGAGGGGGAGGGAGAGGGAGAGGGAGAGGGAGAGGGAGAGGGAGAGGGGTAAGTATTTATAATGTTTTGTTATTAGGTATTTATTTGGAATTGGTTTAATTTGGTTGTAAAGTTATTCTATTATGTAATGAAGTATTTTGTTTTACAGGTTTTGTACATACGACAAATACGGGTTTTATTGGTCAACTAACGGTCATCTAACAAGGGAGAGAGAGAGGGACAGGGAGAGGGACAGGGACAGGGAGAGGGAGAGGGAGAGGGACAGAGAGGGAAAAGGAGAAGGAGAGGGAGAGGGAAAATGAGAAGGATAGGGAGAGGGAGAGGGAGAGGGAGAGGCTGAGAGGGAGAGGCTGAGAGGGAGAGGCTGAGAGGGAGAGGGAGAGGGAGAGGGAGAGGGAGAGGGAGAGGGAGAGGGAGAGGGAGAGGGAGAGGGAGAGGGACAGAGAGGGAAAAGGAGAAGGATAGGGAGAGGGAGAGGGAGAGGGAGAGGATGAGGGAGAGGGAGAGGGAGAGGGAGAGGGAGAGGGAGAGGGAGAGGGAGAGGGAAAATGAGAAGGAGGGGGAGGGAGAGGGAAAGGAGAGGAGAGACTGAGAGAAGGAGATTGAGTGGGAAGGGGAGAGGGAGAGACTGAGAGGGGGAGGGAGAGGGAAAGGGGAGAGGGAGAGACTGAGAGGGAGAGACTGAGAGGGAGAGACTGAGAGGGAGAGGGAGAGGGAGAGGGGTAAGTATTTATAATGTTTTGTTATTAGGTATTTATTTGGAATTGGTTTAATTTGGTTGTAAAGTTCTTCTATTATGTAATGAAGTATTTTGTTTTACAGGTTTTGTACATACGACAAATACGGGTTTTATTGGTCAACTAACGGTCATCTAACAAGGGAGAGAGAGAGGGACACTGGGACAGGGAGAGGGACAGAGAGGGAAAAGGAGAAGGATAGGGAGAGGGATATAATGCTGACGCTGTAAATAACTGATACATTTATACATTTATACAACTGGAACTATAATTAACTAACCTCATTACTAGAACTACAAGAACGTGTGGTACAACAACTCAACAAGGAATGCTTTTCGTTTCCAAACTGTAGGTTCCTCCATGTTCTGTAGTTTTCGGGTCTGGAAGGTAAGTGAATCTGATTTAAACTTGATATCATTTCATAGTGAATAATAACTGCTGTTGTGCAATGTACAAACTGTTTAGTTAAAATATGAACAACGGCTTGTACTCAGAAAATTCAGCCAGAATAATTTCCATTGTCATCCTGCCAATAGTTTAAGAAAGAATCAGTTCATAAGATTTGCTGTAGGCAGGGACAAAAGGAAATCGCGGCATGTACGGAATCGCGATTTCCCCATTATTTGCGACAAATTTTATGTATAGTTTAATGTATAGAACAAGGCCAAGGGGATACAGAAAATCTCAAAAGATTAAAAGACACATTTCGTAACTACCAAGATGATTCGAAAGTTTTTAATGATTTTAGTTTATTACAGAATGTATCAGAAAATATTTTTGCGAAGGAAGTGATAGTTAATAATACTAATATTTCGGCTCGAAAATGTTGCTATCTAGACTTAAACATTAGTTTTATCAAGGGAAGTTTAGAGTGTCATCTCTACTATAATTCAGAAAATTCTTTTTGTTGTATGTACGACCGCCCACGTGCAAATTAGACGAGGAATAAGAAGTTGCATAGTAACCATGGTAACGAGGGTTGTTACGTGCACGTGCAATGATTGTTTTAACTTCATTTTGATCGGTTTTGTTGATATTACGCTGTGTTTAGCACAAGCTACATTTTAATGGTCTGTATCTTCGGTTTTGTAGGATATTTTTTGATGAGATTAAACTTACTAACAAAAAATACTATCAATATTAGCTTCCTCCCTGTGACCACGGGTTTTCTAGTTTTATGATAAAAGAAAAGATTACAACTTTAAAATTACATCATTTCCTTTTTAGATGGAAACTTTCCAAACAATTTGTCTGGAAAATTTATTTCCCAATTAGTATGATAAGCTAGAGGTAATTCGATACTCAAGGGTTTCAAAAATCGTACCGAACTTTTAGGTAAATTTGTTGCACAAGGATTTAAGTTAGCTGCATTGTGCAACAAGTTTGTCAAGTTTTATAAATCACGACTAAACATTTTGCACCATTTTTGCACTTAGGGGTCGTTCACAATTCACATATTACGTAATCAGCCGAGGGGGACGGGAGGGGGTTTTCCAAATGATTACGCTACTGTCATTTTGACACATGCACAATAGCTATGTGTAAAACTGATTACAGAAGGGGGGAGGGGGTAAAAATTGTCCAAAAAGCGATAACGTAATGTGTGAATGGTACAATAAATATTTGAAGTAGATTAACTCGTGAAACTTACAGGATTGAGAGGGAAGTCCGAACGTTACCATTACAGTAGGGTCACCAATAGGTACTGACCAGTGGCCATACTGTCTCCAGTTCTCCTTCGTCTGCAGTGCTGATGGCGATTGACGGACTCCTGTGTAAACTGAATGATTGGACAATTGTTCAAAATTTAAGCCGTACATAATGTCAAAAGCTAGCTAGATTAACTAGCAAATGGTCTGTTGATTATAAAGATACGACAAAATAACTGAAGGAAATAAAGTTGAAAAGTTAATTCATTTCATGGAACCTGAACTATTAATTAATTAATCAATAATCATTGATTCAAAATTTTTGTAACAACTTTCATAAATCTTAAAAATAACCCACCAATTCAGGATGTGTTAAGGAGCAAACTCATCTTCTCATCACACAACTCTGATAACAAGATCCAAGATATAGCTGTGCATGTACAACCATCACAGAATCTTCAGCAGGCATCAGCTTTAACAAAACTATTTGATGATAATTGTGTTTTAGCGGTAGAGCTTTTTAATACAGAGCATTGCATAACCTGCTAACTGCTTGTATTAAGTAGTAAACTATATTATTAAACGAATAGAAAATTGTACCAATTATCCCAAAAATCAACGAGAGTGTAATTAGTTATTGTTCTTAATAATATAACTAACCTTTAATCTTTATCGATTGATTGTAATGTCAGTAGAAATTGCTGTTTAAAATCCTTAATATGGAATAATTTAGTCTGGTTATTTTCGATAATTTGGTAAAATCTTGAAAATAGAGATTATCGTGTTGTTTAAAAAAGTAATATATATCTGAATTTGTAACTGTTTATATTACAGTTACAAATTTAGACAATGCAAAGTATCAGTTGTTGCAAGATGACTATTTCAGTCCCAATCATGATTGTCTTTTTATAATCAAGATAAAGAAAAAATGATTTATTAACGTTGATTAGATGATAACTGAGTAGAGATGATATTCCTTTGATCGAATTGAACTGTGCGTTACAACTTTGTTTATAAACAAAAAAAAGCTGAAAAAGGACTATTATTGTTTTGTCATAGAAAATCTAAAACGCAAGGACAATAAGTTCTGTATGTCAAGTTTAAATAAACTCTGTTCTTATCATCATCAGGATAATAGTCAGTCGTTTCTCGTTATGAAAAATAAAATTGTGCAGCTGCTATATTTACCCATTTCATTACATGAAAAATTTAATTAAAGGGGTTGATCACATATTAATACATTACGTTTTCACTTTTTGGAGCATAAATTCATAAATGATAACGTATTTTGTAATATGTGAACGACCCATAAATCAATTAATAATGGACAAATAAATAATTACATGTGCATGGTACCATAAACATTTATTGTTGTATCATATTTTTGGAGCCCTACCCCGGGCAGCTTTAGCTTTTAAACTTGCAATAGCGCGCGTGACCGTAATTGGCAATCGAAATTGTCTTTTTTCGTAAAACAAGCTTGTCACGTACCACTTTTTGATTATTATATACGCATATGCACGTTAATAAATAAAGTACGTAACGCATGACTTAAGCTGCGCGTCTTAACATAATTATAAACTAGAACTGATGCAATGTAAATTACTAAATTGATGGCATAACATGTAAAAATATAAATTTAATCACGATCAGAAAGATGTATGGATGAATGATGATAATTAATTACTCTACACTCGACTGTCACGGACTTTTTAAACACGTTCTCTAGCTGGCCCTGAATGACTATTCGAAATTTTAGCCCTCTAATCTGATCCCAACCCTAACCCAATCTTTAAAAAGCATACACTGAAACCCTAACCACTAACCCTAACGAGAAATTAGACCAACTTCATTATACGGTCATATCATGTGATCGAGACAGTTTTTCCCTTATATCTTGCCATGTGAGCATTTTAACCCATGTCATGAAGCCTTCATGATGAAGGGTAATTCGGAATCAGCGTTCGAAAATGCATCGATTCAAATTGGTTTTAACTGCCGGGGGCCCTTTTAGAAAATTCTCGAAAATCGACTGAGTGATTGAGCACGGTTGAATTTGTATTACATAGAATTCAATTTTATATTTATCGTCATTGGTCATAAGTGAAGTTTAAGCCGTGCACCTTTAGCCTTGAAAAGTAGGGAGACAGTGAGTACGTATGTTTCCACAAAAGGCCTTTAATACGTTGTACCTCAGATATTGCGAATTTCTGAAAACAATACTTACTTTTGAAGAATAGAAAACATCTGATAAGAAAAACGTTTCAGTCTGAAAAGGGTCAAAAATTCACTATATTACTATATACTATTAATTGTTATTTACTGGTTTACTACTGGGTTTTTAGGCTAAAAAATTATTCCTACTGGCTTTGAAATAATTTCGCACTGGGCTACGGAGTACCACAGGGCTCCATTCTCGGACCAATTCTGTTCATAATCTACATCAACGACCTTCCTCAGATTAGTAATTTAGCTAAACATATTTATTTCGCTGACGACGCAAACCTAATAATAAGTACAGATACATTTGAACAACTTAATGCATTGGCGAATGAGATTCTGACTTTGATAATTGATTGGGCTACTAATAACGGGCTTAAATTAAATGCTAGCAAAACTAAATATATATGATCTTTACAAATAAAAAACTAAGGATATAGAAATCTACATGGGAGGTGAGCGACTAAAGCAAAGTTATCACGAAAAGTTTCTTGGCGTGATCATTGATACTAAGCTAAATTGGGCCCACCACATTAGACATTTAGCCACTAAAGTATCTAGAAATGCGGGTATTCTCTACAAACTCAAAGGCTCAGTACCTAACAAAACACTCAAGTTGATATACAACAGCTTTGTTCAGTCTCACTTATACTACTGCTGCACAGTTTGGGGAACAAGATCGCTAAACTCCGTTAACAGTATATGGACTAGCGTAAGTATAGAGTAGACTAGTGTGTCCTGAATTTGTCCTACAATTTCTAAACGGTTCTTGTTTCCAAAATTTATATCGCTTATATTCACCTTTTAGCCGATGCATGATCATGTAATTTTTGTAATACCATCTGTAACGGAACCATTTTCCCATTAATTAAAATCCCCCATGGTTAGTAGGAGTGCAGCGAATTTATTTAATTACAATTACGTGAGGCATCAGTTACAGTATAGGATTGCTCCCAAAATTGCTTGGAATTTGTCCTAATTAGATTCCAGTCAGAGCGGGTTCAGGGTCCCGACTCCCCAGTCATGACTCTAATTTGATGATTCAATTCAACCAACATTCAAATTTTTGAGTAATAGTACGGTAACAAAATTGCCTTTTAGTGTAACTGATTCAATTTTACATTTTGATAGACACACTGGATCGTGTCCCTTCCCTCTGTATCCTGCACCTTTGAGAATGGCCAGTTCAAGGGAATATGACATATAAGTAAAACACGAAATGAAAGTATTGAGTAAAGTGAGAGTAACTAATGTATATAATTGTAAACAGTAATAGTGCTCTCAATGTAAGTACTGTTAAGTTGTGACAAAATAATGTTAATGTTATAAGGTAATAAATTATAATATACCATAAATAATCAATGAACAAGTACAACTGATAGTAGGATAACCATCGATTAAAATAAACATGCTGCTTAGATATCATATTAGGCATGCTAATACGATGCGTTCATTGGCCACATTCCTGTAAACAAGAAGCACACACTTTCATCAAATGCTTCTTGTTACATTTGGCTAGTCCACATTTCTCGCACCTTGTTGTTGGCTTAGAGAGCCCGTTTATCTGGGTTCTCTTTGCCCCACTAGAAATGCTTTTCAAGCAAATGTCTCGCTTACAGTCGCCGCACCTTCGTCCAGTTTTCAAGGGCTTGTTTCTGTAAGGTAGTTTTTCCTCCACAGATTGTGTCGGGTCTCCAATCTTCATCACATGGCGTAGGAAGCATTCATCTCCCGTAGCCATGTACATCTTCAGGATGATGATTCGAGGTACCCCAGTCAGCTCCCTCGTATAAAGATGTGGGGTCAGCAAATCCATTGCTAATCTTTGCCCAAAATCGAAAGATTTCACCTTTCGGGGATTCTTGCCAGTGTTTAGAGCTATCAGGGTCTGGATGTTAACCCTGGTGGTGTCCAAGATGTAGCTAAACACTGCAACTGACCAGCGACGACACTTCGGTTTACTGGAGTATGTGCCAGAGCTAAACCTGAATTATGTTATACTGTTACACTAATAGTAATAGCTCCGTATGTCGTATAAAGAGGGTTCAATCAGACTTGTAGCGATTCTGATCAGATTATGAATGGATTATATATCTTGAATCTTTTTTCTCGCTACTTAGGATCATTGGATTTATCGATATGAAAATACTGATTTTTACCTGCTGTCCATGCTATCTGTGCCGACTTTTGTGAAATCGTACAGCTTGAATATTGCAGGCTTCCGAATTTCGTCTTTGGTGACACCCTCGATTGGTTTCCGAGTTGTCATTACGACGACACTGATCTAAAAATAGTTTTCATTGTTTCATCAAAATATAACGTGAAGATTAACTTAATTAAACGACTATTAGATTGTTTATCTTTACATTATCAGTGTGATCTTACCTTCCCCCTGCTTTTACTCTTCACGCTGTACTGGGTAAGGCTAATAGGGCCTCCTTTCTCATAAAACACCGTCGAGGAATAAGGTGCTCCGGGGACTTTGAGCTCTTTTGGAAACCCTTTCCTTCCTGATTGAAAGGTCCCAACCATGGTCATCTGAAGAGATAATTGTTATGGCTTACTCCAAGTAAACTGGAGGTAAAATATTATATTGGCAATACGGCAAAATGACCAATAATTGTAGAGTGTAAACAAAACCACGACTGGTAGTACAGTTGATATAATGGAGTCGAAAAAAATAAAAACGGTGCAGAAAGCTTTTCATCACCTGATGTTTATTGTAAAGATATTCAGCTATGTCCACGCTTGTGTAGAGCCTGTCCATTGTTAAGTTCCTCCCAGAAAGGACAACACGCTCAGAGAGGTAGTCGACCAAATACTTTGTGTAATTGTCTGTACCCGACAAGTAGAACTGGTTGGGACAGTCGACAGGTTTGCCAGCATACACGTGGCTAGTATACGTGTAGGGGAAGCTGACAGCGTTGATGGATTTGAAGTTCACCCCATACTTTTGGGGCTTACCCTTGTTGTAAACTTTAAATTGTACCTGTGTGTACAAATTGTACAGGGTCTCATCTATGGTAAGATGTTCATCTGGTATGATCGGCCGCGACCAGCGGTCCACAATTACCTCGAACAAGTAACGTATGGCCGCAAGTCGGTCATGCTTCCACCTACTGCTCCTGTCCTCCGTTTGAACTGCTCCATCAAATGATAGATGCCTCAAGATCCATTTGAATCTCTCCCGAGGCATGGTGGCAGAAAATATAGGGAGGGCTTCAGGTAAGTAAAGGTTGCTCAATCTCGAAGTTCCCTGTTCCCACATGCCCCGCAAGAGCCACAATCCAATAAAAGCTCTAAACTCAATAACAGTCAGCAATCCTTTCCAAGATGGAAACTTCGCCGCTAGTTCTTTGTCCTGGAAAAATGTTTATCTTACAATGTATCTAACTATAATAGTGATTAGTTAATATATTCATCATAGCTATGGATAATTATGGGGTTGGAAATTTTATAATTATTGAGACTTACTTCATCAGTGACCGTGTAGTCTCCTTCCACAAGTTGGTCTAGTTCACTTCTAATCCGGGTTGTCACATCTGTTCCGTCTTCTGTGTGATCTACGTCAACATCAAGTTGCTCTGGAAATTCAAGTGGTACCTAGAAATGTGTGTCACTGAAGATCTTAGTTATTGAAGTATAATCCAACGACGAGAATTTTCTTTTTTGTGTTCTAGATTCACTTAGAATTATCGAGACGTTTAAATAATAACCATGAATTACCTCTTGATCATTTTCACCGTCTTGCTCTGCTCCCAGATCTTCGTCAAACCATGCTGCAACACCAGCTGAGTCTTCCACTTCACATTCATCTTCGTCATGGTCGTCTGTTTCAGAATCACTATCACCATCGGCAGGGTCTTCTTGAACTGGTTAGGAGTTTTACTATACTGGTCAAGTCCATCTTACGATCAAAAATTACGAGTATTTAGAATTAAGAGAATAGTGAGGTCAAAAAAATTGGATTCTGAATATTTAAAATCCTGTTGGCAGTTTACTTACTCTGGCTCTGAAGAGTAGAGACAATCCGTTTATTCACAAAAGAAACTACTTTTGCTTGCAGAACTGCTGGAAAAAAGTAGTCGAACCCTTGTAGTGGTGTGACTATGTGTTGGACTTCTCTCGTGGGTCCAGGCTTTCCAACAATCATGTCACACTGACTACGTCGCACTTTTGTGTTCGTTTTAGTAGAAAAGTGCAGAGTTCTGACAGGAGCTTTTTTTGAAGTGCCCAGTTTTATTGTTCCAGTCAGTTTCCTCTCTGGCATATCCTTCTGGCTTGCATCGTCGTAATTACACTCCTTCTGGGCCTCCAGGAGATTTTTTACAGGTCTGCGATAAATGGGCAATTTCTTCACCCGAGTTCTTGATACTGTCACTTTCTTGGAAGTTGGAACAGGCATATGGGCTGATAGAGCTGCTAGCAGCTACTTGAACTAGTGGGGGCCGGGGGTTTGACTGCGAGTCAGAGGAGGAACATGCTGAAGGCCAAGTCATTTCAAAGTTTTCTGGTACAGTAGTGTGTTTTCTTGAATCGGAAGTAACAAGAGACGGGCGTTTTGCAGGATTCACTTTCAAAACAAGAACGTCCTTATCAGATACTTTTCGCTTCAAATTCATGTTGTTTTCGATTCTCAAAGAGTCTTCATTGAACTCGAATGTTGAATGTGAACTGCTTGCTTTGACAATCGGTCTTTTTTCACTTTTTTCACCCTCAATTGAAACAAGACGACTAAAACCTTCTCTTTTCCATTCAATCCCGTCCTGAAGAATAACGAGTCCTTGGTCGGCTTTCAATATCAAATGTTTTACATCCACTTTAGTCGTCATTTTGTCATCAAAAAAATAGACGTCACATCGGGTAGGATACACTCTATCAACGACACCAAACATTTCTTGTTTGCTGCCGTTCTTGAACTTCGAACTCCAACGACTCTCTTCATCACTGTTACCATCATCATCAAAGCAACCAGCAAGCACAGTGACGAGAGTCCCTTTACTAAAGCGGGAATCTGTTTGCAGTGAACTTGAACGTGTGGGCATATTTCTACAATCTAGGATACTTCCGCATTAAATATATTATACACATCACATAAAAATGAATCATGTTATATTGATGCTGTTAGTGTTAACTTCCAAACGATATAAAATCTGCAAAAGTTAAACCAGGGGTGGAGAAGTTCACGTGACCATTCTTAGTAAGAAGTTCAAAATTCTGTGAAATAATTTTGATACTTCAGTTGAAGTCGAAACTGGACTGATAGGGTATGCAATGATAAGACGGTTTATTCCGCAAAAAGGGAGGTACAAGTTAATCAAAACGCTACAGTAAGCAAGGCTAATCGAATAATATAAGCCGATGTGTTCAAGATTGACTGCGTTAACAATGTTTCAGTAAATGATTGGTATTCAAGTGTTAATAGTTTATAGATGTTTTGTTATCAAAACAGTTAATCGGCGTACCTCATTAACATGTAACTTGAGGTCCTATTAGAGTATTATGTTGCACAATGTGCAATTACGTAAACAGCTCCCGCTGTACAAACATTTACTGTGAACCATGGTTAATTCCGTGCCAACCGTGTAAAATTCCTGGAAGATTTCATTGGCTGTGCGGGCAGCGGGTATCCCCACCCCTGTTCAGCACAGTACGTAGACTGTATAGATGTAAACAGTAAATAAATACATGATAGTTCACAAAAATATCGATTGAAAATATGAAGATTAGCCGTACCACATATTTATTATTATCAAGAACAATTTCAAAGTGGGTGACATAATTGGTTTTGATACAGTGTAATCTATAGTAATAGACTGTGCGCACTCTCTCAGTAATTTTGATCGAATTATATGGATTGCTATGTTGCTTCCGTAATGAATTGCTCAAAACGGGACATTAGATCATTCTCAGAAGTAAACTGATGAGGATACCACTCCCATGGAAGATTGAATAAGAAATCCAATTACGCTTCCTTTGATGTTGTAGGACAAATTTGCGACACAATAGTTTTAAGGTCCATTTTGTGACTAACATCAATCAAATTAGCTGTAATTAGTTATCCAAAAATGTCACAAAATAAATTTTTAGATTAACTTGTTCAAAATTTTCTAAAACTAAGCTACCTGAAAAACCAGCCAAAAATATTTTATACACACTGTTTTGTGGAGCTGGATAGGTGGTCGCGGACTTTTTCAAGACACACTAGGCTAAATACTGTTAAAAGAGTCTTCTCGGCCCAGAAAAAGGGCATTCGCGCTGCAGATAACCAATACCACCGCTATTTTTATGACAAAGATCTGAATAGCACACCTTCACACACAAAGGAAATTTTCAATAAACTAGAAGTATTAGCTTTACCGAACTTGATAGCTAAATGTATATTATGCTTAATGCACAAAGTTTATTCTAACACTGCGCTGCACCACCAAATATTATAAGAATGTTCACTGTTTCAAACTTAAACGCACCTAGAAGAGAACCTGAGTTCTTTGCAGTACCATTTAACCGTTTATGTAATTCAGACAAGAGCATTTCTTACATTGGGCCTAAGTTATATAACCAAACAGTCAACATTATTAACAAGGACATAAAATATGTCACCACTTGCCTACAAGACAAATTCCTAAATTCATTCAAGTCTACAGTCAACAAGCATGTGCTTACTGCACAAGCACATAAACCGGATGACAAGGACTGGGACAACTCAAATTTCGTACTTTTAGAAATTTAAATAATTTGGTACAACATACGTTGATCATAATAACGAGCAACAAAACTTTAACCTCATAACAAAATATGACTATCTTCGAGCATTTTTTACAATGCTATCGACACCGCGCAATTTCACTGTCATTTACAACTTTTAAAAGATAAAAATATCACCGCGCATTCTTCAGACCCTGTGTCGCTGTTCTAAATTTATGTCAAGAGATAAGAGTTATTTAAAATTCTTAATAGTACTATTTAAATTTGCTAATAGCATAATCATATTTTATACATTATTAATACTTTATACATTGTGTGCATATATTTATATTTGATTGTAATTAAAGATTTTAAGGCGTTAGTGCCGAGTAATGCCTTCGGGTAGTGCTCCTCAATCAATCAAAAACAGTGAATAAACACGCTGAAAAGCGATGAAAATGCAAGCGCGCGACCGAATATGTAGTGCTGAAAGAGGGTGCCGAAATCTCGCGGAGAATCTCACGATATCGTGAGCCTAGCTATGAGATTTAAACGAAAAATCAGGCAAAAATCTCGCGCGCGTTACGTCGAAGTTTTCACTCTATAAACAAGTGATAAAATACACGTTGAGTACAAGAGTATAAAATACATGTTAAGTTCCTAATTCCTTCAACTTTTAAGTTAAACTTTTTCTGTTTCCTCATTTATTTACAAATTTTGTGCGATGAGTCTGGCTCGCAATCTCGCATAAATCTTGAGCTGGGCTTCTCGTATGCAAATCGGCGAGATGCGAAGGATTGACATCGTGAATCAAGCAACATATAAATTATTTGTTCTCGGATGTAGCGCGGCATTATTTCATTATTCTGGCGCGATATAAATCACGCTGGATAATGAAATGATGAAGTTGTGCAAAGTTTAACTTTCGTGCGCTACATTTGCGTAATATATATATTTGTATCCTTGTATCCTTGTATCCTTGTATCCTATATTTGTGAGTCCTTCCTACGCTCCAGACAAGTCTAGACACTAGTGTAAAGCGACTGGGCTAATCAGTGTGTTATGTGCTTGAATATATAGTTTCTATGTTTGAATGTGGTGTGTATTGTGTGTAGTATGAAATCTATATGAACCAGTTTGTGTGTTATTATAAGCACATGTCATTTCAATCAAATTTGAGTTCTGACCATTCATCAGTGTTTCCAGCTTTTTGAGCATTGAGTAGCATATATTCATAATGCGACCTTTAACAAGTGCAATTGCATGGGGACGAGAAGTCAATCTTACTAGAAGGTTTAAGGAATTTATTCCACATACTCGAGGTTTTATATACAAACAAATTGGTTGCGGAAGAGTTAATAAAGTAGTTATCACGTCGAGGTGACTTTTGAAATAAATTTTACATCGGTATTGGAGTGTGAAGTTTGATTATTTTTAACATTTTAAGTAGACAGTGGTACTTATACAAATTATGCACGCAAAGTATTGAGTTTCTGCTGAGAAGGGGTTTACTTGATTCACGTTTATAGAAGTCGGCTCCAAGTTTTTGGGATCCAATTGGGTGGGTTCTAGCACATATTGTGAACTTATTACTGTACGCCTCTTGATCACCAAATAGAATACGAGTGCACTTTTTTTGAATTTTAAATATTAGTCCTAGCCTATTGTTCGATAATTATGTTTTACAATGCTTGTCAATTTTTATCCTATAATTTGATTGCAAATAAATTGGTTTCTCCCTAATTGTAGATGTACTTTTCTTTTCGCATATCCACACCAAATTAACAGGTGATACCGAAATAATATTTATTCGAAATTAATATAACATCGTCAAAGAGTTGTGAAGCAGCTCGGCGCATGCATTAGCAGGTTATAAATTCAGAAACGAATACAGCTAACATCCCTGTTCAGTTTATTTGAGCACAATCTAGTCCCTCTGCATTTATAACAAACATATCGTTTCATTGACCAGGCCAACTCACAACTGATTCGTCCACTATTGTGTGTTAAATTAGTACATTTAAATTAGAATTTCTTCGTTTCCTTAAAATGTTTATTTAGGGTTTTAAATGTGAAAAAACCTCTACCATGACCTCTGTGGGAAATCTACGCAGATCAGTTGTTCAGCTGTACAAAGAATTGCAGTTTATGGGACGAGAATACCCTGCTGGTGCAGACTACTTTCAAACAAAATGCAAAGCTGCCTTTCTGAAGAACAAGGATGAAACTGACCCTGAGAAAATTCTAATGTTAATTGATCGAGGAAGGTTTGTTCAGAAGGAAATAGAGGCTTTGTATGGTTTGCGGAAGTACAGGGCAATGAAAAATAGATACTATGATCAGGATGAAATGGATATGCAAAGCAAAAGAATTGAAAATTTCATAAAGCAGTTGTAGCTCTACAGTATACATTTTTGAGGGATTTTAGGCTAATTTTAACCATTGTTACAATTTATATCATACTGTTGTACTAAATATAAATTACAAGAGTGTGTCCAAGTGTTCTATTCAGTGTTTCTAATTCCAGTTTTAAGAAATAAATTTGTAAACTAAAGGTTTTATTATATGATTTTTACTTTTGTGCTAGATAGCAAGTTGATACATAAGGATTAAAACCTGTAAAATATGTTAATAAGGCACGTAAAACGATAATTATTTAAAATTAATCAGGAAAGTCGGCTGCATGTTATCTTCTTCTCCCGACCCAAAATTATCATCACTATATTCCAGTATCTTTCAATTCCAGAATCTTTCAATTTATCCGATATTGCTTTCTCAGTGACGTGATAATAAGTGTTACATATTATAAACACACATTCTATTTTTACATTTCCATAACATTTGTGGTAATGATATTGTATATTACATAATATGAAGTTGGGTTTTTTATTGTAAGGCTGCTACCAAAATGAACAATTAACCATTTTTGCCATAAATAATATATTTGAGAAATTTAGTGGCAAAAATAAAAAGAGAATTAGTTTCTTGTATGTTTGTATAAGCTTATTTTAATCTTCCAACTTACTACAGGTCCTTGTTTATGAATTATGACATAATACCATGTAAGTTGTCTTCCTCTTGATATTGCTCATGAGTACGGAAAGGCCTAAATCTCGCAATATTTGGAAACATAAGTGGGTGTTTCCTATTGCTGTGATCTATGTTGTAATCTTTCAAGCTTATGCCATGAACATTGGGAGACTTGCAGGTTTGTTGCAGTGTATCTTCACCCTTTAATTCTGAAATGCAGAGATTAATATAGGATTCACTTTATAAGTTTAAGTCATAGTTTCACTGTCAGTTCAATACTTAAATTTACTGCTCTGATGTACCTGTTTTCTTTAATCAGGAAATGCAGATAAAGAATCCCAGAGCCGAGGAGGAACTATTGAAGCTAACTTGTCGGCCTTTATAAGAGCTCAGGAAGCTAAGGAATCTGAGAAGAATCAGCCTTAATAACTATGGAAAAGCTTTCCATATTGTAAATTGAAAGTCTATTTAAACAGTTTAATATTTAAAAATATGTTTTGTGCATAGAATTGTTTAAATTATAATTATTTTGTACCCAATTTTGAATTTGATAGTGGTTCATTTGACTTGGTTCCAATTGCTGTTTTTATTGTTAATTTTCAAGAACGTAAATCTGCTCAACAACTTTGAATTGATGATACTCAATCATTAGGCATAATGCAACATTTATTGTCACTTTTGAATACATTCTGTATCCTGTAAACCATTATGAAATATACATCAACTCAATTTGAGTTATATACTGTTTTAAGTCAAAGATAGCATTAAGATCTTTTCCTCATTTTAAAATCTCACTTTTGTAAATAAGCAAATTGTATCAATAAATAAAAACTGCTCTCATGTCCAAGTTAATCTTTTCTGCAAATTTTGCTTGGTTGGTACTACAAGCTGATAGGCCAATGGCTGGCACTTGTCATTGCAAACCACCTTACTCCCGATCCCCTATTAGTCATTGAAATCATGATTTAATTCAAAAGTTGCAAAAGCTGTTCGATTTTATAGGTTTAACTTAGTTTGATCTTTACAGTAGAATGAGATATACTTATGTTGTTCCTTACAAGTATTTGATGAAACTTCAAGCAAATTTGATGAAACTTCAAGCAAACTGTAAATATTATATATGATTATAATAGCAATATAAACCTTCTGTTTCATGTTGTAGAACCTGAAACAGAAGGTTCGAGAATTTTAATTTTATAATCGTGGTACATTGTAGGCATATAAGTTGTTGCAGATCTGAGCTAATAAAGATATTAATGCCCCTACTACTGAAAGGTTGTAATCATTTCAGCTGACGTTGCATGAACTGGGCTGCTTTCCTTGTTGACCCAATCCATTTATCTTAACTTCATTCTTTGATACTGTACATAAATGTCATTTAATCCTGTGGATTTTCATGTACTACCGAAAGAAAACTATCTGAAATCGAGGAAAATTCAATTTTCTGTTGAAGAACTTGGATTGCATGGGTTGTCAGAGGATATGGTCGACATTGAGACTTGGTCGGAAACATCAGGTCAAGCAATTCCAGATGATTTTGAGCTACGATTTGTCAACCCTCCAAGATCTCTACCACTTAGCTTGAAAATAGACAGATGGACAGGGGAGCGTGTTTACATGTATCTTGATGTGACAAATGATGACTATTTAGGTCATTTCAAAGTAAAGCTTCCCCCAAGGCCTATTCCTGAGTTTATTCCAGAGTTTTTTTCCATAGGGAAAATTCTTACCTGGGCTATGCGTGAGCAGACAGATGTGAGTCAAATTGACTTTTTTGTTCTGAGTGCAGCACTTCGGGATATTGCTCGAGCTCAATTCCATGAGCTATCCTCATCCTGGAAATGTGCTGTATTTCATTTCAAAGGCAGAATTTTTATTGATCGCTTAGTACACGATTCTGAGCGATACTGGATGAAAGGCTTAGATGAACGTCCTCAGAACTACAGAAAGTGTATAAGAGAGCCTGATCTCCTTTTCACCCTGAAATTATGGGGTATTAAGCCAAAGAATTTTGATCTTGACGATATCGGTAAAGATATCCACTATCCCCAGAAATTCTTAACACATCAAGAACTTTCTAAGTATGGGAAGAAGTTCGAGGATGTCATGAAAAGTGGGGGCCTAGGAGATCCTGGTTACAGCGGGGAACGTGATGAGTTAAAATGCGTTAAGCTTATCAGTCTTTGTAATCACAAAATTGCCACTGTTTCCAGAAAGGTCTGTCACGATATTGATCCCATCAGTAACCAATTAATTCATACTGAACTTAAAACGATGTTTCCTCAAAAATACGAAACATATGCAAGAATAAGTAGCATCAAGGCTTTAAAACTATGGATACATTGTTACTTAGTTGGTGTTGAAACTGTTTACTGTGGGTTCCGCGACTTGGATGGAACTTTGATCGAGGTAAAGAAGTACACAATGGCCCACCTTGCTGACATTGGTAAAAATGACTGGACACCTGACAAAGTTCTCGGATTTTTGGATTCAGTTTTATCATGGCTTAAAGAAAAGCTTAATAGTAATGCAGTTCGCAGGATGTGTTGCTCAAAAGAATTTCTGAGCAAAACAGAATTGGAATCAGATGCTGGCGAAACGTTTACTTTGAGTCATGATGGTGATGGATGTATTCAGCTATACAAAGAGTGTCACCCCGAGTTGAGGAAAATCATAAGTGAAAGGTATTTTCATGTTGCAAATCCTGACCAGGGCATCTATAGTGAACATAATGATTTTGATAAAATTCCTGATTCGTGGGACAGTTCTGATGACTCCGATTCAAGTTATAGCAGTTGTGTGAGCTCTTTTGACTGCTAACAGACTCCAAAAGTCCAGACGTTCAAGAAAGTAATAGTACTGATAGAATATTGATTTTTAAGAAGTCCTGTCGGAATTTGGATGTGAGTTATTTTTAAATGGTTTATATTAGATCTATTTAATTCAACAAAACATTTTTATTTGTTGATAATTTTGTAACTTACGTTTCATTCTGTAAATTAAATTAAATCTATACTACTGGCCCTACTGGTTATTAAATTTGGTTTATAATTTCGAATATCATATATATATATATATATATCTTATGATCTAATAAATTTATCCATATCTTTTTTGTGAACTGCCTATTTTGTGTCTCCGACACTTCATTTCAGACGTTTATGATTGGCTAGGAATGAAATTTGTTTGACCCAATTTGGTTACTCGTAGTTGGACAGTTATAAATTAATCCAAATTTGTGGGCCAATCTGTTTTTTAAATTGAAGAATAGTTGATGAAAAACTACGATCATCGCTTAAAGCTTTAGTGTTAAGAATTGATATGATTTTCCATATTTATATATTTACCAACTTTCTTAAAATATATTTTCTATAAATTGTTTTTAAAAATAATTATAAAGCTACATTTTATCATGATTTACTTTATATGGTCAGCTGTTGGATAATTGTTTAGTCTTTTATACATTTATGGTTATAATGAGGAACACTGAATAATTTGACTTGTGTTTTTCAAAAAATCTTGATACTTGTACTTGTTTCAATTCTTCAAAACACAGTGTCGCACCAGAAGATTTCGCAAATTCGTTTTTTTGCTATCACTCGTGTTTGCAATTCATTATTTGAAGATAAATATTTTATTTTGATTGTTGATTTCTGTTATAGAAACTTATATGAGGGTTTTTTTAAGCATTTTAAGACCGAATTCATACCACTTACTCTAACCGTAGCCCCATCCCAAACCCTAACTCTACTGATAGTTATTATTAAACGGAAGGGATTCGGTCCGCTTACCATTGACAACACACAATCTACGTGATTAAATTACCAAGTATGTCCGAGTATTCCGAGTATTTCGAGTATTCCGAGTATTCCGAGTATTCTAGGTATGTCCCAGTATTCTGAGTATTCTATTTAACCGGTTTCACTTCAGCTATTAGGCCATGACCTCTAAACACTGGACAGCAGATCCAGATGGAGAAGTTCAGATCAAGGTACTGAAATAATTATTTAATTAATCAATTAATAATTGGTTTATTAGATAATTGTTTTACTGAATAATTCTTTTAATTTTACAGTTATAATGATTTGTTTTGTTCCTAATGAGCGCACGTTAAATCCATGTCTTGTTGTTGGGTAAAAGGAAGGGAGGATGGGAAGGAAGCTAATTATTATAGAAACTTGGCTTGTCAAGGCCAAACATAGGGTTGTGACTCAATAATTATTAACTTATAATTAATTATAACTCAACTTTATCACAGTAACTCTGAAGAGTGTAGATTTACAGATATGTAGACACGGTTCAGCTGGTATCTAATTTAACAGCTGAGAGTTTTTACGTTTTTTATTAAATAGTTAATTTACATGATTAAAGAATGTATTTTAAAGTAAACCTTATTTCAGAAAACGTTGTCTGGTCCATCATCAGTTCCCCCCAGGACTATACATGATGTAAGTTTTTTGATTATTTATCTTTTTATCTTGACTCCTTTTTACTGTTATGTTCTGTTTCGTAAATTGGAATAACAGATCATAATACAATGCAATTATTGTGTCAGACCGTGAAAAATAAATAAACATATCAAACAGTCTTTGGATCACATAATTAAACTGAACAAATCGTGGTATCACTCCAAAAATTTGTGATAATCCCTTATCTCTCGTCATAGGTTTATCATTCCTTTCTCCACTGCATATTATTCCTTTTTTAATGAAATGTCAGCCTTGACTCAAGGCCCTCGAGGTTCAGGTGCTGTTTTCATTTTTACCTGTACGAGTTAATTTTGTACTTTTCGCTCCTCTAGTGATATATTTTGGCACTGATTTAAACTTGTTACATTGTCTGAGATATTTAGATTCTGATAAGATTATCCTGGCAGATAGTTGGAAAACACAACCTCTACAGGTCGGAGCTCCCTTGCCATTTGCCAATCCGACTACCTTAAATAGTATTACGTGGTTTTTCGTCCAGCACCTCAAATATGTAATCTTCCAAAATCTCTTCTTATATGATGATGATTTTCCGTTTAATATCAAAGCTTTATTTGGGAAGAGAACCCAGTCGTGTTTTGTGCCATCATCAGTGATCTTGTAAGATGGTCATTCAAGAAAATTCAGTCAAAAAAGTGAAATTTGGGTCGCGGAAAGTTTTCTCCGGATATACTGCTTCCAGTACCTTGATGGCGACTTGTGTTATTCGGCTGGAACCTTCAGAAATCGCTGGAATTAATTACACAGCATCGTCTGAACTCACTTGAAACTCCACAGGTATATGAGGTAATACTTTGTTTTACTAATATAACATTACAAAGTATTACCTCATACCTGTGGAGTTTCTGTGGAGTGTAAACATTATATATTATTAATATACTCAGCAGTCGGCATATAAAATTCTAGTTTCTACATTAATGTTAAAAGCATTAATTATCATAAAACGCAAAAATTTTTATAGGGCCTAGCTCCAAATGCTTAAGAACTGTTTCGTTTTAATCGCCGACATTGAAAGTCGAAAATTCGCGAGCGAAGCAAGCAGGCCACAGAAAACAGAAAATTTGTATCTGCGAGGAAATTTTTAACGTTCTGTGGGCTTATTGATCAGCAAAACGAGGGCATCGCAGACGAATGGCCTAACTTTATGTTATACTATATATAGCGGGACTAAGGAAATCAAAGCGCAACATTAACCGTAATGCTGATAACAACCTCGTCTTAATACCATAAGCACGCCCGCAAGTATTACCGAATCAATTTCACTGCATAGTGCATACCATCTTAGTTACACTGTCCACATTTCACCAGCCACAACGGTATGATGCTATGCGACTGATAACAGTCGTACAAACAAAATTTTGAAATAGCTAGCTAGCTTTAGCTATGCGCCTGTTTCCCCTCTACAACTCTACTACTACTACTACTACTACTTTGTCGGAGCTAAGTCCGATCTACGCCAGAAAACCCCCTCCATATATCCCTGTCCCGCATCAGGGTTCGCAGTTCCTCTTTAGAGTTTGTCCCAACTTCCTTCAGTAACATAGACAAGTAGCTTTGTCTTGGTCGGCCTTGCTGTGCTCTACCGTGCGTAGGTTCCCATAAGACTAAATCACCGGCAAGTAGCTCAGGATGTCGGATGCAGTGTCCCGCCATTTTTAATCTCCTGCTTCGTAACTTGTTTGACAGCCTTGGGAGGCTACCATACAAAGTTATATTGCTGACCTTGTCCTTCCATGAGATACCCAGCACCATACGCAACATCTTTGTGTATGTCCCGTCCAAACTTTTCTCTTGAGCCTTTGTCAGTGTCCAGGTTTCTGATCCGTAGAGCAGTACTGATTCACAAGCCGCTATGAACAATCTAATCTTTAGGCTCTTTGAGAGTTTGGATTTCCAGATATCCTTCAGTCTATGTAGGGCACCCCACGCTTTTCCCTTTCTAACCCTTATCTCCCTATCTGTGCTCTCAATCCAGGAGCCTAAGTAGATGAAGAAAAGTGCATTAATATGATAATTTCAACTCAGAAAGTGCATTAATATGATAATTTCAACTTTACAATCCGAAAGGCAACTTAAATAATTAATTGCGCTCAGCTATGCTTGTTAAATAAGCTCCATTTTAATAGTTTCAACAACATCTAATCTTGTGTGAGTTTTTGACTTTTAGAAGATAATATTTATTATATATTTTTTGAGTAAACATTGGCTGGTACTTCGGGCCAGTTCCCAACAAACAAAAAACAATTCAAGAGATCTGTGATGCCTTCAAACCAAGATATACTGTCTTCACGCAAGTCCTGAGGTTTTAAGGTCACCATAGCAATACTTCTGATTGAGTTCTTTGCTCAGTTCCACAAGTGATTTTCTAGCTATTTCTGTGTGCTATGTAAACTCGAGTGTATCACAGAGTTACACAGAGTAAAGGTAGCTGATATCGCACTGATAAGCAGTGAACTAATAAGAGACAAACAACGTAACTAAAATCAACTTAATATAATATTACATATTCTTAGTAGGAAACTGTTATTTATACTTCCTTCTTGACTCTGAGCATGCATAAATGCCAATTCGTCAGTTATCGGATTACTCTGGGCAAGGAGCCAGATAAAAACAAAATAATAAATATGTTTTAATTTGGAATAGAAGTATTTAACCGATCGAATTGGTTACAACTACCATAAATCTGACCAAGTTACTCGCTTTTACTGTTGCTTACGTGTAAGTACTAAGTAACATGCATCGAGTAACGAGCTGATATTGATATATGATATTAGTAAGATATGATACAATACTTAACATATCTAATGATAAGTATTGCAGTAAAACCCCGATTTAACGGTCAGTAAATCGAGTAACCTGTAAATTGGAGTTTTGATTCATTCTTAAATCACTAATAGACGATCACTTTTGGGGATCTGAGAAACAACCATCGACCTCCCTGGTATAATATGGGGGTTTTTAATTAAAACTTGTGCAACACAATCATTAACATATGATAATATTCAGGTGTTTCTAGCTACAGTAACGGCCCATAAAGACAGCCCCGCACTAAAAGTAAAGCGAACGAAAGGTTGGGCCACGTGGACATACAATCAATATTATAACGACTGTAGTACAGCTGCGAAAGCCTTCATCAAACTTGGTACGTGTTATGTTACGATTAATCTTAACGTTAACGTTTCGATGTTTTATATCTTTTGATGCTACAATCGGAGGAATGTTGTGCATAGTTTGCATAATATTCACGTTTAGGGTGAGATCATTGAAGTCCTTTTGGGGTTTGCAGCTTACCGTGATTGTTTAAGATATTGTGTAGATATCAAAGCTAGATAATGTATCAATCACGCCGGTTCTCATCGTATGACATTACTTTGACCTAATTTGCGACCACACTATTTAAGAGATTAAAAATGAAAACATTAAATACCAGCGTTGGCACAATCCCAAATACCTATGTTGGCGTCATCAAGTGATCAGCTGACATCAATTATAAATATCGCTTGTAAATATGTACACTTGTACAGTGAATACTTACTTGTAGCGTGAACACTCGACTCTGTATCCAATACTTTGTGATGATTAAAGTGAATGCATATTCATGCTTGTGGCTCATAATCGTTATGTTTAACAAAAACAACATAACAAGCTCGGTATGGAACGCAAGGGTTCAAGGAACACTGATATCATATTCTAGAATGAACACTTTTTCGTATCTGTCATCCCGAAAATTGCTTGTAATCTGTTCGATTTCCTGTCCTCTGATTACGTATAGGGCCCAAATTCCACGTTTGATTACGGCTTATCATTTGATTACATCACAAGGCACAATGTGGCAAATTCTGCTAGGAAATTGTGTTTGGTTTTGTAACGCGCGATGACTTGTAATTGACTATGGGAAGGTGGGCTAACGCGCGCACAGCAGAACATATCGTGTCCGTCTTAGAAATTAGAAAAAACCTACTGAATTGCACGCAGAAAGTGGCCTTATATTAGACAGACTGCTGATTCGATTGTACAGAAATCTTCTCTTATACTCATAATCAGTGATGCAGACAGCATGGCACCGTTAATATGATATGTTACAAATAGGACCTTATTCCTTAAACTGCTTAGATCTTAGACAATAATGCAGTTCCCGATTATTAATGTAATTAAGTTATTATTGTGCTAATAACTGTGTACTAGCAATTCAATAAAACTGCGTCATCTTATCAAAGACAATCACGTCATGGGTGTGGTCGTATCCTTCAGCAAGTGATTCATTATACCACTAATTGGCACACATTCAGTGTTATACATAATTTGGCATGGTGTAAAAGTTGAGACTGTAACTTTTGGAGAGCTGATTTATCACTGACACATTGTAATGATATCATGAACGAATAACGATCGTGTTACTGTGATTGAAACACGTTGCAACATTCCTCTCATTCCTGAACATACCGACCCGACTAATGTTAACATGTGTTGAAGAGGGCGGGAGGATGTGGTCTTATCTTTCAAATTTTCTGGCAGTTTTTAAAACTTTTTATCGTCCTGTATTCCTAAAACTCCAATATTTTCAGGTTTACAGCCGGCTAGTGCCGTGTGTATTATGGGATTTAACGCTCCAGAGTGGTTTATCGCAGATATAGGATCCATAATGGCGGGAGGCATTGCAGCCGGGATTTACACAACTAACTCTGCCGAGAGTTGTAAATATATCCTGTCTCATTCTAAGGCTCAGTTTATAGTAGTGGAGAACAGGGCCATGCTGGATAAAATACTGCAGGTAATATTTGAGTTGTTGGAATGAATTTATTTATAGTCTTTCCACAGTCCACACGTTGTTTTCAAAATGAATGTTTTCAGGAACCACCGAATAATTCATTAAATGTATATGTTACGTATCGATTCTTATCATAATAAACATATTCACACGCACCAAACAGTACATCTCCAAATCGTGTATAATAAAGGCCATTAACAGTAATACGATACATTGTTTTCTACATAACGGTTACATACTGTATGCAGTATGAGTAAGTAAAGTAAGTAGTGTGAAAGTAGTGCTCTATCGCATGAGGAGGGGGGAGGGCCAGGGGGGGGGGGGGGGCTTTCAGTTGTGTTATCTTCCCTGAAATTATCGGCAGAAATGACCGACTATCTCCTTACTGCTCAGCCAGGAATTGTAACCACTGCCAATGACGATAAAGTTATTAAGAAATCTTCTCGTGTCTTCTCAAACATTCCATTCAAATCTCAAATCATAGTGTATTTAGACACGAAGTCTCAAATTTATCTGATCTGGCAAAACAGACGCTTCCATCTAAAATTCAAAATCAGATAAAGGGGATTTCTCACGGTTCAAGTTTCCTTAATTCTCACACAAAATGGCTGATAAAATTTGTAACAAAAGTTTTACTCCATACACGTGGGTCGTACCCTGTTTTGTGCTCATCTTAAAATAATTTCTCTTATCATCAGGTTAAACAGCAGTTACCAAGCTTGCTGTATGTAATTGTGTACGATGACGTAGTTACTCAAGAGCAAAAGGATCAAAACGTTTTGGATTGGGATACTTTCATGAAGATAGGTTTGTTATCATTTCACATTAATTTAATGACGAGTGTCTCTTGTTATTACGAGGTTATGTAATAACGTCACTGAAAGTGAAACTTGATGTAGTTCCAGTTGAAACTTGGCACTGATCTAATTCACGTTCAGGAAGTGATATACCTGAGTATGAACTACAGTGGCGACTGAAGAATCAGAAACCCAACAAATGTTCCACTTTAATATACACAAGCGGAACCACCGGGCCTCCAAAGGTAACTTTTCAATAACACTTTTCCTGCTTAATTTCAGCCAGAATAGTTAGTGAAAATTGTGATGAAGACAAGTGTGTTGAAGCACGCTACGTTAAATTGCACCATATAGTGCAAATAAAGTACATAGTACAATGTACAGTGGCGAATGTACTATGTACAATGTACCCTGTACAGTGTACATAGTACATACATTGATATCCTGAACACGCCAGTCGTGCACGCGACCAGACGGGACACCAAGCTTTGTCACCGTACCTAACGTGGGTGTTTGTCCGTCTGTTTTTGTGTTTTACAATGAAATAGGTGTGGAACTGATGATTTGTTCGATTAGAAGTTATTTTCCTGAATCTCAGTCAAGTTAGTACTACTACACGTTAGCATTATTACAGTAAAACCCCGATATACCACAAACCCCGATTTACCGCGGGTGTTTCCTTTCCCCAAACTCGGCGGTAAATCGGGGTTTTACTGTACATTGAATTGTTGTCAATCGTGTTTATTTACTGATTCTGTGTGTCTAATTGTTATGTTTATTATCTGTTTTCCTTGATAGTCATCTAGATTAAATCTAGTTTTACAACATTAATTCAATTTTATACTTTTGTAACCTATATATTCCTGTCTCGATAGGCTATAAGATATCTCCTTTTGCGTAATTTCGTCCATCGTGGCATCGTTTGTCCACGAAAACAGCTATTGAATTATCTGACTACATATTTTTTACGTCGAACTATGTTGCATACACGATATTATGACGTCTCAGCCCTAGATAGACCAGTGACATTCGCTTAACCCCTTAATTTCCACTTATATCTCTTATCTAGGTTCTCACACCTGCCACAAGGCACTGGCAGAGAGTCCACATAATCTATATTCTGTGCTCTGTGCGTGGTCCGTGTTATCGAAATGATTGAATATTAATTAAACGTCAAATATGTACTCGGACATGTACAATCTACGATCCGCGGATTGATATTAGTTTTTAAAACCGCTGACACGTGATCTGACCGTACTCTTTGTATTGGTCAATTTTGGCTGAGATCTTTATTTCAAATGTGGTTATTATATCCAATATCCCGTGCAACAATATTGTTCAAACGATTGAATAAAGGTTTAATGTTAACCATACTATACTATAGCATGTATAAATTATTAAAAACAAATATTATTGCGGATCACACTAAAATCCGCGATAATATTTGTTTTTAAAACCAATCACGTGACACTTATATGACGTCACAGAACTCATTGTAACACCCTCCTCAGGCTGTGATGTTGTCTCACGACAATATCTCGTGGACTGCACTGGCATGTTGCCAGATCCTGAATGTTCGAGAAACTTCCGATGTTGTTTCGTACCTTCCCCTCAGTCACATTGCCGCGCAAATTATTGTAAGTTACTTTGCATCTCAAGTTCTCCGCATGATGCTGAATTTTAAACCTCATTTTAGGATTTCCAGAATTTAACGATCATTTTGTTTTAGTTTGGTTAGGAGATTTAACAAATAAATCCTTGACGTAGGTTATGTTAAGATGTTAACAGTAACTAGTAACTACTTTATGCGTTAGCGTGCAATCTTAGCACATTACGATTGTAACTCAGCGCTAACAGTTAACATGACGCTCTTTGATTGCACAACAGTGGTAGTACCTACATAAGGTCGGGATATTGACGGTGAAATGAGACTGGAAACTGGGCTAAATATAAACTACTCCCCAGGATTTACACGGACCTATGGCTTGTGGCGCGACAGTGTGGTTCGCTAAATCGGACGCGCTGAAGGGGACCCTTGTAGACACGTTACAAGAAGTCAGACCCACAATGTTCCTGGGGGTACCCAGGGTATGGGAGAAGATACAGGACAAAGTTGAGATGCAGATTAACGAAATGAAGGGGTTCAAGAGAGCTCTTACTAAATGGGCCCAGGTGCGTGCTAATTTAGATGATGGGTAATTGTATGCTTTGCATTGAATTTTAATTTTCATATATAACATAATATTATCCATACAGAAATCATATTTTTAAGTATAATTTCTTTTAAAAAGCACACATAATATTGCTGTACGGCAGTGTTAAACAAGGAACTGAAACCGAGGGGTTCCGTTCAGGCCCTTCACACTTTGTTTCTGTCTAGTTCTAATGTACCGTCACAATAGCGACTTTAATATATGCGACGGAGGAAAATTTCTTTTTCTGGGCACATAAAACAGAGCCCTCAGACTTACCCTACCTCTTACAGCGGATCGGAACAGATGTGGGTGAAGCTAAACAGAACAGCACGGAGATGCCCCGAGGCTACTGGATGGCTGACAGGTAAACAGACGTTGTTGCATCCACCCGTTCACAAGGGCTACAACTTCCTTAACTCCATAGAAAGTCACGTGTCGTTATGACAACCTGCTATACTTGCCACGTGTTCATTAATCAAGCTATCCGGCTATAAACCTTGCTGTTTGAGCGTTTGACTCGGGATTTGTTTTTATCCTGGCTTTTCTTCCTGCTGTACTGATTTCTGTTTTCTGTTCGCTATTCCTGTACTAATAGCACCGTATGGCGTGGTATGACGTCACCACACGTGATATGACGTCACACCACGTGGTGCTGACGAGGTGTTGTCCCATGTAACTGTCTCCACTCTCTAGAAAGAGCAAAGAATACCCGGCAGGCTACTGGTTTGCAGACAGGTATGAGACATGTCAGACCGAATATCCTAATGAATAAACATTAGGGGGATTGCATCACCTATAATAGTAACGTGTCGTAGCGTGATCTTAGAGCTCTGAGGCGAGGTTGCTGAGGGTACAACTGGGAACCGACTGACAATAAATATAGTCTATACTTGAAACTATTGAAACGGAAGGCTTGGGTGTGATATTTGTCTAGGGTGGGACAAATATTGTGCCAATTTGTTGTGAGAAAAGTTGTTGGTTTCCAGTCGTACCTTCAGCAAGTTTGTGCGACGAGAACAGTAGGGGACACCTTATCGGGCCGATAACTACGGAAACTGGGCATACTGGAACGATTTTAGACGAAAAAATAAACGAAAGTTTGGTTGATGGGACCGATAAGGTGTAGTGTGTAATCTGTAAAGATCTCCAAAGAGAGGAGTACTGTACGTTTTAGTGGTCCCCTTAGTTATTGTCTGTCACCCACATAATATGATAAAGTGTTGTATTTAATTGAATGTATTTATTTTGTATTTATTTTGTATTGTGCTTAAAATGCATCCCAGCTTGTGAAGACAATTTGAAGCATATTATTCGCATATTATTCGCATATTATTCGCATATTTATCCACACACTGTTATTTTTGCGCCTTCATTAAACGCTAGCCCTTGTCCACGTACGGGTGAATATCGCATGTTGTTGTCATGGCAACATGTGCTCAACATTTCTGTGTGTGTTTGCATGCTGGCTGAACCTATAATGTGGACTGGAACAGTCCCAGATAGCTGGGTATTCCTATCGTACACTGCTGGATAGCTGAAAACAAGAGTTTTGTTGCTCACATTCAAGATATTTGTCAACAATCTAATATCTTAAACCATATCATGGATATAACCGCTGATAATTGAAATCCGTAACTATCGAGTAACGCTGAATATTTTGATTAAAAACTCGCTCTTGTTGATAAATAGATTTGGGAGATTTATAAATGATTGTTGGTATTATTATTAAGTATAATGCTATTGAAAGCTAAATTTACATTAGTGCTTCACTGCTGGTAGTAGTTAAACCTTCAAGGCTTGGATGTTATGTGTTTTACTTTCAGGTTGGTTTTCAATAAGATAAAACAAATTCTTGGTCTGGACAGATGCATCTTACAGGTGAGCAGCTTCTTATTAATAACAGTAAAGTTAATACCAGTAAAACTACAACGTTATTCTGTTAAAACCTACTCCTTCTCGTCTAAACTTCTATAGATTGCCAAATACAAACAAACGTAGATTTACTTATAAATCTACTCTTAGCCTTAAGAGTTAAGGGCCAGTGGTAAGCTGTAGATATCAGTGGACTTCAAATTAGGAACTTTTCTGCGCAACTCCTGATCAATCCCCTCAATACGTGTGTTGCAAATAAAACCCCCTCAGGCATCAGCTGCTGCCCCCATCACCCAGGAAACTATTGCCTTCTTCCAGAGCCTCGATATTCCTGTCTACGAGATCTACGGGATGAGCGAATGTTCCGGACCTCAAACCCTCTCTTTTGATGGTAAGTTCGGTGCCAGACCAATAAGAACCTGTCAATCTAACCAACCTTTATCAACTAATTAACATGCTAGTTTTGAATATTGCTTCGTTTTCGAAAAAATTGTGTTTTCACTGATACTCGCTGCACGAGGAGATTGATCTTATAGAGAGGGGTGTGGAAGGCTATTGTTTTTAAAGTAGGGAAACTGTATCTTAGGAATGTTAAAAGTAAGAATTCTGTCCCTCAATTACTCAAGTGTCCTCTGAATTGCAATTATTCAACACGTGATAATAATGCAGCTCTCTGATTGGTCGGTTTGTAACTCGAGATAATAATACAGCTCTCTGATTGATAACAATCCCATACCCTATCAGGACAGCACAAAGCAGGTAGTACAGGTAAGAGCATCCCCGGCTCGGAGATAAAGATTGAAATGCCGGATCGGGACGGAAATGGCGAGATTTGTTACCGGGGGAGACATATCTTTATGGGGTACATGCACGACGAGGACACTACGTCTAAAACTGTCGACAAAGGTAAAAAACATTTGAAAGATTTCGCATACTCTTTATAATCTGTTTGTTCTGTATTAAGTGAAAAGCATATCTCCGAATGAGAAGCTACTTCATGAAATTATACACAATTTACTCAGATGGATGGCTGCACTCTGGTGATATTGGGAAACTAGATAAAAACAATTTCCTCACGATAACTGGGAGAATAAAAGAAATAATCATCACGGCGGGTGGAGAGAATATCGCGCCTATTCCTATAGAAGATAAGGTTTGTTTGAGCGGATTATAGATCTTGATTCTTGTGGGGAGGCGAGTAATGTTATTTCAACGCGTGACATCAATTAACCAATCAGCTTTCACTTTTCAGCAAATTTGTCAATCAAAATCAAGAATCACTTTCATGTGTCCAAACAAATATGGTTCACCTTTCCACCAGAGTCAATTATTTTAAGTTTTAGACACAGTTAGCAATACTGTATGAAGTAATAAAATCAAAAACTGTATCAATACCGTAACAAAACTAGTTCATATCAAGAGATTAGAATGAGATGACAAACTATTCTTAGAGGAGATGCACATTTTATTTGATTATGCGACCCTAAAGAAAGATAATTTATAAAAATCAATATAAACCATACAAGCCAGTCCGACTAAATTCGGACTGGGCAAAAAAACTTTTCTACTAGTGTATAATTGTATATTTTGTATTCATTCATTTCCGGTAACCGAGACGCCATCTTTTTCCTCTTCTATCAGCCAAGGAACGGTGGTTCCGGCTGCAGTATTACCCAACACGTAGTAACCATCCTCCATCTGCATTGGTGTGTTGTACTGAGGTGGATTACCACGGTTTAGTGTATCATAGACGTCATTTTCTTCTCCATGTGTAGATCTCTGCCAAGGCACAGAATACAGAACCTCCGCATCCTTTTTACCTTTGTTAGATAAGGGAACAAATCCACTCCCTCCTGAGATACGGTGTTCCTCAGCCTGAAGCGGGTTAACATCTTGGTTATATTCGAGATCAATATCTTGATACTGGCTGGGTAAGAATTCAGTAGCCGGTATTTGTTGATCATCTACAATCTCTACACGTCCTGTACCCCTGTTGTTAGTGTATACTACTCTAGTTAGATAATTTCTTTCTCCTGATTTCTTCCTTTCGATGATGAGGAATGCAACGAGGGAGATGCAGATGATAGTCAGAACTACAGACACGATAGCTAGAATCAGGGCTGCAGAAATGGGTGTGTCACTACGAGAAACAAACTGACAGGATACCAGTCCATTTTCACTCCAGTTCCACATCATATCAGATGGACAAGTGCAAATTGTCTGTCTTAGGTTAGCGGTTGAACCTGACGGACATAATTGGCATCGTAAACTGCCTGCTTGACTAACAAACTGGACTTCGCAGTCTTCACAGCTCGCACTGTCTATAGACCAGAGTTTTCCGGCAGGGCGAACACAGCGTTCTGACCCTATAAGAGAGGTTGCTCCAGATGGACACATTTCGCACGATGCACCCAAGTTGCTGTAGTATCCTGGAGAACAGGATCTACAAGAACCACTGATGGAATTCTCCCAAGTCCATGTTTCCCCAGGCGGACACGCGCACGATGATCCCTCTTGATGAGACTGCGAAGGGCACGGCAGACAGGTTGACGCCCCTTCTTGGCTGATGGATCCTTCAGAACATTGTTCACATGAAATTCCATTCCAGAACCACCCACCCTCACAGGCACAGTAGTCAGATCCTGCAGTGGATGTGGAACCAGTAGGGCAAACTCTGCAGGTGGGCATTTCTTCTGTCTTGTACGTTCCAGATGGACATGGTTTACAGAATCCATTGTATGGGTCACCCCCATTCCATATCTCTCCTCCTGGACAAAAGCAATATGATTGGTGTTCGTAGCACGAATAACAATTATTGCTATTATGCCAAAATTGTCCCAACTCACAAGAACAGCGAGAAGAACCAAGTAGTGAAGTGGCTCCGTAGGGGCACTCAGTGCAAGAGATCTCCTTTCCTTCAGTCGCTTTGAAGGTGTTCACAGGACAGTACACACACATTCCGTAGTCTCCCAGGTAGGTTCCCGGGGAACTTGCAGCTGAAATTTAGCATTCTTGTAATATTGCAAAGTATAGGTTATGGTCAGGGTATTATATAATATTATTATAATAATATATCAGTTTGATGTCAGTTTATATGGCATGCATACTTCAGTTTGCTTCTATATGAATTTAACAAACTGAAGTATGCAAGAAAAGGCCTCACAAATTATAAATAAACAAAATTAGGTATTTTTGAAAAGTTTATTGAAAATGATGAGTAAATTTCCTAACTAATTACTTACTGGTTCCATTGATTAGAATTAATCCAACATGTAGAAGAAGTGTGGAAAAAAGCATAACAGGCAGTACAGTAACAATTTCTTTAATACAAAATAAAATAGCTGCTCTAAGCAATAAGCATGTGGATTGTGGATTCACAAATTTCTTTTTAATCAATTTCTCAAAAATTTAACAAATTGATTATTTAGTAGGTTCCTTCCCATCCAGATATGGATCAGATACCCATAATCATATTTCTACAGAATAATATCTTCTTATAATAGGTACTTAAGTTAACAAATATCTCACAGAACTTTTTAATTTTAATTTTAATCCTTGCCCTGCAATCCACTTCCTTTCTCTCTCCCCTTCCCAGAGTCTTATGCTGACTGTGTACGGTATTACCACCCCGGCCCCCTCCAATTTATATTTCTTATAAAAACCCTTATGCGTTAATACTTAAGGCCTAAGGGGGGGGGGGGGGGGGGGGGGGGGGGGGGGGGGGGGATTCTAGATAGCAGTTGACCAACAAACTAGGGCCTGTGACCGAACTTTTGAGGGGGTCCCAGACTCCGGGTCCCCCCTCATAACTTATAAAAATTTGATAAGCAAAATACTATTATATGACCATGTTTGGGCATGTGCACCAATTTTGATTGATGTAAGCCCATAAATTGGTCAATTATCAATATTTTTGGATGAGACAAACTTTATATGTAAGGTAAGCCTATACTACACATTCTCTATGATTATCAACTCAATATCTACCTAACTGTGGATTCTGTGTTCAAATAATCGCAAAAAATGAACAAAATCGCCCATATCTCAATTCGCGACGATATTCGCGAATCTGATTTCGTTCAAAACAATAGTTCAACTCGATGGGGTTTCAATATTTTTTCATGAAATTTTCAGAAACAATGTAGAATTGCATTTCGACCTTAAGTTTTGGAGTGGAATTTTGAGTTATATTAGGCCTTTTAAAAACATTTTTCGGCCGAATTCTGAAATTTGCAGTGCATTTTTCAAATAGCTAATAGATCTACACTGTGGAGTGTGGGTAGGACGCGGGACATAATCTGCACATTAAGTTTTAATTCCTTCTGGACTGGGTAAGTAGCATATAATAATACTGATTAAAACCCTATATTTTCACATTATTAATTTTTACAGGTAAAACAGTACGCGCCAATAGTTAGTAACTGTATGGTAATAGGTGACAAGATGAAGTTCTTGTCACTTGTGTGTACCCTGAGGTGCGTGATGAGTGACGCGCACGAACCGCTAGATGAGCTCGACTGGATCTCCCTGGATCAATGTCGGAAACTTGGCAGCTGCGCTAAAACTGGTTTGTTTAACTTTCACCTTTACTTCCGCTTGCATACTTCTTGCAATCATAGTCTTGTAACGTGTTATCAAAGTCTTTATTAAAATTTAACCTTAAAATCAAGAGTGACTGTGGCTCATTATTTGTATTTATTTGTAAAAGCTTTCAAAAGATTAAGTTTCCCAAACGTTGTGTGTCATGAGAACTATGATTTGAGTTACTCATATTACTATCTTATCTATTTAAAACAGTTTCTGAAGCTCTGATGGATCCTCTGGTTTTGAACAACATAAAGAGGGCAGTACAAGAGGCCAACAAACAAGCTGTCAGCAACGCCTCTAAAATACAGGTCAGTACCTTGCAACTAATCACGTGACAGGATCCCAATATAATTGGTCTGCTGAACGTTTTCCTCTGAATAATACGTAGCTATGTGTACACTCGCGTCTTCCAGTTATTTTGGCAGCAGTGGATTAGGTCACTAATTTAACACTTGAGTATAATACATTAAAATCACGCCACTGTCGTTCGATTTGTACAATAATTAAACTCGCACGTTTAATAATTGAACTGAAAATGTTCTATCACCAAAAGTGATATTAGATTGTTCTGAGAATCTGAGACGGAACATTATAATTATATAATATTAACTGCCTGTATTACAGTAAAACCCCGATTTACCGCGAAGTTTGGGGAAAGGAAAAATCCGCAGTAAATCGTGTTTTTGGGCTCCGAAATTGGTCGAAAAATCGGGGGTTTACTGTACTACTTAATCATAATATTCGTACAACTCCTAACCATTATCTTTACCTCAACAGAAGTTCCGGATCCTTCCAGAAGACTTCTCAATAGGAGGAGGTGAGCTGGGACCCACACTCAAGCTGAAGAGAAGAGTAGTGATGACTAAATACGCGGATATAATAGACGAGATGTATGAGGATTACAACGAGAGACCGCCCTCACCCTCTGTAAGTTGACAAACCAACACCCGGACAAATACTCACAGGCTATCAAATGTGTACTTGTGTTCTTTTGGTCACTCTATTTCGTTTGATCGTTCCTATTGATTTATCCGTGTTTTTTGGAATTATATTTGAAAGTTTTGAGGGATAAAAATCTCATTTGTAAAGCACCAAATAAACAATATGATTATTGTACTCTCTGTGGAAATGAATGTATGATTTTTAGAGCAAACCTGAAAGGCTCCCATCCCACGCGTCAGCTCCGTCGGCAGCTAGCGCTAAGCGCCCTGAAGTAAGTGTATTTACTTAAATAACTAAAGCAAGTGTATTAACTTAAATTACTAAAGTAAGTGTATTAACTTAAATAACTAAAGTAAGTGTATTAACTTAAATTACTAAAGTAAGTGTATTAACTTAAATAACTAAAGTAAGTGTATGAACTTAAATAACTAAAGTAAGTGTATTACCTTTAATAACTAAAGGAAGTGTATTAACTTAAATAACTAAAGTAAGTGTATTAACTTAAATAACTAAAGGAAGTGTATTAACTTAAATAACTAAAGTAAGTGTATTAACTTTAATAACTAAAGTAAGTGTATGAACTTAAATAACTAAAGTAAGTGTATTGACTTAAATAACTAAAGTAAGTGTATTGACTTAAATAACTAAAGTAATTGGAACATTAATTTAACTTTGAAGTGAGTGTTAAAACCGGGTCCGGACTTTATATTACGGCGTGTGATCTTTCGGCGCAAAAAACTATTAGGTTAGGGTTGGAAATGACTTTTTAAAAAACCTCCTCCAATTTGTTTGCGCGACAAATCTCACGCTGTAGAGTCCCTGACCTGTTAAAACATTGATTTAGTGCTGATTGCTGAAGTAAGCATATAATTTATTTACTGTTGGAATGAAGCTTCCAAATTTGCTTCCCCAAAACGATCATAGTCTATAAAAATTAAAATAACATTAACAACACAACCTAACAACATTTTCCCAACAGAGTGACTCCTCAACGGAGGACAAGATAATAGCCCAGCACTTGGACGAGCTCTCTCTCCATTTAGAACAGGAGCGTGTAGCCCAGTTACCTGGTTATAGGTCTAGAACAAGTTCTCAACTCTCTGAAGATGCCCGTCCTCCCTTCCCTCCACTGCAGGTGACTTTCAACTAATTAGTTAATTAGCTAATTAGCAGGTGGTTTTTAGCTAGTCTGACGTTACAGAGATGTGACCAAATGTTAATAGATCAGGATATTGTTGTATGTATCACCTTTTCTGGAATGTAAGCATATTTATTGTCAATTTTTAACGATTTTCATGACTTTTCCCTTTCTAGGCTTTATTATTGAAAAATATTCATATTTTGGAGTAAGTAATTGGTTGTGGCGTTTACATCTGATCTTAACCTTCTCCGCAAGAAGATTTCACATGCTGCCACGTGTTCAACCATTTAAAAGCACTTTTTAAAAGCAATTTTTAGGAGTTTTCCCCATTAGCCTTATTGAACGTAATATTTATTGGGGACTAATTTGTGGACTAATTAATTGAAATTTACTTCAGAAGTTTACAGTAGCCAGTAAATCATAAAAAAACCTTAAATCATGTTTTAACGCTTACCTTCTCCTTCAGACGCAGTTATGACTAGGCGTACCAAATGGCGAGATTCCGCCGAGCAAGCTTTAGTTCCAAAACACTTCCGATGAGATCCCGGTACCGTCCGCTCCTTATATGGGCATCACGTGTACCGTCCGCTCCTTATACGGGCATCACGTGTTCCGGTGCTAGCAGATACGAACCGCACTGATCACGTGTCACCTGTCACGTGACAAGATAACGCAGTATAGATTGCGTGTGTTTGTGTGTCACGAACTGTATACTCTAAAATAATGTCTATTATAATGTTAGCCTTTTCCGATGTAAAGTGTGAAATGTTTGGTTTTTTGATGATTTGCGTATGAAGCCGGTAACTTTGTATGTTGGTGATTCGAAGAGATTTATATGATACAGTCTAGCATTGTCAACCAATGTGGTTAGTGTTTAGAATGGAAGTAATTAATCTGAAATTGCCGGGTAATTGACTGTTAATTGCCGGGTAATTGACTGGATTGTATCAGCGGTTAAAGATATCAGTTTTTTTGCACTGAACTGCAGCTCCGCCTGGAACTGTCCTGTTCAGATGTGATATCCTGGTCGAGGGTTCTAGTTTGATGTTTATAGTATTATTGGTTCTTGTTCTTTTATCACTAGGTTACATAGGGACGCGTGAGTGAAATTGTAGTAGCGTGCCGTTATTATAATATAGAATTGTCGTGGAACTTTATAAATGTGTAGAAGCCTTTATGAACAATGCTTGAAGAGTGTGTTAGGCCCAACGCGTGATATTTTATTAACATTGGGTTTGACTTGATTTTGTATTGAAAGTGTATTCAGTTGTGTGAGAATTAAAGCGCGACACAATGCCGCGACGGTCAGGATAAAATTTTGAATTTATGTCTGTGCTCTGCAGTCGACAATTTACGTGTAAATAGTCTGGTATGAGAATACGGGTATTTTCATGATGATAGAGCATGCCAATTTTAGGTCAAATAATTAATTGAATAAATGGTCGATTATAACTTGCTTTGCCATTGGTTCATACTGTATTTTCGATATTTTTGCCCGTAGTGAGAGTATATTGCTTCTGTTAGATGTCGATCTGTGGTGGAAGTGACTCAAAAGTCCGGATCCAACTTTTGTTCTCATTCATATGGGTCACATATTCCTAATTGCCATGAAGCCGAGATAGTTATGTGATATAAATTGATTTAGTCAAGTTTAGATTACAAATTTAAGTTGATCTTAAATTGTTGAAATTCTAATGGAAAATTTAAAATATTAAAATTCTCGATTATGAAGTCTACTTTATCAGCTCCATAGTATTAGTACGTTTTACAGGGAAATTGCTTAACATTGGTGTTAGTAAAAGAAACATTTTTACTTTCACCTAAAGTGCTAATCTATTATCCTTCGATATTAGGCTATAAGCGCACGCGCAGCTCATAAAACAAGCTAAGGATTATAATAAAGTTGAAGTTAAACTTTAAATTGTCTGCAAGTGTAATACTTATAGTACTAGGTTTCCTAGCTGGGTTCAATCAGTGGTTTTGGTAGAAAGTAAAGCTGTATAATCATGGGGCTGATAACTTAATATAACCTTTGCAATTATGAATAGTATCTACTTCTTATCGTAAAAGTTTGTTGGCAAATGATGTGAGTTCTAATTTTGAACTGAAATATTTGTTTAATTTTGTTACCCAGCCAAAGAGCCCCCCCCCCCCCCCCCCCCCCCCCCCCCCCCCCCCCAGCCAGTAAGGTTTTCTGGGAAGACCGTCGGTGCGACTCGCCGCGCGTCTTGGTAGGTTTTAAACTTTGCTGCACGTTGTGTACCTCTCTCGTGCATGCAAAGCGTGGGCTGCACTCCGCGGCCGGCCGCACTGCTGGCTTTGCGCGTGTGTGTGGTGTGACGTTGTATCACGCGGTGACCCCCACTGTCGCTTTACTATAGTAGATACCCCTGTATCGTCTTCGACGATACAGGCGGGTCATACAACGTATGACAAGTGTGACGTGTGTCAATATAATGTATAAACGTACTATTATATATATATATATGATATAGCGCGCCAGGACGGCAAAATTAAAAATTTATGCAAAAGCTTACCTGGGCCGGGGACCCCAGGCTATTATATTTTAGCGAATAGAGATAAGGCGGAATGAGCACCGCACAGTAAACGATCAAAATGGAAAGCGTACACAAACATCGTACTCGATTACAAATCATGGTTAACAAAATTGCGCATTTACGTCTTTTTATTGCATGTTTATTGGTATTTTGTATTTTAACCCTGCTTTTAAAAAACCAATTGAGTAAGCTAGGCAAAATTAATTAAATGTTGTATCACGTCGTGACCCCCATTGTCGTTTCACTAAGTTCACTCCTTTATCCATTATCGTTTCGTTCTACGATGCAGGGGAGCCGCGCACTCGTGCACGGCGGGTCATACAGCGTAAGACAACATTATCCCAATCAGGCATTAAATCGAGCGCTACAAAATACAAACCAGATTTAAAAGATCGTTATTCGTTCTTAAGTCGTAATTGTTAAATACGACTGTTTCGCATTTTTGACATTAGCTGTCGAGGTAGTGAATTCTTTGCGACTAATTACTGCTCCATTTAAAATGCTTCAGGTCATGTTAATTTGTTGTAATTATGTTCACGTTTTCAATGACGATAACAATACTAATTAAACACTGTTGTGGCGTATGCACATTTTTGATTTCGTTCAAAATTACTAACCATTCAGTGTGGAAAATATACTATTCAAATTTTAATCCCGTCTATGAAAATTTGTCCGTTGGGTTTCGCTACCCTTACTCGTCGTACCAACTTCCATGTACAGTGTACGGAACTTGAACCTTGTTATCGTATCTAGCAATAAGCTCCAGTTTCTTTGCATTCCACACACACAGCTCACTCTTCTCCGTTGCTGAGTCATAAACTTGTGCCACAATAACGCCATCATCTTCTGCCTCGCCTCCTGGTTTAGGCACGAACACTGGTTCCGAGACGTGTTTGTTGTCCTCATGCCATGTGATTGCTTTCTTCGTGCAAAGGTCATACTTCATCAGGTCCATGTCTTCTGTTCTAAAGTGCCACTGTTGGAAGTAGGCAAAGCAATAATCTTTTCCATTGTAGTTTGGGTTTATGAATGGGAACTCAATTGCACTGTCCTTGGTCCGCCAAGATTGTGGGAAATCCTCAATTGTATGTGCACTTGTGTGCATGTTAAAAATGAACCGTCTAAGAGTTGTATCCCAGGGGATGTTTTCGTAAAGGTAGTTGGGATCAGTCAGTATAGGAATGTTGAATATGTCGAACAGGCAGTGTTTGTTGAGATCCAATGCCGTCGGATCTGTCAAGGTTGGGAAATCCATGACAATTTCCAGCTGTCCCTGTGAATTAATCCTCTCAAAAGAGTTCATCCCATGCACTCCTTTCTGGATTGGTAGTGTAAACTGGACTCTGATACCAGTTTTTATGTTGATTATGTCCACATAAGTGGGCTTGTTGTACTCGAACTTGAATGCCTCACACATGTATGCTAGTTTCTTCATCATGGACAAATCAAATGTAAAGTCAAACTTGTAATTCCATCTGGGAATGACCAGATAGTTCTCTGTTATACTAAATGCATGGATGATCCTGATATCATCTAGAGCAGTTGGAATAGAGCCAACTTTCCTGTCAGTGATCTGCCCACCTGGTGATGAGGAATACTCATAGAAGTCAAATCTTGCTTCCGGTCCCCATAACTTCCACTTTAACTTTGCGACATAGTTGTAACTTTTGCCACTTGTAGGATGTCTAGAAAAGTGAGCAGCCGAGAAAAGTGGTATTTCATCAGCTCCTGGTGGTTTCCACGGTCTGTTGTAAGTCAGGGTGTCAGGTGCTACTTGGTGCATATTGAAGGACTCAGTTGTGAGAGTCAAGCTGTGCCCTTTATCAACATCCCACACAGCTATGTTAGTGTTGTCAGAGTACTCAACTCCACCAAGCACCATCATTGTGTGCTCCCAGAGATCAAACAAGGGCTCAGGTTTTCCCATCATGGAGAAAGCACTGATCTTCCCTTCAGCCATACTCCGATTGTAAACCTCACTCCTTACCATTTTTCCGGTATATTTCACATCATCTCCTCCATTAAATCTCCATCCATGAATCTTTGCCAGACCATCAAGGACATTAGTGACACTGCGTGGCCCATGTTCCAAAAGGCCAGGACCAACTCTATACAGATGACCTTGTAGCCAAGATAAAGGCTTAGACCCAAAGGTCCGGGGCAGTTGAAGGTTTTCATACTCTTCTGGAGCTGATATTATCAGGCCTGATATGCGTGATGTAGAGCCAGAGGCACTAAAGAGCACCATGATAGCTATAGTGAGCTGTGCAAGTGAAAGTGCTTTCAGACTGTTCATTTGATCTAAATAAGGAATTAGTAAATGGCAGAATGTTTAAATTAGGTAATTTTGGAAATCAATTAATTTAAGAAATATATATGATAATCCTCTGAAGAAGTTGAGTTATGAAAATTTAGTTGGAAATAACCCTTTAAAACACAAGTGAAATTTTGCTTTGATAGTTGACACGGGTTGACAGAGTACTACAGGCACAAAAAAGACAATAAAACATCTACTTAACAAAAAAAGTGCCTATTTTAGACTAAGAAATTTGCTAAGTAAATCGTTATCAGTCTAAGTTAAGTACACTCACAGAAAGCTTGTTAGAAATAGAATAGTCAAAACAATGACATACTATATTGTGCAAACTTGGTGTGGCTGGGTCCAGGGTCCTATGATCTGTCGACTGTCGCATACATTGGCCTCATCATAGTTAAAAAAGACTCCTCTAAAACATGACTCAGCAGTCAGCATCTAGACAGGGTTATATAAATAAATAAAAATAAATTCTAACATTTATTACACGCTTCGACATTAAAATATACCCAACAAAGAAGTACATTAAAGTCATTCAAGCGAGACTTAGTGTTGAAATAGCAAAATTATGGACTTTTTAAACAGTTCAGATTTTATGAACAAATATTTGTATGAAGTTACCAAAATTATGCACTTTCATATCAGTTCAGACATTATGGACAAATATTAGAAATATTATCAAAAGCTAGTTGGAAATAAAACGTCTTTAGGGCATTTTTAAAACATTCTACAGATGATAATGATCTCACTGAGTAGGGTAGTTCATTCCAAATTTTTGGTCCACAAAACATAAATGCAGCATCTGTTCGTCTGAAATGAGGAGCAGGAGGAACTTTCAACAAATAAAAGTCATCATCTAGTCTGGAACTTTGTCTTCGTACTTCCCTTAGATTGACGTGTCCTTGTAAGTACTGAGGGGCTATGTTATTAAGACACTTGAAGACCAGAAGTGATATTTTGAACTTAATTCTGAACCGAACAGGCAGAAAGTGGAGCTTTTTGAGGTAAGGCATGATAGGTTCACGTATCTTTTTTCCGTAAAGACCAAAGATAAATCTAGCAGCATTGTTCTGTATCTTTTGTAGCTTATGAAGATTCTTTTCTGTTATTCCATAATAGACTGAGTTGCAGTAGTCTATGAAACAGAGGATATTGGAGTGAACTAACTGAACTTTTAGGTCATGGGAAAGCTTCGAACCGATTCTTGCTAAGTCCCTTTGATTCAAATAACATACTTTGGAGACAGCATTTATTTGAGAGTCCAGATTCATTTGGTGATCGAAAAGGAATCCCAGGTTCTTGGCCTTGCTAACAGGGCAGATTGAGAGGTCTCCTAAATCCATTGTCTGGATTGGGCTGACATATGGTCCTATATCAATGAACTCTGTTTTTTCATCATTCAGTTTTAGGAAGTTAACTGTCATCCATTGCTTTATCTCCAGAAAGCAATTTTTCACAGCTGTTAAATCAGGATTAGAACTGTGAACATCAAAAGTAAAGTACACCTGTGTGTCATCTGCATACAAATGTATCGAGAAACCATATTTTGTGACAATTTCTTCAAGATCTCTGGTATACAATATGAACAGTAGTGGTCCTAAAATGGATCCTTGAGGTACACCAATATCCAGATAGCCTTCAGAAGATGTGGCTTTTTTTACTTTAACCTTGAATGTGCGATTATTAAGGTAACATTGTAACCAGCTGAGTGCTAGTTCTGTAATACCATACACATTCTTGAGTTTCGTAAGAAGGAGGTTATGGTTTATGGTGTCGAAAGCAGCTGATAGATCTAAGAGTAGAAGCACAACATTCGATTTGCTGTCAATCATCATTAGAATATCATTATGTATTTTGGTAACTGCAGTTTCACAACTATGGAATTTTCTATAGCCTGATTGATATGGGGAAAACAGGTTGTTGACATCAGCATATTCATTTAATTGGCAATGAACTACTTTTTCTAGTATTTTGGACAGATAAGTTAGATTGCTAATCGGTCGATAGTTTTTCAGCTCATCAACATCTAAGGTAGGTTTCTTGAGTCCAGGCCTAATAGATGCTTCTTTTAGGGCAGATGGAAACTTTCCGACTCTTAGTGATTCATTCACGATGTAATGGATGATTGGGAGAAGCTCGGGTAAGCAGTTCTTGAAGAGCCACATTGGTATGACATCGAGTACGCTTGATTTATTGGGAAGACTCTTAATTAAGGTTTCAAGGTCTGATAATGAGACTTCCTTAAACTGATTAAGTCTACACTTTGCATTATCTATCGAAGTAGAGTCCTTCGTACCTTGACCGTTTAGGGAAGTGTTTTGAATTTCCTTCTCAATATTAGAGTAAATGGTCTTTACTTTTTGATCGAAGAAAGTCTTGAGTTTGGCAGCCACTTCGATATCGCCACCATTTGGCAATTTGTTGGAGCCATATTCCTTATCTAAAAGTTTATTTATGACTTTATAGGTCCCTTTCGAGTCTCCTTTGCAAGAACTGAGCTGTTTATCATAGTAGCCATCCCTAGCTCGATTGATAGTTATTTCTGCGTCAACACATTTTTCAAAATGAGTAGTTTTAAACTCATCATTCTCTGGATACTTTTTGGCTTTTCGTTTTGCCCTTCTCCTCTCTCTGACAGCAATTTGACATTTATTATCCCAAAAATCAGACTTTTCAGCAGTAAATCGTTTCGTAATAAGTGGGGCATGTTTGTCTAGCACCTGTTCAAGGACATTTTGATAAAGGTTCACAGCCTCGTCTAAGGATTGATATTCAGAAAGGTTAAGCTCTGAACAAAACAGATCTTCCCTGAACTTATCAATGTCAATTTTGCTTAGCTCTCTGACATCTTTTTCTTCATATGTACGAGCTTTATGAAGATCGAATGTGACTGGGACCTGAAAACTTACTAGATAGTGATCAGAGCTGGTTCCAGTGCTTGTCTCTACCATCATATCTGTTACAGACAATGAGTCACTTACACAGCCTAGAGTAAATAACAAGTCCAGTGTCCCGCCGGAGATGTGAGTAGGAGAGTCGACATGCTGAAGGAAGCCTTTGCTCTCACAAAGAGCAATAAAGTTCTGGGCAACATTATTGTATATGTCTTCAACATGGAAATTAAAGTCACCACAAATAATTGGAGATCCAGTTTTAAGCAGAAGATTGTCCAGGTATCCATCAAAGTCATCCATAAACTTAGATATTTTTGTTTCATCATATTTCGCTTTGGCCTGAGTGCTGCGATAAACTACACATAGCCTGATAATCTCACCAGCAGTTTTAATGACACATTCAAGTACTTCAAAAGATGACTATTTAGTAACATCATTGCGTACAGGCGATATCATTTTGGGGTTGAAGAGAAAACCAACACCACCTCCCCTACCTCTTCGAGGGGCACTGATAATATCGAACCCAAAATCACGGATTTCGGCAAACTTTGCCCGATCATTAGTTTTTAGCCAAGTTTCCGTGATACAACAGATAGAAATCGAGTTATCTTTAAGCATTTCTAGTACGCCACAAGTTTTGTTGCATAGAGACCTTGCGTTGAAACAACCAATAGAAAGCTGTGATTTCTGTCGATTAGCACCTAATTTCACATTACGTTTTTTGAAATAAAGTCAGTGTTAGCAGCAATACGTTTAGTTTCTCTTACCAACACAGGACAATCGTAAGCTGCCGCATTATGTGTTCTTGAATTCTCGGCATCATTAGTGTGTGTTGAAGCCAAACATCGAGCACAGGCATGTTTGTCCTTCTTCTGCTTAAATTGGCATGCTGAAGACCGGTGACTTCCCATACAGTACATGCAGGTAGGATGTTTATTTGTTTTGACTTCATTACAGTCAACAGAAGTGTGTCCAATCATTTGACAATGATAACACTGTTTGATGTAGAAGGACATGTTCAAACCTGGTTGGTGGTTTTGTTACACTGCCAAAATGGGCGATTTTCTCATTTTTACAATAACTCCATTAATAATTACTCGATGGTCTTGAAACTTTCAGATATGATTATAATTGTCATAACAAATAGTCTCAGGTCATCGGCTATGAATAATATTGTAAAATGGCCCAGTTATATTGAAAAATGTAACATTTGGTTACACTTTTCAATGGCTCAGCCAATTATTATATTCTAAAGATTCTTGCTCCACAAAAATGTACTTTAGGTATTTGCTTAGCTGCGGAATGAAAAAAGGCCCACTTTTGAGTTCATAAAAAGGCCCAAAATGGACATTTTGTAACATCTTGTTTTCATGATATCTTTATAGTTTGTTACAACCACAGCTAGTGTAGGATATGTATTTAACTCTAAAACCAGGTTATTAGTGCAGCAATTCTTGTATAAAGGCATTACAACAATCTTGGTATATGGCTCATAATCAATAAAAGGCCCATTTCTTTGAATAACGTAACATGGTTACAAATGAGTATGTTATACAGAGGTGTCTGATCTAGTATTGGTTTTAAGTTGGTTGATGCATTAAAATAAATACACGAAACAACTTAACAAATTTAAAAAATGATAATTGGGACCAAATTATTGAATTTTGTAACAATTTAAATGTAATGTAATTTAAATTTACGACAGAACGCGGTAAATTTAATCAAATGAATATAGCTAATTAGATAAAAGGTTGGATATTTAAAAACGTTTAATTTATATATCAAATTGTATAGAAAATAGAAATTGGGCCCTATATATTGAAATTTGTAACAATAAAATGTCAGGTCACGAGTTTATCCACTGAAGTGGCAGAGTGACAATTGACTCGTAATTTATACAAAATTTTACAATTTTGGTGTACAAAATGCTTGACCGGAACATTAAAACGTTACAAAATTCAATGTTTTGGGCCCAAGTACAAAATATGGTCAATAATATGGTTGATGGAACCCTTTATGACCTAGGCAAACTGGTCTGAACTTCAAAAACTATAATATAGCTTGCCTAACACCCCTCACACTAGGATACATACTATATACTATACTCTATAAATTTACTTTCTAATGTTACATTATTCAAGTTCCGCAGCCATTTTATCAAATTATACGAATAAGGATTGCTTTACAATTCTGCATGAGAATCTAAAAACCATGTTACCAGTACAAGAATATATTGAACATTCCAAATATGAGCTTTGTAGTAAAAACATAAATATGTTACAAAATTCAATGTTTTGGGCCCAAGTACAAAATTTGGTCAAGAATATGGTTGATGGAACCCTTTGTGACCTGGAAAAACTGGTCTGAACTTCAAAAACTATAATAAAGCTTACCTAACACCCCTCACACTAGGGTACATACTCTATACACTTAATTTCTAATGTTACATAATTCAAGTTCCGCAGCCATTTTATCAAATTATATGAATAAGGATTGCTTCAGAATTTTGTATGAGAATCTAAAAACCATGTTACCAATACAAAAATATATTGAATATTCCAGATATGACCTTGGCAGTGAAAACATAAATATGTTACAGAATTCAATGTTTTGGGCCCAAGTACAAAATTTGGTCAAGAATATGGTTGATGGAACCCTTTGTGACCTAGAAAAACTGGTCTGAACTTGAAAAACTATCAAGAAGCTTCTCTAAAAACTCATTGAAAATGTGTAACATAGAAATGTGTTACAAAATTCAATATCCAGGGCCCCAAACTAAACTGCTATATCTCAGGACCTGAATATGTTACAAAAATTCTGATTCAAGGGTGCCCTCAGTCAAAGGGTCTAGTTTTTGTCAGTAGTTTCAGTTTGTCTTAAAATGTTACAGATTTCAATCTGGGGGCCCAGAAGTAAAGAGTGGGAGAAATGTAACAAAACCACCAACCAGGTTTGAACACGTCCAGAAGCGATCAGTTACTTTGTATCTGCGACTACCTAAATAGAGAGATCCTTGTTGTTGGTTAAAGAGGACTCTATAGACAGATGGTGATAGTTTGATTCCAATAGTGAGCTCTATGCGTTCCTGCTTATCGTTGGTGAAACGTTTTATCTTATTGAGATAGACAATACTGATAGTGTGCCCTGCTTCATACAAATCTTTGATGGACGAGTTTTTCTCCACAATTTGGGCGACTAAGTGGTTCTTTTCAAGATCCCTAAGTTTATCGGCATCATTCCCTACAGCTGTAGTGTCTATATCGTCAAGAACTTCAGAAGAAACACCATAAATAGTAACTTTTGGCAGCATTTTGTTGCCATTCTTAGACTGATATCCATACGAATCTAAGGTATTTCCATCATTGAGAAGTGAAGTAGCCTTATCACGAATTTCAGCATTAGGGAAGCCAATTGAAACTTTCTTGTTGTTTTCATTACATCTGAGAAATACTACTTGACTGCTCTTTAATTTATCAGTAGCAAATTTTTTCACATTCGTCATTGTTGCAGCATTTACCGATTGTTCTTCTTTCGGGGACAGAATTAGAATCTCGGGTGATGAAGGTTGTGTACGTGTTGAAGCAATTGGAACATGTGGTGGTTGAGCAGATGGTGTGGAACTGTTTGAGTCGGTAAACAAGCTGGAATAGAGAACGTCCTTTGTATGAGAAACAGTACCGGATTTTGTTACAACAGTGTTTACTTTATTGTCAATAACATCATTGATATTTTTCGTGAGGTCTTCTTTTAAAGATGAAAACTGTTCAGCAAATTGTTTCATAAAATCAACCTGATCTGAGGATCGCTCTTGAGCTCTCTCAGGTTTCTGGGACAGTTGTTCCTTCAGCAAGGTTTTAAGTTCAGACATCTCTTCCCTGAACTCCAAATTTATGGCATCTATTTTATTATCTAACAATCCTACCCGATCTACGGTAGTAGCAGCCCTCTTTTCCTCCTCAGCAGTACTACAATCATTACAGATAAATAGAAAGCGACCAAATCGTTTAGCATAAGATGAAGTGTTGTTCACAGCATGAGACAGGTGGGCAGTAAAAACCGTGGGCGCACTGACATTGCAAGTTTCATCACAGTTGATAGCATGAAAACTGTCCTTACACCAAAAACACTGTACAATGTCGGTACTTTTGACAACCTCATCATTCGAACAAGCTTTACATAAACCGTTGACGAGAAGATTCTTTGCAGAGTTATGAGCAGACTTTTCCATTGCAATTGTGTATTTGTACTTGTATAGATGTACAAAGGTAAAGTACAAACACCGTGCAGTAGCAGTGCAGTGGCAGTTAAAATTTCCGATTAAACAGAGATAAGGGAGCTCTGTTTTTCAACACGTAACAAAACTACAAATCGATAAAAAAATTTATTGTATTAAAAACATTGAATGATGGCAACTGGACTCAGGGGCAGAAGGGTACAACCCCTAATTAGCACAGATAAAGGGGCTGCAAACTCTGGGAGTCTTGGTCTGCACAATCCCCTAGAGAATCGAAAACTGAAGCTGGACTGTCTGTTTATATATGTCCAAGGCATTTTGAGATGAGTGGGTACGTGCAGAGATCGTTCGTGACTTTATGTGATGGCCACGGACACGGTTTGCATTTTGCCACCTGCCAGTTGTGAAGCACATATATACTGCAGCCATCAAGGCTCTTAGTCAGCCAGAAATCTAATTGGAAATTTGGTAGTGACCCGTGCACTAAATATTGAAAGTTCTAGATAGATTGTTAGAGGATGCAGCTGTTCTAAATAATCAAATCTTGGCTTTCTCATTTTCATTGCCTTATTACATAGCCTTATTACATAGCATATGGTGCCTTCTCTAACTATCCTGACATTCTAATTAAAATAACCTTTCAAAAGGAATGAACAATTATATTAATTTATAATAACAGTATAGCTAATACTCAATCACACAATGCAATACCTGTTATTATCTCATTAATCATTATCTTATAACTTAATAAATATTTATCTCTAGCAAGTCCTCCAACTCTCAAAATGGGTCACGACAACGTATGGTACTCTCACCCCAGGAAATACGGACCAGGCTCCAGGAAGTGCCGAGTTTGTGCCAACCATCATGGTCTGATCAGAAAGTACAGTCTTGACATGTGCAGACAGTGTTTCCAACAATACTCAAAAGCTATTGGATTCCAGAAGCTGAGATAGAGATGAAGAAATCTGATTCATTTTTGTTTTTGTTTTTAAATCTATTTGTTTTTTATCTAGATTATTTATGCTGTTTCATTGTGTGACAAATTTTAAATGTGGTAAATTCAACAGGCACCTCCAGGTCACCAGGCAATCTCAGCTGCTATGGAAGGCTCACTTTATTCAAATGATTCAATGTATTTGAGACAGACTGACGCTCCACACTTAGATTGAAGTATAAGTTTAACAATCTAAGTTTACTTAATTCTCATCAAGATGTCGTGATTGAAGGAAGAGTCCTCAGTGACCTGCCATCTATATAATCTCCTCTCTGTCGTCTACCTTATAACTTCTAATGTTGGAAAGAGAGGAGGTCGTATCTAAGAGACCTGACGGTGAGTCAGCGAGGGGCCGGGGGGATCAGTGAGGGTCAATTATAACATAATAATCACATTACATTCTATTATTATAACCAATTACCACTACTTTTATCAGTCCCTTATGTTGGTAAGAATCCAGAAACTTCTTATTTTTAACGAGATATTATCACATATTTCGAAACAATTATAAACCGGATTACAAGAAACTACTCCTTTCAGATGGCGCCTTTTACCAACAAAGACTGCCGGCCTGGAAACCTATTATAAACATTCACAGTACAGTGCCTGTATTTGGAGTTTTGGGTATTTTCCTCGTCCCTATCGGCCTTCTGCTCATTACTACTGCAGGATCTGTTAGTATTATTTCACCAATTGCACTTACAATGTTTTCTTTTATTATACATGTATTATTATTGATAACAATTTATCTCGTGGAAAATAAACTGTTACGTCTCTAGAACAGATGTATATTTCACACCGTATGAGTAAAATAAGGTGACATGTAGTATATCGGCCGGTTTCCGATGTTTGGCACTTTACTACATTATCGATTACTTAACAAACATTCTAACAAGCACACCTGATCAGGTAAAAGAAATGAGACTAGACTACTCAGAGTGTAATGGCTGTGAAACTAAGTCCTACACGGAGGATTGTTATTGTACTGTAGACTTTAACCTGGATACCAAGTTCAGTGGCAGTCAGGTCATGATGTACTACGGCCTCGAACGGTCAGTCTTTTTTATTATTATTAACAACATTTCATTAGATTAACCTAAATTAAATGCTTGTGAAGCATTTAATTTCAGTGTATGATTTTCAGTGTATAATTTGTTTAATAGGAGGGAATTATAGGTCTGTGGCCGCCACCCACCAGCCAACCTAAATTTGCAATCTTACCCCAGTTTTAATAAATCAGTGTTAAACGTCAGACTAACTAACGCGAACGCTCCCTTGTACCCAGGTTCTACCAGAACCACAGAAAGTACGCTACTTCTCGGTCAGATTACCAACTCAGGGGTGAGTATTTAAGATTGTACTGTTGAATTTCAACTAATTTTCGACCATTTCTCATTATGAATAGGCGTCTCAGGTATCAAGTGTAGGATTAAAACACTGTTGCAAGAGCGGACAGTTTTGTCAGTGTATGTAGGATCTTAGCCTCAGTAACATCTCTTCAATTATTCTGATGTGCTGTAAAAACCATTAATTAAATGCAATTGATAAGTGATCGAACTAATTACTGAGTTAATTAACTTATAATTAACTCTTCAGGTAATCCTCTGAATCCTGATGACAACTGTGAACCGTATGAGAGTGACCTGGACTCAAAAAAAGTGTTCGCCCCTTGCGGTCTCATCGCTAATAGCATGTTCAACGGTCAGTTTACTCGTAGTTTACTGACTTTACTGACTTTACTCAATGTAATCACTCAATTGGTTACATCTCTAATCTCTATCGTATTATATCATATTGTCTGCTGCTATACACTGTATACTATACAGACATACTTAGTCCATTATACATTTCCTCGTAACAAGGACCTCACTGACTCACTGTTGCTCATATCAACAGCCTGTAAAACCCCCAATTCATATCCATTATTATTACTATTGTTAGCACGGCACTGGCCTATGATGCAGATTATCTTAGGTTTTAATTTGATTTCTGAAACACTGGTAATAAGACTCAAGCTAGAGGTCTCACATTGGATGTTTCCGCCTCTTCAAGACGTTTGCATGACTTGTGGTTGCGAAATATTTTAAAACTAAACTGTTATTAGTCCAAAATGGCCACGTAACGGCGATTTCCTGCTAGCCTTTCTCAGCGCACACTAAGTATAATGCGTCAGTGTATAGTGTATAGTGTATACATTGTACAATAAATACATACAGTTGTATGTGTCAGTACTCAGTACATTGTATTCTATCTCAAGTTCATACTAAATTCTACTTCATATTGTTCTAACTAAAATAATTACTATAACAAAAGCTACTCTATATATAATATAATATGAAATGTGTACACTATACTATACACTGGTCAAAGTACTTGTTACTCATTTCCGTAATTTACACTGCCCTAATTATGCCTTTAGATAATCACTCTGTAACTAATCTTCTGTATTTACTATCGAGTGTACTATGTGGCCAATTCTCCATGTGCACGTGTCCCTGCACGTGTCCCTGCACGTGTCCTTGCACGTGTCCTTGCACGTGATGTTGTACTGTACACACGATAATGGCACGTCATGATTACGTCATCTGTGGAATTTGTAGTGTGTTCTCTAAAGAGTCATATCATGTACTTGTAAGCCATTTAGTTCGAATAATACCGCTACATTCCGGGGGTGGTAACCATTTTTCTTAAAATCTGGAAAAAAACAATCTTATCTTCAGATACATTCGACCTGGAATGGTTGTCGCAGACACACAAGAACGGGAGTATACTAGATGTAAACAAGAAGATAAACTTCACCCAGGAGGGTATTGCTTGGGAGTCCGATCATGGGAACAAGTTCAAGAATCCTGCAGGAAACGACCTTGTTGCCTCCTTCAATGGTATGTGGGGATTGCTATTATTATTATTATCGAACTTTAATAACAAATCTGAAGTTGTTAACAATAAACATCCTTGATATGATAAGTCTACAACGGAGATCAGTAAAACATATAATTAAAAGAATTTTACCTTTCTTTTAATAGCCGTTTATATTAAAGTGTATTATGCAAAGTCACGATTGAATGAATAAGTTTATGGCTGTCGTTAATATAATAAGATATGCTTTTCTTAATCAAATTAAAGAAGCGCTATGTAAGTGTTAAGTTAATTTTTGTATTTATTTTTTCAATCCCATACACAATGTTACTCAATCAACCGTGTACGGGGACTTGAAAAGTACTCTGTAGAATGTCAGAATGATAAATACGTCTGAATTTTCTGTCAGCCTAAGTTTTTATGACTCGTTCTTACTGTCCTAATTTAAACTTTAACAAAGGGTAAGTTGCAATTATCAAAATACAATTTAAATTTAAACAGGTAAACAATAAAGTTATAATTTATGGGCTCAAGACCATGTCGATCATCACAATGAAATACCCAAAAATACACGAATTTTACAATTGGTTTACAATTACGGAAAAATAGAATAGCAAAAAATAATAATTCTTGTAAGGACTACAAATTAAACTAGAAAATGAGTAATGACCCTATCCACGTACGTGATGATGGTTCTAGATTCGTCTAGACAAGATTATATTTTTAAAGGACGGAGTTCATTAGTTGCTTCATTTGCTAATCTTTTATTAGGTTTATTTTACACCTAGACCTCTAGAGTATATACTAGACACCTAGATCAGTGCTAGGGATTAACAACATGAGAATTTTGCACACACACGTCAAAAAACACGTGCCGTTTATTCTGTGCCAAACTGCACTGTTATTAACTGTATAATTAATGTGCCATAAAAATATTTAAGTATTCAGATGAACCATATTATGATGAATTATTCTGTGGAAAAATCTGCGAAATATATTTCATCAGCTTTGTTGAACCTAGCAGATTCTTCTGAATTGTGAGATTATAACTTAAAAATTTATATTATGTTTAGTGTTCAAATTGCGTGATAACCACCTAGATTTAATTACCTGAAATTATTTGCAGGAACAGTAAAGCCGCCGTCCTGGTCGAAGGCGCCCTACGAGTTGGATCCTGGTAACCCTTCTAACAACGCCTTCCTCAACGAGCCCTTTATTGTGTGGATGAGGGTTGCTGCTTTCCCTACCTTCAGAAAGGTGAACCTTCAAATATCTGGTATTAGAAATAATTGAACTCTGGGGAACGAATGATATAATTCGTTCAAGGGGAGCTCTTTGTAGGATCTTAATGTTGTTAAACTGTAATGATAAAGGTTGAGCTTGAATGAGTTAAGCTTATCTGTATCTTGAAATAGATAATATATAAATATTATTTCTGGTATTCCATGTCGAAGCGTGTTAGCAAATGCTACAATTTATTTACTTCAGTCATCTTTATACTGTGTATATTCTGAAATAACAGTAGAACGTTCCAGTTGTACTCTCGAATCACAATGGAACTGAACCCTGAACTAAGCAACGGTCTAGAGAGTGGGAGTTACAGACTGAAAGTGAACTACAGATACCCTGTTCTCTATTACCACAGCAAGAAGTTCTTCGTCCTGTCAACCACCAGGTATTTACCTATTATTTAGTCTACCTTTTCTTCTGCGGTTTTTAATGTCCCTGGCCTCGGTGTCGCCACATATTGTGACATATTACCTGTTCTTCGAAATTGTTGTGCATGTTTTACCGCTGGAATCTGGATCAAGTTCGGTGGTAAAATGCCCAAAATAATTTACCAATTTGATAAGCCTACCAAGCTCGGATGAAGATAAAAACTTATATTGTTTAATATCCTCAGTATTTTCGGAGCTAAGAATCTGATGATAGGAATTGTGTATTTGGTGGTTGGATCTCTTCTCTTGGTGCTGGCTACTGCTTTCGCTTTCATCGCAAAGAAAGACATGTAAGTTCTACCACTTCATAACCTATGTGGCAAGAAAATCGCGATTATTTTGCCCAAAAATCGCGATACCGCGATTTTCAACAGACTAAACATAAGACTATACATAAAATTTGTCGCAAAGAATGGAAAAATCGGGATTCCGCACATGTCGCGATTTCCTTCTGTCCCTGCTATGTGGATATGCTTTTGTCTTGAAGTTATAGACCTCTAAGTAAGGAATTTATATTGAAATTAAACTGCAACAAAGACATTCTAAGTAATCTCTAATATTTACTACCACACGGCTACATTGATACTTTAACCCAAATTTTTCACAGTATTCCCCACCCCAAGATCAAGATCGACTTCACACCAATTTCATAGCACCTCCCTCATAGCACCTCCTTCACTAGACGTTCAAAGTAACTACCTTCACTTTTCACCACCCTAACACTACCCTTACACTAGCCAATCACAACACTTGTTCACAAGTCACATGACACTTTACAAGTCACATGACACCTTATTCATTCACCACAGCCGTCCGTGGTGGAGACCCTAATTAACTTTTTTGTAAAGCTATAAAATTTTCTGGGAAAGTATTTTTTATTGCCAATTCTCTTGACTCAAACTTTCACTAACTTAACTCGTGTATTCCTTTAAATATAAAATAGAATTACCTCTCGAGTAGTGCTTAAGATTCCAATAGAAGCGGTTTCTACAGTACTGAAAATAATCGGCATAGACGTTACATCGAGAGTAGTTCCATCTTGTACTAGCAAAATATTGTAATTTAATTTTATGCAGGCACACATTCTTCAGCCAGTGATAAAAGGGAATCCTGCAAAAGTAGATGCAAAGGAAGAACATCTCCTCCATAGAATGAAACACGATTATTTTTTGAGTTAGATGCTTGTTACCTCTTGAGACAAGAAATATTATTGAAACTTGGACGCCATTTATATGTAGCTGATTTTAGTGACCGGTGTGAATATGCAAATAGCTTGGTTTAATGGAACCATTATTTTTGTTACAATTAACCATATTTAATAACTGTACATACGAACTTATATTTCTGTAATATTATGCTATCGATCCATCAACTTGTATTTCAAATAGCTCTTGTGAAAATTGCTGTCATTTTAGTTATTTTACCGTTTATGTTGATGCAACAATTTTTTGAAGGAGAAATTTAGTTCAGAATTATTTCAGGAACATGACTTAATTTATTTATTGGCTATCAGAATTTAAATATTATTTGACTTTCAGTGAAGACCTGATAATTGCCACAATATTGCCCTTTTGGCTTTTGGTCAGATTCATGTGATCATCTGCTATATGCTCGTTTAGTAAATAGCTATCTCTTCTTTTTTTTAAATGTGACAAACGCTTTTGTGTTTTGCGTCCGTAGGAAACATTCTGAGAAAAGATAAAACAAATGAAACGATATTGTGGCAATTAAGACCTTCGTGAAAAAAGCCGCGACATTGATATATTTTAGATATCGTGATTTTTGTTTAATGATGTTGTTTCAAAAGAATTAATTCGATGATATCCCTCTCATCTACTTTTACAATCCCCTACTGAAACACATCGCCCAATACATCTATTACGCAAAATGACTAGCAAACATTGACCAAATTTGTAATCAAAGCTAAATTTTTAGCGCGCACGTACTTTTTAAAAACAAATTAAATTCTACGGCGGTGGACGCGCAGATCGACTACTTTACTCGGGACCGGTATAAAGTGGCGGGTTTAGGGTAATTTCGCTATATTTTTCCCGAACCGCATTATCACCGGTCGTTAATAAACCCGCCGTCTCAGCTTTTAGGGTTCCCAAGGGGTATGGGTGCTCATATCTTAATCGTTGTCTTATATTCACTAAAGAAGACTATTGGGAATGGGACTTCATTTGGCTAAAATTTAAAAAAATTCACCTTTTTGCCCAATTCTTTTCATATATCCTTATTGTCATATATCCTTATTGTCACAGTTGATTTAAATAGGCCAATTTTTAATTTCTTAGGTATTGACTATCTCTACATAATGAAATAGGACTCAAAGTAAAAGTAACAGTTAAATTAAAACTTGAATTAATTAAAACTGTCAATAACATGAATCAGTTTCATCAGTCATTTATTCATAATTCTAAACAATGTGAATGATGCATTCTTTCGAAGATTTTCTACAAATTGTTACGCTTCTAATGTAAAAATTATTTTCCATCTAGTTTGATTAACCACGAGTCATATTATTTCACATTATTTCTGTCTACTTTCAACAATTATTGATAATTCGACTTGTTTCACAAGTTTGAGCAATGCGAAAATTTATAAACTTGCTTATCTCTAATAAGGAAATTTACATCTGAGACAAAATTTTTGAATCTAAAATTGAAAGGTTGGACACCGGTAAAATGTTGTATCACGTTGCGACCCCCACGGTCGTTTCACTATGGTGTAGCGTCTTCGACGCTACAGGGGGAGCCGCGCACTTCGTGCGCGGCGGGTCATACAACGTATGACAAGTAAAATGGCGACCGGGAAAATGTGGTGGGTTTTGAGCAATTTCGCCATATTTTTCCCGAACCATATTTTAACCGGTCTTTAATAAACCCGTCGTAATAATCCCGAGTAAGGTAGGTATGTTGTACTATAATATACCTTCTATTCAGCAAGGCTGTGTTTCTCTACCTAGCACTTTACCTTGGCACCTGTCAAGTTTCCAAAAAGGGCTAAAACGACCCTCCGAAATCACTGACTTCTGCTACCATGAACAATATTTCGAACACAATATGTTAATCACTGAGATATTTAATCTGGGCGGCCCGGATTAAATATCCGGACTGATCTTACCTGGGGACCCCAGTCTAATGTTCATAGACATAGATAGATTCGGCGCGGAATGAAAGGCTGAGCGCCGCCCAGTAAGACCGATCCTGGAGCCACAGACAACATAACACCGAAACTTATTACTCTAGCAAAAACAGTAATTGTAGTATGATGTGATTCGATGGCTGGACAGTCCCGCCCGTAAATTATTTCTTGAAAACCAGACTCTGTCAAATCGTAGCATTATTAAAAGCTATTGTGTTTACTCGGCCTTGTCGTAACGTTAACCATGGCTGTATTTAAATAGCTAACATTATCCATGCCCTAATGCAAGCTTGTTTTATGGTAATTCGTACTAAATTGTTTATTAGGGATAAGAAAGAAAACAGTATATTGACACAATTTTTGTAATAATATATATTATTATTATCTAGACAGGGAACACATCAAATCTACTCGACAATTCTAATTTGATCAGAAACGATTAAATAAAAGCCGAGTCACGAGTAATAACAAAGTTCAGCAAAATTAGGAAAATCTTGTATTATCATAACTTGTAATGTGTAGTGGCAGTGCAACAAATGCAAATGGTTACAAGTCTATTTGTCATGTAATTGTAATAACTGGTCTCTGTTGAAATTAGAAGAAACAAGGAATAAAGAAGGCAACACAGAGGATAAAAAGTTGGGCAGTGTTGTTGAAAGCGGAACTGTCCTCTTTTGCCTCTTTGTTTTGAGACGGGTCCTGCCCTTCGTAGTCGGGAGCGACATTGGGTTTGGTTCTGATTAGTGAGGAGGGGTAGGTGTCATTTGTGGAGTCACACCAATATTCTACTTCACCTGAAATATAGGGAATTTTAGAAATAAGAATATGTGGTATTAGTAAAGTTTAGATGCATTTGTAATTGTAAATTGTATCGGGGATTGTATTTGTATCGCACGTCGAAATATATGCTAATATTTGGTATTATCAGTTGAGTCAATAAACGCATGTGGAATGAATAACTACATATATAGCGAGAAACTTAAGTTTTCAGGCTCGCAATGAAAATAATTATAGCCAGCACGAACCGCCTTCGTTGGATTCACTGACGACCATTTTAACGAGAATGTTGATAGATGATTTCTCACAGGACTGTTGGTAGCAAGAGAACTGGAACTGAGCTCCATCAACCACGTCGTTACACCACTTGAACTCGTTCTACGAATTATGAGAGATATGGTTTTGTGTACTACAAAGTGTTCAGTGACTGATTACGGAGTTGGAAGGGGGGAGGGGACTTAAAAATTGTCCAAAAAGTGATTACGTAATATGCAAATATGTGAACGACCCCTTTATGCATTAGACCAGTCGTACAGATAATTAAAACTTACAACATTGCATTGCCTTGCGAATCCATCCATGTCAGAGTCAACACTGAAAATAATGATTTTCCCGGTTACATTGGGGGGAATGCAACGTCAATTAATGTCAATTAATGTCAATTAATGTCAATTAATGTCAATTAATGTCAATTAATGTCAATTAATGTCAATGTCAGTTTTGCAAAATTTTGGAATACTGACATTAATTGACACGATATTTTTCGACCAGAGATTATGTAGTTCTACCATATTGTTAGCACTTTAGAACGTTTATATCATCAATTTATTCACTACTATCACATATAGTTTTATAGACCACATTTAATTTATTAACTTATCATACTTAGTATTTATTTTTGGTGACTGTATCACCCAGTTTTAACATTTGATAATTGTACAGTTTATTGACGACACATTGACTGAATGTTATTTTATATTCTAATTTATATTCTAGATATTTTATTTATTTTTCAACAGACGACAACTTCCTGTTTTCTTCTATATTAGTTACTCATATCTCTTGTACAGACTGTTTTACAAGGACATTGACAGATGATACTCACATTAGGCATTCATTATTGTATCTTAATTATTTCACTTGCATTAGGTTTAGAAATTTATTCTCTGGTTAACAGATTTCAAATGTTTAATTAATTTGTAGTATGACAGTAAGGTATATAAGAAGTTATTTAATTTTGCTTGGGCTATTATATTGACTATTGAGGTTTAATGATGATATGGAATTTGAATTCTATATAAATTTACACTATGTGGTTGGGGCATTTTGCATAGCAAATATGGTTACTATTCCTATATATCATATTATTTGATTGGTATTCGATTTCTGATTATTTCTTAGGAATATGATTATTATATCCCGATTTGGCTTTAGGTAGGGTGCCCCGCTAAAAGAACTGGATTCTTCCAGGAAGCATCCCGTGCACAGACCTTGGTCTACATATATATTAAATTATTAACCATTCATTCTGTATGTGCACGAAAATTTATTTCAATCAATATGGAAATGTGAAATGTGAAAAAATTCAGATCATTAAACAATAAAACTAAAATAATACGGTTTCCCGAAATTTAATTTTCTTAAATGGGCGTGGCCATCCAAGGGCGTGGTTCTCAACATCATCAGAACTTAAAACCCACATCAAACGAAATGCCTTCATGACATTTATATTTGAATAACGAATCTTAAACAGCTAACATTACTCCTTCATACTAAAAAAGCCGATTCTAAATATTTTACCTGTATAAGAAACCAATAAAATATGGGCGTGGCCGGTGGGGACCGAAGATGGAAGAGTTGGAAGCTGAAATTTTTTTTGGTGGTCTTTGAACCTAAGGATCAACAGATAAGAACATACTCATAATTATTCAAGGACATTTTGTTTTTTTTTAACCGGTCTAACTTACATACGTGAATATCTTGAATATTTATCGAATAATGATAATCTCAAATTTCAAGACATATTAATGTCAATTAATGTCAATTAATGTCAATTAATGTCAATTAATGTCAATTAATGTCAATGTCAGTTTGGGGTTTTTATGGAATACTGACATTAATTGACGTTGCATTCCCCCCGTTACATTAATCACTATCAGTAATCATGGTCACCTACAGAATTGGTTCAATCAATGGAATAGGTTTATGTCTGGGTTATAGTACGCGTATTGACCCCACTTTACGCTCACAATCACATTGGGACTGACGAAAATAATACCACATAGTAGTTAATGGCCTAAGTACATCTTTGTCACAGTAATAAAATCTTTAACCAAAGAAGATGGTTGCTGTGGCGACAGAACTCACCAGAATCCTTCCCCAAGAGGATACGGCTGAGCCAAGATGACAACTTTATGCCCAGCCACATCATTCTTATCAACTGTAAGACAAGGACTATACTTGACTTCACTGTAGTTTGGAGGGTTTATGTTGATCATAGAATAGCCTAAAACTGTTTGCCTGGAAGCTTCTGGTTCAATCTCCATTAAAGTTTTCAACTCAGTCTGCAAGTAACATTATAGCTGTTAGTGTGACTGGTATAATTATAGATATGGAGAACAATGAGACATCTGACAATCTAGTGAGTTACGTGTTCCATAATATCGGGAAAAATAAATACGATTAAAAAACGGTTACCTCAGAATCATATTCATCTTGAGCGGCCTCAGTCTGTAATTTAATATCTGTCACCACCTGATCAGTACAAGCCACTTCTCCTACAACACCTGAAGATGAAAATGGTGCTCATACAATTACATACATTCTAATTATAAAAAGTAAAATATCGTTAATGAGTTAAAGATAGATGCTAATTATTTCATAGGTAGTACTAGTAGTTGCTAAGCTGACGGTAGAACATTTAATTTAGTAGCAACTTTTCAGAAGACCAGTATTCTACAATACACCATACACTATTATGGCGATTGGTCACCATGGTGTTTAACATCAGGATTTCAACCATCCCCAAACTTACCTTGTAGTAGAGGTATAAAAAGCAGTAAAATTCGCAACATTTTTATACACAACCGAAAATACAATACACTGCAACAACAGACAAACGAACAAGCTAGCAATCAATTGCAAAGGGCAGTTGATGTTTTTCTTCCGCTTGAGGTGCAATATTCACATGTTATCTTAGCAATTTCTCTGACCTGCAGAACACATCCTTGATCCTGATATAACGTGTGATCTTCTTGGTAACTGAGGTGAGAGACAGCTCGGGTCTTCTTCGACAGATTATTCTGATTCACAAAGAGCTCTGCTGTCCTTTGCAGAACTAAAATCTGCGAAATTAGCCATTTACAGAACGAAAATAATGGGATTTTATCAATTCTGTGTGATAAAATCTATTCTCTAAATACATCCGATATAAATAGTGCTTTCTGGCCAGGCTTATCGAATAGACTCAATAGTCAATAATGTATGATTTTCAATTATCTCTGATTTTATCAGAGAATTATATGCTGGTGTGTTTGATATGGAAACAGGAGGGGATCAACGAGTAGTCCTGCAAAATTATTAGCACAGGTAACATATCATTACTCACTACTTAGAGAGCAAAATTATCTCGTCTCTAAAAGTGAATGCCAAATTTTTGACCAAATTTCCCCGATTGACAATGTCAAACAATGGTGCGTCGCGTCATCACATCGGAAGTTTGTAAATTCTAGAGGATATGTTTTGGGAATATATAGTCGTGATGCGCAACAATTCCAATGAATTATTAAAGCGCGTTTTCCAAAAACGACATCAATTCTTCAAATCTCTCGACGACACGTGTCTTGCCACTGGTCGCTAATACAGTAATATAGTCTCAAGTCTGCCATCTTTGATCCTTCGCCCTAAAAAATTAGCGATCATAGATTTCAGGTTACACCGTTACCTGAAATTATTACAGTGATTTCTTATCATTAGCGCTTTACAACAGTCATCATTTCTTCATTTGTGTAATGTGTTGTATGAAATACAAAGAAATCTCGACCAAGGAATCAACCTCATGGAAAGCACATGAATTCTCCTTCTGATGGGAATAGTGCTGTTAGGAGTAGTTACTAGTTATTATGGGGGCTGGAACAGCAGTCTTCTGGAAATTGGACGAAGGATTTATAACTTCAAGATGTCTAAGGACTATGAATCCAGTGACTACCATAAAATCTTTGAGTTTGGACTACGATTTCAACCACCACTACTTGGTTTTTAACAAGATTTTATCAACGGCCAAGCAACAAGTCGTGTTTGTGCCACAGTGAGGGGAGTAAAGGCGTAAAAAACTTGCTCTTCGTGCCAGCCTCTTAGCTCTGCTAGATCTTACCGAGTGTGAGGTTCTAACAGAACTGGAGGTCTCACTGCTGTTGATTCAGGAGTGCGGTCAACTCCGTTTTTTAGTATTTCAATTTTATTTGTATTATTGTTGGTATTCAAAATAAATAAAAGCAACATTTTAGTACAAGTTTGTATTGGGTGAGTTAATTTAATTTAACAAATAAGATGATAATAATATATAATAAGATAAAAATAGAAATTACAGCTTCGCTCATTTCCAGGTAACTTTGTTCAAACAGGTACATTTTATACCTTCACAGTAGAAATAAAGTCATGTTCGATTAAAAAATGTATCTTCTTTAGTCGCCTCATAATCTCGAATTCATGACAACTTGCGTAAATACGGTTAACATAAAAAGTAAAAATAGGCATAATCCGCAGTATAATATCCATGTTATATTCAACTCAAAAGTTGAGCAGTAACATTTTTATCTTGAGTCGTTCTCACGTAAATAAAACAAGGAGTCCACATCAGTCGCTATCGTTTCCCTCGTCTTGTCCTGCCCCAGCTATGATGTCCCGCTCAGCTTTCAACTTCTCCCGTATCATCTCTGCCATCGCTCGTTTTGTTCTTCGTTCTAATTTTGATAATTTCTTCTCCACATCTCTCTTCAAATCCCAGTTAGCTTTCCTGCAGAAGTTTAATTTCTAGGTTATACAGGGTGTCCCAAATGCTCAAAATCTAAAACTGAATCAACTCCAAAAATTTTAAGGCTCTAACTCATTCATTAGCTGCGTGACAATCATATGATCCATCCTGTAAACAGCTGATCTAGTGAGCTTGTGGGATCAGTTTATCACCTCATTGAATAACTAGATGATCGTTACTCAGCATGCTAACAAATCGTCAGTTACTCAATCAGCACATGACTCCCTCAACCAACTACTAATTACACGACTCCTGTGAGGTTCCAGCATCTCATGATTTTCATCACCCAGAACAAGCAGAGAGGATGAAAATGAATGAGAGGTTGGAAAATTTGTGAAAGATTTTCATGAGGCTGCCATTATACCCTACTCAAATGAACTAGAGGCCTGGAAATCCTTACACGGACTCCGGAGGTCATTCTCTACAGCCGATGTCACAAATAACGTTATAAAACTGTTATTTTGGGACACCTTGTATATCGTGAATTTTAAACCCTGTATATCGTGAATTAAATGTTAAACGAGTAAGGATACATTTTACCGGAATATGTGAACCGTCTCAAATAAACGGTTGATGAGCAGAATGCAGATAAGGAACAACCATGCAGTTTTATAACTGCTACGTAACAAATTAACCGCACTGAGACTAGTTATTAATTTATAAGCGAAGTATAGTAAGATCAATAGTGACCCTTGGCCTTTAACACCCTCAAATAATACAAAGAGCAAATAACCCCGGTTACCTGGGAGCAAATAACCCCGGTTACCTGGGAGCAAATAACCCCGGTTACCTGGGGGCAAATAACCCCGGTTACCTGGGAGCAAATAACCCCGGTTACCTGGGAAGCAAATAACCCCGGTTATCTGGGAGCAAATAACCCCGGTTACCTGGGAGCAAATAACCCCCGTTACCTGGGAGCAAGTGTGTTGAGATCCACCTCTGTAGACTGTGCTGTCGCCTTGTCCAGTATACCTGTTACTGTACTGACTATTGATGTAGCTTCAACTTGTTCCAACTGAAAGTGTGACAGGTTTTGGTGTGTTTTTAAACAATAACTAACTAAAAAGTTGAGACTTAGGGGACTTATTTGTGTCCAGCAACAGCCCTTTCCTAGGTTGAGTAAGAGAACTGTTCATGTTTGCTTACAACCTTGTTAGGATCAGAAGATGTTTCTCAAAGCCGAAAGTACCAAGAGGCTGCAAATCTGCAGCCTCTTGGTATAATCCTGTACCTGGCAAAAGTCCCACCCATATTGGGACGTCCGCTAAGTTTCTCCATGTAATCCGACTTATATGACCCTAAATATTTAAATAACACTAGTATTTACTCGGGTACACTTATTCACCAGTGGGGCATTTCTCGGAATCACGCCCTTTTTGACCGCACCCATATCACGACCACCACTATAAATCATCTCAGCTACTAATTCAACAACCTGAAGTCTGAAGACTTTGAAACCATGCTCTACCCCACTCAATGTGATAATTCTGACCATTTCAATGCTCAAGATGAGCGTTTAACTCATACCAGAAGCTGAGATATCTTGAGTTAAGTGCATCTATCGCTACTCGCGAGAGCGTAAAAACAACTCAACAACCTGAAGTCTGAAGACTTTAAAACCATCCCCTACCCCACTCAATATGACGATTCTGACCATTTTAAAACCCAAGATGAGCGCTTAGCTCCAATCAGAAGCTGAGATATATTGAAATAAGTGTTATAATTGTTACTCGCGAGACTGCTATTATTAAGAAACTGTTTACACCATTAAAATATTCAAAACCCCTAAAGGAAATCAAGACATCCTAAAATGGTGATCAGTACAGATCAAGACAGCTAGAGTAAAATTTGTTTCTCCAAGCAACTCTATCATCGGCCCACATCCAGAAAGTTTTATATTTCCTCCCAGATGCGTTTTTTCTAAATTCTGTGGCCCGTTCGCTTCGCTTGCAAGTTTGCCTTCTTTTCTGTGGCCCGCTCGTTTCGCTCGCAAATTTTAAACACTGGACCAATTCACGAGCAGGGACGTAGCCAGGATTTTTCTTTGGGGGGCTGTTTGCGAGCGAAGCGAGTCGATGTGTCCAATCCAGCTGCGCAGCGAGGGAAGCGAGCAAGCTGTGGCAGGGGTCTGGGGGCACAGCCCCCAGCGGGGTCCAGCCCCCGGAAAATTTTTGCGAAATAGGGTGTTTTAGACGACATTTGGCATTAAAGAAATTTGTAGGACAGTAATAAATTGGGATTGAAAAGAATCAAGTACTCACGTAAATTTGGTAACTTCACAACAGCAATCTGCATTCTCCAATCAGAATATTTCACTGTGTTCCAAAACTGACAGGATGTTCCTCTTTGAATTTTATACAATCGAAAAATTTTCTTCAAAAATTTCCTCAATTAATTTGTCTTTATTCCAAAAAAATATTTCGAAATTTAGGAGTAACTTCTCAAAAATTTCCTCTTTTTCCACCCGTTTTTTCCTCCCAAACAAGAAATGCAGCCGCTTTTCTTTTGTGGATGGCCGCTCAATTTCCCGATCCGTGATGGCGTATTTATCATATTCCATACAACCTGGGGACGGCCCAGTCTTTACTGTTTATATAAACATGCAAATATGGCGAAGTGACATGCCGACTGCCGAGCGCCGCCCAGTTAATATAATTCTATATTGAATTTGAAAATCGTGTATCATGTATACTTCTATGTAACCATATGTTTATTGTTTATGCAACCTGACACGGAACTGTGCAAAATAGTAATACTAACTCAAAATAATAATAATATGCTATTAATTAGTGCCTAGTGGGATACGTACATGATGAAATTAATAATGTACTTGGTTGGTTCAGCGCCGCGCGCCAACAATTATATAATTCAGATTGTCACGCAAAATAACTTTGCGCAGGAAGTCACGTGGGCGATAACAGTGCTCGATCGCAGGCACGTTCGGTCGCACACTCGCACACACGGTCGCAAAGCTACCATATACAAAAAAAACGTCGATCGCTAACCCTTGTCCTTGACTCTTTTGTGCCTTCGGCACTTTTGAGTCATGGATCGGGAAAAAATATTTCCTCCCAGGCTGCCTGCTTGCCTGGCAAGATGGCGTGTTTCTGGATGTGGGATCATCGGCTAATATCTTAAGTTTCTTAAGATCATTCAATTTCAAAGAGTTAAATTTTAAACCTCTACGGGTCAAATCATTTATCATTCACAATAATCTTGGACAAATTCTTACGATGCGCACTGACGCGCCCTTTACAGTTTGTTGTGACAGCAAACTTTAACGCAAATGTCTAATTTTTCTAGTGACTTTGCAGTAGGACACCAACTACTGCAATTAAACATGATGATTGATACAATTTGGGCTTCGTATACTGCTATCTTTCTGGTAACGGAGATATTCTGCTGAGACCAGATAGAACTTATAGAAGGCATTGTTCCCAACAATGCATCGAGCAGCTATATCACATTCACTACACAACAATGAACCAAGAATCTTACTCTTCCGCCGATCTTCATTTCCACGTAACATGGTATCATCACGACCAGCGAGACTGCTAATATAGTATAATCGGATTTTTGGCGATTTCTCAAAAACAAAGTCTCTTAGGCCTTAAATATTATGTTCATAGCACTAATATAAACATGCATCTTAGGCACATTTTGGTTCATGGCTAAGTTCTGTATCTCGATCAGAAGCTGAGATAATTTATAGTGAGGGTCGTGATATGGGTGCGGACAAAAAGGGCGTGATTCCGAGAAATGCCCCACTGGTGAAAAAGTGTACCGGAGTAAATAGTGTTATTCAAATATTTAGGGTCATAGAAGTCGGATTACAGGGAGATTACATGGAGAAACTTAGCGGACGTCCCAATGTGAGCGGGACTTATGCCAGGTACAGGATTAGTACTCACAGGTTGGATTAGTCAACAGCGTAGTATACAAGTTTATTGTCTACGGTAATACTAAGATTCCAGACAAAACAAGATGTATACAATTATCCTCATAGAAGGCTCTTTAATTATATGGGCAGGATTCCCACCTATTATATGGGCAGGATGACTCATGACTGGTATAGGGCTAGCTGCTAAGGAGCAGCACAATTGAGGCTATTATAGGTTATATTCAATATAATAACGTAACAATTTAACACACTATGGCAATGTGTTGGGTGTATAAACATAAAAAACACATGCGTATAACCTAAAGTGCCTCAATTTCAATCTGTTGAGGGATTGTGATCCAGCTTGACAAGTTATTCATTCGCCAAGATTCACTTTCTTTTGCTTTTCATCGAGTTTTTATAGTATCTATGTCTAAGATCTCTACCTTTCTATGTCACTGTACTAACCTTTATTATATGGAGCCAAGTGATACAGATGATTTCAAAATTAGGTTACATGCGATTAATGAAAAACTTATCAAAAGAGAGATGCAGCTGCACCTGATTCTGGGTATTATGGATAGCAGGGAGTTATTGGGATCGAAAATTTTGTCGAGTGTTAAGCCTGCCATTGGTAAACAGTTTAGTTATAGGGACTTGGAGTTGAAGAAGACAGCCATTTTAAAGGATGCAAGATTCCGCATTCTCAAGGAGTGTTCAGTTGTCGAGGCTAATCGAGATATTGTTAAGCTGGGCCAACAGTTTAGCAAACTGCTTAAACTTGTTGAAGATTCCGGACCAACTTTGCAATCCCTTCAAAACAAGGCTGAAAAGGCTCGTGAGCGCATCAGGAAAACCCACCAAAAGAAAATTCAGTTTCATCTCAACAAACAGGGAACAGAAGCCAACCCTCCTTCTTCAAATTCCAAACGCAAGAAGTGGAGAAAAGCATCTGCCGAAAAGAAGAAGGCCGGGCGCAAACGCTACCAGAAAAACAAGCAGAACCGGAAAAAGTTATGGTTGGCACAGAGAGTCAAGGAGTTATCGTCCACAGTTGTGAGAAATCTGTCCCATGTAGAAGTCCCCGATATAGCATTTTTGTATCTGGCCAAAGGCTTGAACTTTGTGGAAAGTAAAAAGGCAAGTAAGGAAGACCTTCAGTATGACACCAAAGAGTTCTTACGTAAAGTTTCATGGAAGGCGTTCTTTCATGATAACCCAACTGAGAACAATAGTTTCAACGAAGACGAACATCCTGGCTTAAGGATACCTTCAAGAAGGCATCCTGAGTACAGCAACCCGCTCTTTGATGAAATAAAAACAAAACTGATGGGTTTCGTAAACAGCTTCATGCCTGCTGACCCAAAGTCTAACCTGACACCAGCAGAGAGGAGAGGGAAGAGATGGATTTTGAAAAATATAGAAGATGAGAACATCTTTGTCACCAAAGCTGACAAAGGAGGATCGACCTTGATTCTTGACTATAAGGAAGCTGTGGAATGTGTTCAAAGGAACTTAGGAGATAGAGAGAACTTTGCTCATTCCCAAATGTCAGTTGAGGAGAAAATGACAGATGTGAAGAATAACGTTAAGGATGCAGTTCTTCTGGCTTTATCAGAGGGGAAAATCACAGAAAAAGACAAGAAACTCATTACTGGACTTAATGAAAATAATAACCAAATGCATGCACATGTATTCAAACCAGTAGTCCCTTATGTGTACCCTCTATTTAAGCTGCATAAATTAAGTCCACAACAGATTGAGGAGAAAATAGTTCCCCCTACCAGGCTTGTCCATGCCACTAAGGAAGGCCCCCTTTACAGGCTAGAAAAGTGGGTTAGCCCATACCTAACAGAGGTAAGTAGGATTTATTGCCAACAGGAGTTTCTCCTGGATACACCAGACCTTCTTAGTAACATAAAAAACCTTAATGAATCTGCAGACATGTCAAAATATAGCACCATCAACTTGTTTACTTTAGACGTGATCAGTCTGTATCCAAGCATAAAACCTGAAATAGCTATGTCTGCATTGGAACATGCCCTGAACGGTAGTGCTATGATTGATAAGCGAAAGGCTATTCTGAAAACATTCACGGAGATTATCTTCACAAACTCCTTTGTCACTTTTCAAGAAAATGTGTACACAGGCAAAAAGGGTATTCCAACTGGAAATTGTATTTCGCGTCAAGTCGCTGATATCATGCTTCATTGGGTGCTATTCATCAATATCTGTTCTGAAATGATACAGCTATGGAGTCTTATTTTATTCTGGCGACGCTTCATCGACGATGTCTTTGGAATTTGGAAGGGCTCCAGGAGGCAATTTGATCTTTTTGTGTCGAAACTAAATGAAGCCGCAAAACGATTTGGAATTCAGTTCGGTGATTGTCAGTTTGGCAAATCAGTTAACTACTTGGATGTAGAACTCTCCCTGGGGGAGAACAACAACATCGACTACAGACTATTTAAGAAAGAGACTGATGCCAGGCTTTACCTTAATACTGATAGTTTCCACCCAAACCACGTCTTTAAATCAGTAGTATTCTCACAGATGATCCGAGTGATCAAGCGAAATTCGCAGGATCACACATGTGTGGAGGACCTGGAGGAACTTAAAGAAGACCTAATGAAAAGTGGACACAAGGAGGAGACCTTAATGGAAACAGAGCCTGAAGCAGTCTTGAGGTCAATAGAACACGAATTGTATGAGAGGGAAGATAAGAAGCCAATCACTGACAAAGTTGTCTTTTCAGTGAAATTTTTCAAAGAGGTCACTGAACTTAGGAAGTTGGTACACTCTACTAGTGAGGACATCAAACAATTATGCGGAGACGTACAGATATTGTTTGCACTACGTAAACAGCCATCTATAGGCAACACAGTAGTGCGCAATAGAAAACTCAGTTCGTGCTCCGAAACGGATTCTATCACCGTCAGCCAAAACTGTGGCGGGAGAGGCTGTGCAACCTGTCCCCAACTGTTCAACTCCAACGAAGTCATCACTGTCAATGGTTTGGATTTAACTCTGGATTTCCGGTTGACATGTAAGGACAGCAATATAATTTATGTCGCCCAATGCCAAATTTGTAATAAACTTCCCCAGAGCCTAAAAGACGATACCTATTTCGGCCAAACGGTTTCTCCATTTCATATCAGAATGAATGGACACAGAAACAAGTTTAAAATTGATAATGAATTGTCATTTGAGAAGTCGGCACTTTCCATGCATTGTTTTCTAGCGCATAAATCTGATTTCACTATGGGAGTTTTTAAATTAGGTGTAGTAAGAAAAGTCCGACCAACAGAACTTGATAGAGAAGAGAGCATTCTTATTTCAAAATTTAGAACTAATATTTTTGGGTTAAATAGGATTGTAGTGACTCGCTGAATAAACTGTTGTCCATTCTACCTAGCACATTGAGCTCTTTAGTAAAGTTTCAGATTAAAATCTGTTTTGAATTTTCAAGTTGTTAACTTTTAAATTGCTTTCATTAGTCTAACCTAATTTTATTTTTATAGGCTAGTGATGTAAATATACGAAGAATTCACCTATATTTGTGCTGTCTTACTATGTGTCCAAACCAAATTGAACCTTTATTATACCTACATTTATTGTATGGTCTTTGCTTCTTTTTAGTTTAGTGTGGTTTAAAATAAAAGATGTTTTAATTTTGTCTTAGCCTTACATTTTTACACATTTGCTCACATCACTCACAGTCAGCCGCTCTGACATGGTTAACCACCTTCCTTGTGTTGTTGGTTAATCATATGAGCGGGATATAAATACCTCATCATTTCATTTCAATGCATTACCAACTTGCTACTGATAAAAATAATAGAAGTAAACGTTTTTCCTGATTTTTAGAAGACATTTCACTTTCCGATGTTTTCGATGCTACGTTAAGAAAAACGTTTGATCCTAACAATAGTTATTAATTACGGGCATGTCGATCTTTTGTTATTGTACATAGTGATACCAAGTACACAAATCTGATAGAACGAATAACGGCCGATAGTGCGAGAAAGTGCGCTGTTAGGTCAATAGTGCGAATCCGCACCCATCACATTTATATTTTGCCTCTGGCTGAAGAGTGAAGACTGATTAATTAAAAAACAAAATATTGTTGATGGAACAACTGTACTACTGTACTACTGAGAGGAAGATAATATCTTAGTACTTATTAATATTATATCATATTACATACTAAGATAATATCTTACATATTAAGATAATATCTTACATATTAAGATAATATCTTACATATTAAGATAATACCTCGCATATTAAGATAATATCTTACATATTATGTACTTCATACAGCATCATATTCACAGTGAGGAATAACAAAAATTAAATTAACCAGCGACACAGAGTGTTTCGGCTGATGAGTTGATCGAGTGAAGTATTTTCATCTAATTCACAATTCATTCTTGGACACTAAAATTAGACAATCAGGCCCCCGAGATGATCTGTAAATAATATTCACTGAACTTTTCGTGAAGTTGCTGGCATCGTTTCAAGAATTTTTATTTAGAGGTTGGCCAGCAAAGTGTACTTTTCAAGACGAGTTCTGTGACAGAGTTAGTAATTACACATAATCCGTACCCTCACAGAAAAAGTGCGCCCCTAAAAATGAGAACAATAAACCTTACACATTAACTTATATTAAGAGATCAGCGCCCACAATTTAAAGGCTATAATATGCCACAATTATTTGCTCTACCTAAAAGGTAGCATAAGATACCAATATACTACACGATTTCTGTATATTATTATCCGTAATGTTATTATATATCATAACCTGCAAATCTCAACATTACTTTGCATAAAGAGCTCCCAAACATAGCAGTGTAATAACACGAGGCCTGGAATAACTGAATTAGATTGGACGCCAGCCCGGTCACGTGACTGAACCCTCCCCTCTGATCGGCCGAGAAAAGTCAGGCGGAAAAAGTGGAGAATCCGGTTGGCAGGTGGAGTGGTATTTTATGCGATAGTGATATATAATACCCCCTATAATAATGTTATAGTGTTTGTATACACAGTGAGCGGGTGTGTGAGACTGTGAGCGGGAGCTGCCACCTCGCAGAGCCCTTGTGTTATTGCACTCTAGCGTATTGTAGTGTTTGCCGCAGCAGCTTATATATATTTATAGGTATTAGGTATTGTGCTGTATTATACTCATTGTCAATATGTATCATGAAGCTGATTATTTATAGTTATCAATTTGTTTATTAATCATGTTCGCATATTATATAGTTATTGGTTCCTGTCGGTTGGTGCCGTGGTATATATCATAACTCCGTTATTTGTAGGCATAATTATACTACGTGTATAATATGTGTTACATAGGTTATATTTAATTTGTTGTTGCTTTGTTTTGCCACTATTTTACATGTACTTAAGTTTTATTTTACATTCTTAAGTTTGTGTTTGCCTCATTTCCAATCAGCAATACATAATTTTCTTCCCAAATAGTTATACTTCCAGACGGGATAATTTTCTTGGAAACCTAATTGATAATTATTGATGTAAGCGGTAAACCATGGGAATAATATGCTACTGTTTAAACATATTTTGAACTTGCATGTGGATTTGTGCGAATGTTTTACGATTGGATAATGGATAATTATTACTAACTATTAACTATTATAATGGATGGCACGTCTACTCGCACGTGGCAATTTAAAGCTATCTTTATATAATCTTTGTCTTTTGCAACAATCATTTTGCCATCCAATTTTGTGTTTTCACAATCCATAATATTAAGAACCGACCAGTCAGATCTCGAGACCTGAAAACAAAAAAAATGCTGGGTAAAAAGGCTACTTGTCTGGTCCTTAGCATATATAGGATCACATGTTCCAATGGCATAAGCTGAGGTGCACGATATCGGAAATTTAAAAACTTTCAGGATACATTTAAAAAAATTTATCCAAATCTCTGAATTCAAATTTCAGCGCAAGCGGTCGAAATTTAAAACCTTTTCAGGGAACTTTGCCGGTCTGTAAAACAGGAAAATAGATATCCGACCGTTTCCGGTTCAGTAGCCAAATCTCTAGACCGGTATTTGGGTCCCAGTCGTGCGTGATTTACATAATTACATTATAAAACGGAGTAGGACTGTACGAGGGACGGCGTCTTGTACCTCCGGATAGTCTCCTATTGCGCTAACTACAATCTTGTCTGAGGTCAGCTGAAGACAAACTTGTAATTTTGAAAAGAATTAGATAAGTGAAAAACTAAGGAACTAATAGACATCAAGTTCGTATAGGATCGTCATTTGAATTCAGAGATTTGAATTCAGAGATTTGAATTCAGAGATTTGAATTCAGAGATTTGAATTCAGAGATTTGAAAACTTTTGGGGAAAATGTAAAATTATCTGACCTTAAATCAGAGGTCGGATATATCCGGCCGGGCAGCAAAAACCACGGACCGGTCGGTTCCTAATCCATATCCTTTGTACGCAGACAATTCCATCCTAAACGTTTTCAGGAACCCTGCTGAGTATGACACAGGAGACTCAAGAAGTTCACTTGTCACTTGGAGAAGGGAGGCGACAAGAAGAGGAGGGGTTGGAGAAGAGAGTTGGTTTAATAACATGTAAAGATGGAATAACGAGACCACATGTTTTACCAATATCTCCAGTAACAAGAACCGCAAACAGTAACACCGAGAAAACAACCCAGTGGGCACTGAACACATTCAACAGTTGGAGACACTCCAGAGAAACTGACACCAATAAGATTCCTGATCTAACACAGAGCAGCAAGGAGGAACTGAACTTTTGGTTATCTCAGTTTGTTAGGGAGTGCAAACAGAAGGACGGTCGTGACTACAAACACCAGAACTTGTATGCGATGATGTGCGGGCTAGCTCGCCATATCAAGAAGGACAGGCCACGTTTAAACATACTGGATGATCCGGGAATGGCAGATTTAAAGTTCAATCTGCAGGAGGTTATGAGGATACTCCAGGTAAGACAAGCTCAAGTTTGCACAGTTCCAGGTACCAAACTGAGTCGGAAACAGTGGGACAATTTGTGGGACAAGGGTTTGTTAGGTGAGTCAGATCCCTCGTCTCTCTTCCACGCGGTCTACTTCCTCTTTGTCACCGTAACAGGGCTGACTTCAGCTGTACAGCTCCGCTCACTAACAACACAGAACATTGTTGTTACTTCTGATCCGGAATCAAACAACATTGTTACAACTTACTATCCAAACGATGATAATAGAGGTTGCAGGTCCGAACGAGCAGCTATTCGGTGCATGGAGTCAGATCGGAAAAATCCCCGCTCTTTTGGAAGACTCCTCGAACTCTACCTTTCTAAACTGCCTTCTGATTGCCTGGAACTGTGGATGAGAGCTAGCTGGAAGAGTAGCGATAAGAATAAAGTGTGGTACAGTGGACAACCAGTCGGGCAGAACCTGCTCCGTACCACTGTAAAGACTGTGTGTCAGCTGGCTAACTACGAGGGGAACTACTCTAGTCACTCACTTGATAGGGACTTGTTGAACTGGGAGAACTATAATATAGAACACTTGGCTACTTCATCACGTGATATACCCAACCCGAAGCAGTCTGTGGAGCTGAAGTGTTCGGGGATTAAGAGGGAGTTTGTAGAGGAAACATTGCCACGTGTCACACTGAATACTCACCTGATAACTTCTCCTCCCACTTCTACCTTCACTTCCAAACGTTTGAGGTCGAGTCAACCACTGGATGAAACTATATTACTGCCCAATTCTGACAATGCATTACCTCCCGAGAACCTGGCGCTACCACTCTTATCTTTCGGCCCATCTTCTTTAAATCTTGATAACAATGCACGTGTGGTTACTTTTACTCCACGTGTCGTCACCACTCCTTCACAGAGCTACGCTATTGCTTCTGTTTATCCACTTGTTGACGTCGTTTCCACTCCACGTGACGTCATAACTACATCACACGAAGTCATAACCACCCCTCAGATTGACGTTATGAATACCCCACGTGACTTCACACAATCCCAACATGCTAACACAGTTGACCCCTTGGCAGGAGAACAAGACGTGAACGATCGGAAGAACGTTACAGATTCCAACCAGGAACGCAAAGTGAATGCTGACAGGAATCATGATCAAAGTCGAAGCAACATCATAAGTAATGATGATTTGAGGAATGTCAACGTGGATATTCCTGGACATGTTGATAAGTGTATGGGGCTGTTTAAGGACTGTACAATCCAAAATGTCACAATAAACATCTATCTCAGCAAAACGGGAGAGAATAGACACTGATTTTTCGGGTACAATGTAAAATGTTACAGAGCATAATTTTTTGTTAATAATATATTATTTTAAATCAGACCTTTTTTTAAAATCGTATAACATTTTTTAATTCTAGCAACTTGATTATTATAAAGTAGAATTCAAGTTATAACTATTTGGACTACGATTGTTTATAGTTAGATACACAGTTTGACAGTTTGGTTACAAAGGTTACATCTTTTCATGATGAATTGTGTTAAAAAAGCTTTTTTATTTTTTATTCTATCATTCATCGTTTTATTCTTGCTTTATATTAGATTGTGATTTATAAAATAATATAAGGTAGTCGACAGTAAAATAATATTTTTACATTGCATAACACGTATTGAATTCCCAAGGAGTTTTATCATACGTATTTTAGCATTATTATATATGAAAGTATGAACACTCATTATATTATTCTTTTGTTGCAATTTCAAGGACTAGATATCTGGAATTCTAATAATGATGCACATAATAATGAATTTACAGAATATACAAAATTTAAATAGATTAGCCCAAATTAGTACAACTAAGTCTCACTTGAATGACTGAAATGCACATCTTCTTTGGGTATATTTCAAATGTCAGAATTTATCTTATGAAGTACCTGTTTACCCTGAAGTTGGTTATCGTGAGGTTTGTAGCACCTGAACTTTACCTGTTTACCCTGAAGTTGGTTATCGTGAGGTTTGTAGCACCTGAACTATACCTGTTTACCCTGAAGTTGGTTATCGTGAGGTTTGTAGCACCTGAAATTTACCTGTTTACCCTGAAGTTGGTTATCGTGAGGTTTGTAGCACCTGAAATTTACCTGTTTACCCTGAAGTTGGTTATCGTGAGGTTTGTAGCACCTGAACTTTACCTGTTTACCCTGGAGTTGGTTATCGTGAGGTTTGTAGCACCTGAAATTTACCTGTTTACCCTGAAGTTGGTTATCGTGAGGTTTGTAGCACCTGAACTTTAGTCTCTTCCTGGGAACCTCTTCACTGTCCATACTGGCTGTCTCATCCACTGTGGCTGTCATTGTTACCTATTATAATTACATGTTATTGTTGAGTGTTATCGTTTGTGAGGTGGAGCACGTTATGAATTATTTGTTTTGAGAGAGAAAGTGAAGGTGAAAGAGAAAGTGATCGGTTTCTAGCGGTTACCAATAATTGAATAAAATTCATTTGTAGCTGTCACAATTCACAGGGCAGTTTTTGACAGAATTGCCCTGGTACGAATAAGTATTCCATTGACCATTGACCATGATATAAATTATGAGGAAGAACTATAATATTCCTGTTCCTGGTTCCATCCATACCTCATAAACATTCTGTAGACGAGTAAATACACAAAATTAATATAGTTTAGAGATCATTCATGAAAATATAAGTTATACAGTCAAAAAATATTTCAATAGCATTCAATTGGTACGTAATTTCTCAAGTATTTTAAAGGTTTATGGAATTCCAGACACTAAACATATCACATATCTAATATTCATTGTACTTAACCAGCCAATTGGTACAGTTTATTAACCAATGAAGTTGAGTACAACTAAATGGAGGACACAGTGTGCGAATATGAAGTCTGCAAAGGCGCGCTCCACAGAGATGTCTTTGAAGACAGCAACGTTCTGAGGATTTGTCTGTATTCGTAGACACACTGAAATAATGACAACAGGATAAATTGAGAATAGGTGAGGTTAATTTGAGGTGATTTAGTATTTAAATAAAGCTGAACAATTCGCCAAATTTGCAGCCTTTAGCTTTAGGTATTCTCAGGTTGGATTATTCAACAGCACAGTATATATACATATAATGTATATATATAATGTTCCTGACAATTCAAGACGTATAAATCTATAGAATTAATCTCATGTAAGGTATTACAATTAGATGAGCAAGATGACTCATGACTGGGGCTAGTTGAGCTGGTCATGAGCATTATTGACGCATAGTATTCAATATTATAACCTAACAATATAATATTTCAACACATTACGTGTAGGGATGAATTTCTTTATGGGGGAGAGGGGGGGGGGGGGGGCAAAATCTTAAACTTTTTATAATGTAGTGCGCTCTGTGTGCCACAGCCTGAATTTCAAAAATTTGAAGGTTAGGGGTCGTTCACATATTACGTAATCAATATTTTAGCAATTTTTATCCCCCCTCCATAATCAACCGTTATCAAGACCCAACCCCCCCTCCTGGCAGCAATATTACGTAATCTGATAATCATGGCCTGACCCCTCCTTTTGATTTTTTTCCCTGGAAATACTTTATATATAATTATTGTATATACGTTTCATGCTACCCTGATCATGATGAGCCGAAATCATTGTTATGATATCCGGCCAAGCACCTTTCAAACTACTTATTTTAGCAGCCAATGGCATAAAGTTACAAAAACCCAATTTTTTTACAAAATTTCGACCTGGTAAAGGACGAAATAATTTGAATCAAATATTTATTTAGAATCTAAATATCATTTCGAACACCTAAAAGACAATATTTTGCCCTTTTATTGTATTTCGACCTTCAATAATTTTCCAGCTCGAACACGAGGGTTCCCTCTTGTATGTTGTAATCCTAAATTTTGCTATTTCTAGGTCTATAGTCAACGTTTTTCTGGAGTAGGCACAAAACTCTCAAGACATATACCTCCCAAAATGAAGCTAGCTACAGCGCTGATGAATCCTGAGAGGAAGGAGTTGAATGGGAAAGTTCCGACTAGGCAGCAATACGCAAACTGGAATATTCCTGTGAACAAGATGTACCTGAAAATATTTTTATTATTTTTGATCAGTATTTCGTTAAAAGTTAGGGCAACTAACTACTGTATAAAGGTTACCAGCAGAGAAACAATTTCTGCTAATTCTTTAACTCAATACATTTAGATTTTATATAAATGTATCTTGAGAGCAACTCACCCCAGGTAAGCATCAATAAGTTTGAGTTTCTGAGGCGTTTTAGATGTATATTCCCCTACCAATCGAGAAACAACCTCAACCATAGAGGGGGCACCAGTAGCACTAACCATGTTGAACTATTAAAGAATTAGATAAATAATCAATGCATCTATATTATATAATGATTACCATGACATCAATGGAACAAAGAAAATAAGACAATCCTCTCTCCCTTAAATATCAGAGGGGTGGGGGGGGATCCGACATTGATTTTAATTTGTAATTCAGGTTAAAATGGTTGTTCAGAGCGGCATCATCCTATTTGGAAGCTAGCACACCAACAGAAGGGGGGGGATCATGTTATTTTTCGTCCGTTTTTGTCCGTTAATTTTTGTCCGTTTTGAAAATATAGGGATGAAAAGTTTTATTACTGGAGAGTAAAACTTTGTTAAACACAAAGATTCTTGAGCACATTTTGAGTCAGACTCAAATGCGTTTAAAAACATTTTAGTATATAACAATAAATTATGTAAACAATAACACCAACAATAATTATAAATTGAACAAATTATTGAGAGATGAAAGAGAGGAAGAGGAGGAGGGGGGACTGAGGAGGGGGACTGAGGAGGAAGAGGAGGGGGGCTGAGGAGGAGTGAGACTGAGAAGGAGAACTGAGGAGGAGAAATGAATAGGAGGAGGAGGAGAAGAAGGACTCAAGAGGAGGACTGAGGAGGAGGAGGACTAAGGAGAAGGATGAGGAGGAGGACCCAAGAGGAGGAGGACCCAAGAGGAGGAGGAGGCCCCATGAGGAGGAGGACTGGAGGAGGAGGAGGACTGGAGGAGGAGGACTGATGGGGACTGATAAAGAGGACTAAGGATGAGGAGGAGGAGGAGGAGGAGAAGGACTGAGGAGTGAGGAGGAGGACTGATGAGGAGAAGGAGGTGTATGAGGAGGATGAGGAGGAGAAAGGAGATGAAGGATGAGGATAAGGAGGACTGAGGAGGAGGACTGGTGAAGAGGACTGATGAGGAGGAGGACTGAGAAGTAGGAGTAGGAGGAGGACTGAGGAGGGGAGGACTTAGGAGGAAGAGGAGGATTGAGGAGGAGGAGGACTGAGGAGTAGAAGGAGGATGAGGACTGAGGAGTATCAGGAGGACCCAGGAGGAGAAGGAAGAGGAGGAGGACTGAGGAGGAGAAGGAGGACCCAGGAGGAGGAACCAGGAAGAAGAGGAGGAGGAGGACTGAGAAGGAGGACTGAGAAGGAGGAGAAGGAGGACTGATGAGGAGGATGAGGATGAGGGTGACTTGGGAAAGGACTGAGGAGGACTGAGGAGGAGAAGGAGGACTGAGGAGGAGGAACCAGGAAAAGGAGGAGGAGGAGGACTGAAGAGGAGGACTGAGAAGGCGAAGGAGGACTGATCTGAGGAGGATGAGGATGAGGAGGAGGATGACTGGGGGAGGACTGAGGAGGATGAGGAAGACTGAGGAGGAGGAGGAAGAGGAGAAGGACTGAGGAGGAGAAGGACTGAGGAGGAGAACGATTGAGGAGGAGAAGCAGGAGGAGGAGAGGAGGAGGACCCAGGAGGAGGACCCAGGAAAAGGCCCCAGGAGGAGGAGGAGGACTGGGGAGCAGGAGGACTGTTGAGGACGAGGAGGAGTAGGAGGAGGACTGAGGAGGGGAAGAGGAAGAGGACTGAGGAGGATCAGGAAGACCCAGGAGGAGGACCCAGGAGGAGGAGGAGGACCCAGGAGGAGGACCCAGGAGGAGGAGTAAGACTGAGGAGGATGACTGAGGAGGATGAGGACTGAGGAGGAGGAGGAGGACTGAGAAGGAGGAGGACCGACTGAGGAGGAGGACTGAGGAGGAGGAGGAGGAGGAGGAGTGAATAGGAGGAGGAGGGGGACTGGGGAGGACTGAGGAGGAGGAGGACTGAGGAGAAGGATGAGGAGGAGGACTGAGAAGGAGGACTGAGCTGAGGAGGAGGACTGAGGACAGAGGAGGAAGATGAGGAGGATGAAGAGGAGGTGGACCCAGGAGGAGGAGGTCCCAGGAGGAGGACTCAGGAGGAGGAGGAGGATGACTGAGGAGGACTGAGGAGGAGGTGGAGGAGGAGGAGGAGGAGGAGAAGGAGGAGGAGGAGGAGGAGGAGGAGGAAGCATCTAAATGTTATTTCAATTTTTGTTATTTTTTGTCCGTTTTTGTCCGTTTTTGTCCGCTCTATTTTTTGTCCGTTTTGAAACTATAGGGTTTCGAACGGGAAAAAAACATGATCCCCCCCAAGGAGAGGAGGAAGAGAAGGAGGACTCAGGAGGAGGACTGAGGAGGAGGACTGAGGAGGACTGAGAAGGAGGAGGACTGAGGAGTACTGAGGAGGATGGCTGAGGAAGATGGCTGAGGAGGATGGCTGAGGAGGATGACTGAGGAGGATGACTGAGAGGGAGGAGGAGGAGGAAGAGGACCCAGGAGGAGGACTCAGGAGAAAGAGGAGGAGGAGGACTCAGAAGGAGGAATGAGAAGGAGAGAAGGAGGAGAACTGAGGAGGAGAAGGAAGAGGACTGAATAGGAGGAGGAGGGGGACTGGGGGAGGACTGAGGAGGAGGAGGACTGACCAGAAGGATGAGGAGGAGGACTGAGGAGGAGGATTGAGGACTGAGGAGGAAGAGGAGGAGGATGAAGAGGAGGAGGACCCAGGAGGAGGAGGACTGAGGAGGAGGATGAGGACTGCAGAGGAGGAGGAGGACTGAGGAGGACTGAGGAGGATGGCTGAGGAGGATGGCTGAGGAGGATGACTGAGAGGGAGGGGGAGGAGGAGGAGGAGGACTCAGGAGGAGGACTCAGGAGGGGGACTGAGGAGGACTGAGGAGGAGGACTGAGGAGAACTGAGGAGGATGAGGAGGAGGGGGACTGGGGAGGACTGAGGAGGAGGACTGAAGAGGACTCAGGAGAAGAATGAGGAGGAGGACTGAGGAAGAGGACTGAGGAGAAGGACTGAGGACTGAGGAGGAAGAGGAGGAGGATGAAGAGGAGGAGGAGGAGGACTCAGGAGGAGGAGGACCCAGGAGGAGGACTCAGGAGGAGGAGGAATACTGAGGAGGATGACTGAGGAGGAGGTGGAAGAGGAGGAAGAGGAGGAGGAGGAGGAAGAGGAGGAGGAGGAGGAGGAGGAGGAGGAGGAGGAGGAGTCCGTTTTTGCCCGCTTTTTTTTTGTCCGTTTTGAAAATATAGGTACCAAACGGACAAAAACGGACAAAAAAAAATGATCCCCCCCCCCCCAACACAACCAACTCTCCTATGACTGACTGCATTATAGTCTAACTGCACAATAGTCACCCCTTGCAGTCCTCAATTTACATTCTTCAATGCTATAATTCATTCCTTGCAGTTTGCACCCTCTTTGAGATTGGTAACTGTAAGCTTATTTTCAAAATGTTTTTGACATCATCCCGAATACCTGAATTGGTTCCACAAAATCTCGCTGGATTTATCTCTTCACCTTGCCAGATTTCAATCCTGAAAGCAAATCTCCTGAAAGAATGTGTATCTCTTTTTCAAACCAAGCTTAATTTGCAAGAACAGCTGGCAGGCCCTTGATGTGTAGTTAAATTGCCATCTATTCATCATTGCTGTCTTTCTGCGAGTTAAATCGAACAGGATGCAGATTATTTTGCTGGCCCATATACAGCTTTTTGCTAACTTTCCCCTGACAGCATTTTGTACCCTATATATTTTTTGGACGGGATACCACACAAATCAGACATTTTTCTTTAAAAAATACAAATCTGAATCTACATAATTATTATGACAATATGCGTGCATGAGAAATAGGCTTTACGATCATGTGGAGGTTTGGTGACCGTTGAAATGAGTTATCTTAATATCTTAATTGCTTAATAAAGAATTTTTTCTAAGAAAACATTGCCTATTGTTCTAATTTAATTAATTATAATTTAATTAATTTAACTCATGTTAAATTCTTATTTAATTAATTTGACTCATGCTTATTTAATTATATGTAACGTATTCCTCATTCCACACGTCCATGTTCATAAAAAGTGGCCTCTTGAAAAAATGGCCACTTTTATAGTTGAAAAAAATTTTCAACTATAATGAACTTTATTTATAAATCAAAATATATAATGTAAAAAAACAACCTTGAAGAAACTTATTAAAAGAGAAGTGCAGCAACACAAAAATGTTTGAATACGATTCATTAGCTTAGGAGAAGTTTGTAAACATTCGCCGGAAATGTATGATCCCAAGAGTTGGGAATCTTAAAAAAATCAACATCTTCACAAAAATCCGATTACGGGGTGACCGTATTTAGGTTAACGTGGATTGTTCATTTATTTTCATCAGTCACCACCATCACCACCACCATAACCACCACCACAATCATAACCACCATCACCATCATCATAACCCATTACGTCTTCATAGCTTGGTACATTCTCTTCATCATATGCTAGAACAGTTTCTTCATATTTCGGCGGAGCAACATTCGACAGAGTTTGGTCTAAAAACACTGGCTCTTCTTGCATATTATCTGGCGGTGCTGAAAACACTGGCTCCTCTCGCATATTATCTGGCGGTGCAGAAAACACTGGCTCCTCTCGCATATTATCTGGCGGTGCAGAAAACACTGGCTCCTCTCGCATATTATTTTGTACAGCTATATCCTTGCAATTATCATGATAAACATAAACACCGACCACGCCAACGAATAATATAACCACGATTATAATAATAATAGTCATTGCAGACGTCTTTTTAGTCTTGATCTCAATCTCATCACTTTCTGCAACTAAAATAAGATTGATTTAAGGTTTGTTCATTGATGAATCGTATAAATTGCCAATTCAAAACGAAATTTTAAACTTTTACTGATGATAACTTGGCGTCCAACTTAACTTTCAATCAATAAGTTGCAAATAAGGAATTATCATCTGTCAATTAACTAAATAACTACCAAATAACTAACCGGAATCTATGTAATAATAGTTTGTCGCAGTGTCATAACTATCTCCAATTGAAAACCTTATACTGCTCACTTTTTGTCCCCAGTACTTGCTCTGATCAGACCATTTACTATCACATGTCCTGGAGGACACTGTTGTGTCTAGGACCAGCACTCCGTTACAACGTATTCTGATTCCATAACCATTTTTTTCTATTACCCAATGCTTATCTATTTCTGCAGGTATAAGATATTTCGAGAAAATACGCACTTCAATCAGATCATGACATAACAATAGATCATACACCACAGCGTTAGAGAATATGATAAGAATACCTCCTACTGCCCTTTCTTCTTTATTATGGAACATTACCAAAATTGCATCATTACTCCTCATATAACTTGAAGTTTTTAGGTGCAGGTCAAACTTTTCCAGGTCAGCTGGAATGAGCTGGGTACGTTGTGTCACACGTTTCCAACTTATATCTGAGATATCTGTTTTGCTGTCAGTTTCCGCACCTAGAATGAAATCGGTCACTAGCTTTAAAATTCTTTCACGAGACAGAAAAAGGAATCCAAGTAAGATTCTGTGCTGGAAGAGTAAAAAATTGATTTTTTTGATTATTGTTAAGTTGAAGACGGTTTACACATGTATTTTAAAAGCAGTTTGCACATTCAAATTTGTTGTCTGCTGACACTAGTAGAAATATCAAATAATCACGTTTTGAGCAATTTTACCTTCTCTGCTCATTATAAGGCCCACAATCTTATAAAATTAGGATTGATAAAGTACGTTAATTATTTTATGAAATATGATTGTCAAGATTACCCACCTTCAGAAATATTTGGGCAGAGCAGAAGTATTGCCAATCCAATCATCTTGTTATGTAATATTGTTGTTATCGCAGTTCCATTGACATATAGCTAAATAACAAATTGATTATGAAACAAAAGAACTCAAAACAAGATGAAAATGACGATATAAAATTAAATACTCAATAGCTTCCTCGACAATGTTGAATTTCTCCCTGATTATGATTGTGTCTGTATCACGTGAGCCACCTCACTCAGGGACTCAGCAGTTGGAAAAGCTTATACTGTTACCCTCCACAATTATTATTATAGCTCTGTGTTATCTATAGCTTGTATAGTAAACATTCACAGAATTACATAACAGTATTTCATGAATTCAATGCTTGTTCAAACGACCCTTCAATCGACCGGTGAACAAATATAAGCAGATTTTTGGGGTCCGGGTTGTGTCCATGATCTCCTTTAAAAGACTCATGGTATTTGAAACCTGGACTGTAGTGCTAAAACTGTGGTAGAAAACAAAACGAATCGGCAACGACTATGAAACTTGATATTTGAGTTCCAATGTAAGGGCTGTACAACAAGCCACCCACTATTCAAGACTTCAAGGTATCATGTTAAACATCATTAGATTATATATTCACCAGCTGGCTCTTTTTGCTACAGCAGGCATGTGCAGCTTGCTAATAAAAGGGCCCAGCATTTCTATATTGCTGATGATACAGCCCCGAGCAAATGACATAATAAATGATGATGATGAAAATCTTGAAATAACTGGCTACAATGAGCATTTTATGGACCTTTACTGATAGTTGAAATTCGACATATGACGTCATCTAGCGTCATCTAGCGTCATCTAGCGTGAAATATCGCCAGATGATGATAGATGACGCTAGATGACGCTAGATGACGCCAATTAGCGACATTGTCGCTAAGTGCACGGCACCTTTCGAATGTCGCTATCTAGCGCTATCTAGCGCTATATGACGCTATATCTCTATATGACGCTATATGACGCTAGATGACGCTAGATGACGCTAGATGACACTAAGCACGCAGCACTGACGCCAGGCGACAGATAGCGCTATTTTCATAAAAATTCTAGGGACGACATCTAGCGTCATCTAGCGTCATATGTTGCCGCGACATCTGACGCTATCTGACGCCATCTAGCGATATCTGACGTCATCTGACGACATCTGTCGCGACGACATCTGACGCAGGCGACATCAAGCGCTGGATAGCGGGATAAGTCAGTTTACGACAGTTCACGCTATCTAGCGCTATATAGCGCCAGATAGCGCTATATAGCGTCAGATGTCGTTGCGACATATAGCGCTAGATAGCGTTAGATAGCGCTAAATAGCGTTAGATAGCGCTAAATAGCGAAAAATTTTGGGTCGTGACAGTCCAGGCTATTTAGCGCTAGATGTCGCTATCTAGCGCTGTATGTCGCTGCGTCAGATGTCGTCGCTACATATAGCACAAGATATCATATCCTATCAGTATCACAGTAACAGTAATCCTAACTCTCTGTGTGTGTGTGTGTGTGTGTGTGTGTGTGTGTGTGTGTGTGTGTGTGTGTGTGTGTGTGTGTGTGTGTGTGTGTGTGTGTGTGTGTGTGTGTGTGTGGGTGTGTGTGTGTGTGTGTGTGTGTGTGTGGGTGTGGGTGTGGGTGTGGGTGTGGGTGTGGGTGTGGGCGTGGGTGTGTGTGTGTGTGTGTGTGTGTGTGTGTGTGTGTGTGTGTGTTTTACTGGGACCGTAAGCGCAGCCTGTCTTTTCCCACCCAATCTTTTTTTATATGAAAATTAATTTTTACTGTGTATGAAAATTAATTATAATTTAAGTGAGAATGCAAATGATATAACTATAAGCTTGCGCGGCTCGTCGAAGTCACCCAACTATTACACTCGATTTATCAAATATTCGGCTGAGTGGAACAAAATATTAAATATCACTTAATCAAGGGGTCGTTTACATATTATAATTATATAAAGGGCCTGATGCCGCCGGCCGGGGTTTTCCAAATTATTACGCTCGCTAGTGTGATTGTGACATAATACTAATAGCTTAATAGCTATGTATGGAAATGATTACTAACAATGAGGGGTCGTTCACATACCCCGTAATCAGTTTTACCATAGCTATTATATTTATGTCAATATCACACTAGCGTAATCAATAATCATTTGAAAACCCCAACCTCCTCAGCTGATTACGTAATACTAATATGTAAACGACCGTCGACCCTTAACATTTCGGGATCGGAAGAAAGCGGCACGTACTATTTCGACGAAATTTATACAAGTTACTAACATCGTTGATTCATGATGCCAATCTTTCACAGCTCAGTGGTGCATTTCGCCGAAAAGCATTATTGGATACCGAGAAGCATTTTTGGATGCGCGGCGCGACACACTCACAGTAACGCATCGCGTTGATTCACGATGTCAATCCTTCACTGTTCATGTTCACAGCTCGGCGAGGCCCAGTCATGGTGCATATCGCCAATTTAGTAACATAGTTGGTCAGTTCGTACAAAAGTCGTAAAAAATTCGTACAGTTCGGCACGTTTTTTCAGTTTGGGATTAGTTTGGGAAAAATTCGCCTCATAAATTTTCGAAATATATAATAAAAAGCTAATTGCAAAAATTTGTGTTAAAATGGCGGGAAACGATGACGTGCGGATGCATGTTAATATTTTAAATCTGAAATGTAACCTCCCGGACAAAAATAACAAATTTTTCGGACTGAAGTGATTACTGATTAAAAAAAAAATTTTTTTTAAAAATTCGGTAAAAATTCCTCGACAGCTTTTTAAAATTTGTACAGTTCGATACCTTTTAAAAGTTCGTACATAAAGTAACGTACTGACCAAGTATGTTTAGTAAAGCACTAGTGGTTGCAAGAAGCATTATATTATTGGCTGCGCGGCGCGGCCCAGTAGTGCATCGCGCTACAACAAACATCGTCAATTAGATTACTCGAAGCTCAAAGCTGTAAAGTATTTATCCAAAATAATTCCGATCCCGAGGATTGTTACTGGGCCGCGCTCAGCCTGTCATTCCGCCAAATCTTTATTCGCCAAATCTTAATGTTTATGAACATGTACATAATAGCCTGGGTCCCCAGGTAAGAGGATTGGCATAACTTATAAATTTATAATATATTAATTCTAAATACTGAATGCATCGCATTTTAAGGGTTTTGGCTATTTTCGTAGCTAAATTGCACTAAAGCTTTCGCGCTTGCACTTCACACTTGCGCGTAGTTCGTAAACTGAAAACTCGTGGGTACGATATATGTGATTACTGAACAATAAATTCGGCTCGACTCTCATTACATTCTTTTAATAACTTGCTGTGCGAGATTTCAATACTATTAATTTGCAAATGCTAATTTAACATTTAGATCTTTACATCATCTTCTTTCACATAGCCATGTGTCTAAGCGTACTACTAGCGAGAGGGCTATGGTTAGAGCATAAACAGGTTATACTGGACGAATCTCACTCGTTAACGGGTGATACTCGTAATTTACTATCACGCGCCGCTTTTTCTCAAAATATTAGTCTAAGCCTATACCAGCCGGCAAAGTTTTTATATGTAACCTACATACAACGTTAAAATTTAGTTGAGTTTTGAACGTTGCTTATAGTTGATAAGGTAACCTTGATCTAACGTAAAATAATAAACGTTTTGCAACGTTAAAAATAAAACCTATAACCAACGTTAGATATTTAACGTTTAACAACGTTTTATATGTAACCTACATACAACTTTAAAATGTAGTTGAATTTTAAACCCTGCTTATAGTTAATAAGGTAACCTTGATCTGACGTCAAATAATAAACGTTTTGCAACGTTAAAAATAAAACCTATAACCAACGTTAGATATTTAACCTTTAACAACGTTTTATAATTATTATATGTAACCTACATACAACTTTAAAATGTAGTTGAATCTTAAACTGTGCTTATAGTTAGTAAGGTAACCTTGATCTGACGTCAAATAATAAACGTTTTGCAACGTTAAAAATAAAACTTATAACCAACGTTAGATATTTAACGTTTAACAACTATAGCCATAGCTATAGCTGTCGCCGCGATATCGAGCGCTAGATAGCGCTATATCTAGCGTTAACTGTCACAAACCGATATTCTCCGCTAGATAGCGCTATCTAGCGCTAACAAGCGTTATCTAGCGGAGAATGTCGGTTTGTGACAGTTTACGCTAGATAGCGCTATCTAGCGCTAGCTGTCGCCGCGATATCTAGCGCTAGATAGCGCTATCTAGCGCTATCTAGCGTAAACTGTCACAAACCGACATTCTCCGCTAGATAGCGCCAGATAGCGCTAGATAGCGCTAGATAGCGCTGCGTCAGATGTCGTTGCGACATATAGCGTTAGATAGCGCTAGATACCGCTAGATGTCGCAAAAAAAAGGGCGGAAATTTTATGAAAATAGCGCTATCTGTCGCCTGGCGTCAGTGCTGCGTGCTTATAAGCGTCATCTAGCGTCATCTAGCGTCATATAGCGTCATATAGCGTCATATAGCGCTAGATAGCGCTAGATAGCGCTAGATAGCGCTAGATAGCGACATTCGAAAGGTGCCGTGCACTTAGCGACAATGTCGCTAATTGGCGTCATCTAGCGTCATCTAGCGTCATCTAGCGTCATCTATCATCATCTGGCGATATTTCACG